GAAGTGCACAAACATGTGTTTCTGGAATAAGTGATTGGATGTAATAGAGTTGAAGGCTAAATAGATTGTCACCCTCACATGACATTGCCTGGATATAAGTAGGCATGGTAGGTGGCTTGTGATGGATATTAGAAGGGCTGGGATAAAGGCTATTTGAGCAGATTTTGGGAGATTTCTGCTGGTTTTCAAAAGATAAAGATAGCCACCAATTGTAGCTCAAAATGTCAGAAGAAATGTGATGAACCGGCCCACAAAAAATGGAGCCCAACCGACCAGAATTGCACCCAGCAGAAATATTTTTCATATTTTGGAAAAAGGACCCCAGAGACCCTGTGACAGCTTTGGAATGATGGTATGGTATGGTATGGTATGGTATGGTATGGTATGGTATGGTATGGTATGGTATGGTATGGTATGGTATGGTATGAGGTGATTTGGTATGGTATGAGATGGAATGGAATGGTATGGTATGGTATGGTATGGTATGAGGTGGAATGGTATGTGGCATCCATACCATGGTATGATGGAATTGGTATGAGGGTCATACCACTCTGGAATGGGGTACCACTAAGGTTCCCTATTTCAAAGAATTGGATAACCTCATAGGTACCCTAAAATGGGTGACTGAAGTGCTTGACGGCCGTCTGACCTTCTTCGCGAGAACAGATTTTGGCTAAGGTTCTGGTGCTAACGGGAGGAGGATTGGTACGTGAGATATATCGCGACTCTGTAAGGCGTTCCCCCCTTGGCATAGAGGTGAATAGCAGCACTCTTCTGGGTACGTCGGCGTACACGTCTAAAATTCAGTCAACTGATCATCTCGTAGAACCAGCTAACGCCGTACATTGGCCACCCTTACTTTTCCTGTGTGAGCTGTACACTCAGGCGCTCCTCACGATGGGGGACGACGATTTTTTTGGGAACAATGCCACAACTCATAATCCACTCTCGCTCGACGAGCTCACATCGCTGAGCAGACAGCTACTCAACGTCGCCTTCACCTTATACTGGCGGGATGATCAATCGCATGCCGAGGATCCAGGGAACCCACGATATACGTGGGGGAGCGTGAGAGAGAAAGTGACAAAGTGTCTATTGGCTATTCAGCGGCCGTTGGTTTTACCTTCCCTGGGTGGCGGGAACCCATTTAGAGAAAGAATATGAATCCAAGAGGGAAACGTATGTGAAGTTTGGGACAAATAGTAAGGAGGATAGACGTACTATCCACCTCCACACCTTCCCGCTCCCTCTCTACACCGCCTGCTCGACTATCCACCCGTGTTCCCTCAACGATGGAGTCTTTTCCGACGTCTGGTGTTGTCGACATCGAGCTAATGATGCGCAATCACGTTAAGTATTCACGGAACGTCTCATTCCGTTGTAAACAACTTACCACCCTACATCCTACACCTCCGAAGTAGACGTCATGTCTATCGTCGTCCTGCGTGTTGGAAAGTGCCAACGCTGGGCTTTGTGTAGAGCTCAAGTATAAGTCACGATCGTTACACATGTTACTGTTTGCTCACCGTTTCCCACGACGTCCATCAGCCACAACCTCAAGCTCAACTTTCAACTTTCAAGAGGCCAGTTGGTTCCTATCGGGATTCGTGTACGATTACTTACGTTTTGTAGCTCATCATGTCATTCTAGCCGATGTGGACACATTAGTAAGTGAGTGAGTGATTCAAACGCGGGAGTTGCGCGGAAGGACGCTAACGAACCTTCTACAGTCTCATCGACGGCCAAGGCGATCATTGCGTGGGAGACACGACGAAAGAGCTTGGATCAGGTGAGTTAATGGGATGTGAACGACTGACATACTTTTTGCAGAACCAACTTTTTATTCACGACCCTCGCAACGCCTATCCCGCTCATTTTAGCCAATCTCCCTGCAGGAAAGGAATAGAAGCAAAGGTAAGCGAACGTTGTCCACGACGAAATCGACGTTGACATACCCGGTCACTGTCTAGCGTTGGAAAGTCTTAAAAAGTCGATAAGCAACGTCAAAATCAACAACTGCAAACCACGACGACTACAGACCACGACGAGCGGACGGCTTACTGGAGAATAGCGACGACGAACAAGAGGTCGACGACGTGGGCGCTGGCGCTGTTGAAAAAATATGGGACTGACCGCCCCATCTTTATAGCCCTTCTACCTTGGCAGTAACCAGTCGAGTTGTGACTGACGTGACGCAGAAATTTTATGGAGGTAGGGTTTCGTATTGTGCATTGTGCAGGGTTCGGAACCGGGGAGGACGGAGGAAATGAGCTTTGCATTGGTTTCGTACGTATCCATTCCTTTGGTTTATTTAATCAACTTCGGCTTCGTTAAATGTATTTATTAGGCGGCACTCGAAATACATTCAACTCATCCCGAGAGAACAACCGACCAACGCACAACGGCAGAATTCTGCACGGCTCCCGTTCGCGAAAGCCTTGCGACGCTTTGAGAAAGATACAAGCCAAGTTGTTTCAAATCAAAGTACGTACAACCATCAGACCCTTGATGAATATCTTTCTGACAGTTTAATGTTCAGAACACCGTTTTTTAATTCGGAATCGGGAGAGGAGAAGGAGGACACATTCAGCGGTCATCTAAACTCGAATGAAACTACGTGCTTTGGTCCTTCCTGTACAGGTAAGTGTATTATGATTCTACCACATGAATAAACAAGTTTCAGATTTTTCTCTATCACAGAACCACGAAATCGTATTATTGAAGGGTTCGGACTGTAAGCACGAACGCCAGCTCACAAATTTCTTACAGCAAAACTGATGAACTCACAAGTGCAGTGATGTCGGGAATACTACCCGAACAAGACTCTGACACGTCAAGATGGAATATACCTCTGTGCGGCTCACGCACGATGAAGAATCGGGGGAGGAGGAGTATATCCTCACATATTGTTCGAAATGTACGTCCCCTACGCTTTGTCAACGTTTCGAATCGTTGATACTATAGAGGATCTAGGTAAAGGATGTGAGATATTCTTGCACACGTCTCCCCACGTCTGGCATGCTGCGAATGGAGGAATGTGAGGAATGGTACGAAATACGGGAAACGACACGCCCGCTATAATCTTTCACTAACGGAAATTACATACCCAGGCACACAGATGGTAGTGTCCTAAAGAAGACCCTGATGTGTAAAAGTGCCAATGCGTTTCGAGCGCGATGGATCTGGAATTGAGGGAGGAGTAGGGGGCTACCATTCTTTTTCTAAATGTATGTACGTCCGCGTGTTCCGCTGTGATCATTTGTTGTTGAGAAGCGTTAAATACTACATTTAGGAATAGATACGTGAGTTGCCCTTGGACAAAAACGATACTCTACGAATGGAGGAAGTTAGGTAGTGGTAGGTAGTATGATGCGCGCTGTGGCACGCTAGTATCTTCCACTGACAAAAGTTCTGGAAATTCAGAGGTACAAACTTGGCGGGGTCCTGAAGGGAACCATTACGTGTAGAACTGTCAGCTTTACCAAGGTTTTTCAAGCGAGATCCTGAAAATAGAATCGGGGGGTCGCAATGTTGCAAAATTATTGACTTTGAGGAACTTGCATCACGGCCGCCGCAATAAGTGGTGTATAAAAACTTCCAATAGTTGTAATACATATGAGACGTACGCCAGAAATATTTTCCGACACGATAGCGGTGATGGTGGTATGCTGTTCAATGTGTATAAGTATTATTTGTTGACGCGTATTTTCATTTCCGTCGACGCGTATTTTTCTTCGCCCTGCGTATTTTTCTCAACCTCCGCGTATTTTTTCACATCCTGCATCAGTAGCCTGACCATTCATCGGGCATTGCCGAGCGCTGATGAATGACCAGTGTGTACGTGAATCCGAGTCAAGCCTCCTTCAAATGAAACCGGAGCTTCATGCATCTATGTCCTAAGGATGAACTTTATGAAATGGACTTCGTAATCTTGAAATGGCTAAGGTAGACAGCCATACTTCAAGTATGGCTGTCTACCTTGGCCAACGTTACAAGGACTCGGAGTTCTTGTTATGTACTTGTACGCTTACATATTGCTTACGTGACGCCAGGCCCGTCCGGTACCTCAGGGAGGGGTACAGACTCGAAGAGATGGCCCGAGCACACAGGCACAACTGAACGACATGGAAACCCATCGCGCCATCACAGCCCATGGTTATGGGCTAGGCCTCGTCGTTGACTTCGACGATGTGCTCGGCTCTTGTTTGGCTCTTGTCCTCTGTATCTAGTGTCGATCAGACCTCCGGGAAGCCCGAAGCAGGGTCCAACCAAGATAAAACGCGTCAAGAAGCGCTATGGAAAAATACGCGTCACCGGAAAAAAAACGCGGAGCCCAGAAATAATTACGCGGCAACAAATAATACTTGTACACATTGAACAGCATAGACCGGTGGGGTTGAGTCGGGGAAAGTTCAAGAGTTTGTTATTATTTCGAGTGTTGGTGACTTCAATTTTTTTTTTTTTTTTTTTTTTTTTTTTTTTTTTTTTCAAAGTGACATCATTATTGAAAATTGCAACAACTGGGTGGCCAACTTAGGACTTCATAAAAGTAGGTATTCGTCCATCTTTCACTAGTGTCACAAACTTACGTTCAGTCGCTGTATTCCGTTTCAGGGTTGAATTAAGTCAATCGTCCTAGCACGTCTAATTTGACCTGTCCGTTTTTGTATCCAACTTACGTTGAGATAACAAACAACCTATATTGCAACTTGTACTCACTCACCAGATTCGTCAATACCCCTACTTTTGCAGCGCCTTATAACTAACACCTAGCCTCTTAAACTCCTGCCCTGCGGGCGTCGCGAGCCACTTGCCGTGTGCACTATAGCATAGCATCGAAAATTTAAACTGTTAACGAACCCACGTCAGTCGATGCTGTTTCCGACGCGACTTACACAAAGCTTCTGCGCGGCACTCCGTGCAGGGTGAATTCAATACAGCAGGGTTGATGAGGAGGTTCCAGTCACAATAAGCGACGGATTATGCACACTACTAACAATGCCAAACAACAATCTTAACCACTTCATTCTTTCCAACACTGGCTTCCTCAGTGATGACCCCACCACTGCCGCTCTTCTGATGCATACAAAGGGCATTGGTTCACTCGTCACCTAGGACCTCACCACTCTCTTCTCACGCATACATAGGGTATTGTCCCACCTGTTACCTATGACTTTGCCTCCGCTACGCCACTATTTGAACGTACCCTGATGTTCGTCTTTTGTTTACAGACATCCTCCCTAACGCCATGGTCTTCACAGCAGCAACCACCACCCAAAATGGCGTGCACGAAGCATTGCAGGCTTCCCCCGGCAATCCCTTTCGTGTGTATGTACCCACCACCAACTATGCCATGAACTACACCCATCCCTCGAGCACCTACAAATCATCGAAAACGACGTGTTTAGTCGTGCCTGAGCATGAGCGGAAGGTGTGTGGGGAGACGCGAAACAGGGGCATTGGATACGCACGTAGTAGGGCTGTTGCTCAAGCAGGAGCAAATGTCGTGATAATCTACAGGTTCGTCGCACACACATATTCAAGCGATTCTCCCTGACCATCTTCCACCTCAAAGCTCTTCCAAGGATGCCCTGCAGTAGCAGAGACACTCGAGAGAGATTTCAACGTAAAATCCAAGGTTCGCGTCCGTCTTCTTGCGCTCACGCCACTCCTGACGCTCGCTTTAGGCGTACAAATGCCGCGTCTCAGATGCTGACCTTGTCAACAAGATGCACAACCAAATCAAGTGAAGAGCTTCGTTCCCATTGCAGGTCTTGATGCTGTAAGTTATTTCAATTCCGTTTTTTTGGGGTTATCTTCTTATTTTATGTGCATATCTGCAACTAGAACCGTTCCCAAGCCAACACTTGACCTTACTTACAACGATTCCAAGGGTGTATTCGACGTCAACGTATCTGGTGTCTTTAACACCGCTCGCGCCGTGGCTAAGTGTGCCTTTTTCTCTCTCTCTTTATATGACGAGCCGATACTAATTTCGTTTCCCAGGTTATGCCTCGAGCGAAAGCAGAAAGGGTTAATGGTCATTACCTCGTCGATCCACTCACAGATTATCAGGAAGTCTACGGTAGCTGCCCCCTTTGCTCAGGTAAGTTGGTCACTCGTTTTCTGGTCATTATCTAATACCCCGACGCCTTCGACACTTTAGGTTTTCTACAACGCCTTCAAAGCCGTTATTTCAAAACTTGCCAAAGGGCTTGCCGCCGAATGGTTGTAGCAGGGGATTCGTGTTAAGGCCGTGTCGACTGGTTATGGTACGTGACTGGTCATTTTCATGCTAGCAGATGAAGTCTCATTCAGCTGCTTCAGTTCATACCGATCCCACCCAGCAATAACAGGGTTTCCGCTTGGTTTCTGCACCGTCGAAAAACTAGGGAGTGATGCGTGTAACTCGCAGGTGAAAGCGCGTCCACAAGACTTTGGAGTCAAAAGTCACGTTGGTCAAAGGTTCGTGCATTTATTTGTTCGTCTATCACGCTCTCTATCGTCACCGACGCGACTCCGCCTTTCTTATGACCCACTCCTTGGATCAGGTTCATCTGAACTTGACTCAATGGTTCTGGTGTTAAACGTTACGGAGGTCGAGAAGAGATTGGCTCGGCTAATGATCTGGACTCGAACACGCTACCTGAATGGCCCCACGAACAACGCTATGGTGAGCGCTTTTTTCCTCACAAGATCTTTCTGTTAACTTTTCGTCAGTCTATTATCGTACATATGGTGAGGTGAGTGAGATTCTACTGAAGACGTCTTTTGATGAAACAGACACGTCTCTGGGTCGCGTTAACGCGTTCTCCAATCCTCCTCCACCTCACAACGGCATTTCTTTGAGAACTCCACTTCGTCAATTGCGATGAAGTCGCCAATTTTCTTTTGGATAATCATCCAGGGATCATCGCGGATGAACCAGTTGCTGTTGTATACGATCCCCAGCAGGCCATTTGCGATCCGATACCTCAGGGATCCCCGAGGAATCTTCGAGCTGTAGCATGTAGTACTACGCGATAATTTTAAACAATTATCCACTTTTGCAATTCTACTACTGATTGAACTTCGCAGTGCGTTGGTATCCAAATATATCGCATAGGTTTATCAAGCATTTCAACCTGATTGATTTGAATGACGCGACCACGTTGGTTCGACAGTGCATTCCAACTCCAAGGCGGCGAGGTTAAGGCGAGGTACGTCGTTCCATCTCATGCCCGGAAGACGTTCTCAGGTACGTTCCGAACAGTTCCTGAATGACAGAATCGTTCCGTCGATAGACCTATCCGCCATTACGGCGAGCTCAATAATCTGAAGATAAATACAAAGCTCCTCTGAGGGATGCCGAGGATGAGGTGTTCAAACATTCATTTCATTTTATCTACCTTCTTCGTCTCTGTTTCTCTTTTCCTCCGCCGTTTCTTTTTTCTTTCTCGCTTCTTCCTTCTTCATTCTTTGCAGATTCTTTCACCCATTCCTTCTCCCCTCCCTCCACGACTCGTTTCATAAGCCGCAGCCCTATTTCCCGAGCCCGTACCAGAAGATTTCGGTCGACCTTTATGGTCACTGAACTGGTCTCCATACGCTGTGATAGATGCGGAAGGCACAAAGGCGGTTTTCGTTGCTATCAAGGACGGGCGCGAGGTCTTGTATTTCGTCAATTTAGTGGGGGGCTCTCAGCCTCGCTTGCTTGAGTGCACGTTCGTCGTGGTCAACGTGATTCGTACAGTGTCGTCTCCATCCAAGGAGCTGATACTCGATTCCCTACTGAAGGCCTCTAAAACGGTTACGTTCCCCGTCGGAATTATATCTATTCCTCGTCCGCTGACGCTCAAAGTTCGTCCGACGGCCGAACCGCTCCATGTTGTGTATTATCCTCCCCAAAACCCCGAATACTCTGGGAGCAGCGTGGAGAGAGAATTACCCCCTTGTGTGCTCAATGCTCATGGCGGGCCCACAGGCCTCTCGAATCAGGCCCTAGAGTGGAAGAAACAGTATTTCACTTCGCGTGGTTGGGGATGGTACGCGCTTGAATCACTTCGAATTTGAATTTTCTTACACACCTTCGTAACAGGTTAGACGTAAACTACCGCGGGTCCTACGGGTATGGACGTGCCTATACCCAGCGACTCGCGTCGCAATGGGGTATTGTAGACGCGGAGGACTGTATCCTCGCATCGCGCGCGCTCTCCAGCCCGCGTTACTCACTCATCGATCCAAAGCGTGTTGTCATTCGCGGGCAATCCGCAGGAGGGTATACAGTCCTTGCTGCTCTTTCTATCAGCTCGGACACTCGGGCCTATCTTTATTAAGTCCTAAGCTGCCATCCGAGTTAATATCTAATGAACGTAGGAGCTTGAAATCAACTTGAAAGGTAAATCTACCCTATCCGACTTTCACGGACAACGTCTTGTGGCCCATCCGAAAAACCATGGCATTACCAATGAATGGGCCGCCTTGCGCTCCTCTATGCAAGCCTTTCGTATCCGTTAAAGTTACACTTTGGGGGGCAATGTCCTGTACAAATTGTAGGTAAGTGGCAGTTGCTGTTTTCTTCCATGCTCCGAGAGTCTCACTGCCGTAAAACAGGGGACATGTGTATTCATATCTTTGGGGATTGATGGCTTCAGGTAAGTTGAGGTGCGTCGGGCGGAATTATGTACACGTCGCATTCTGATGAGGTTAGGCAAATTAGGCGCTCCAATGGCCGGACTGAGAGGGCCACCATTCACAGATCATTGCTCAGTGGAATAATCGCCCAGTTTTCCAGTTTCCCCACTTCCACTGTTCAAATTCTATTGCTAAGTCTGACTATGCTTGACCAGCACCTGTCAAAATTTCTTGGATCAGGCGCTCGCCAACCGTAGACGGCAACACTAGCAACCTCTAGCAACCTGGAAACCCGTCATCAAATATAATGCATTACATATCTACACGCTGGTTGGACCCTGAACGTCGGGCCCTTCAACTATTCCTTTTTACTTTAGGTTTCCAGCCACGCTGGCAACCTGAAAACCGGTAAAAGCCCGGAATCTCTTTTGCCATTTTACTACTGATGCCAATGGTGTCAAATCTGTCGATGCTGCACATAGCCGTTTCAACCCCCGGTTACATAGTTAAGTTACGTCGTCCTCAAGTCATGGAAAGATGTGAGGGGGTACAGCCTTCATGTAAAGGCAGCTTGATTTCCTAAAGGGGCAATATCACACTTTCGCCCAAAAAGCAATTCTGCCATCGAGGGATCGGTCACTCGGTCTTCAAGAACTGCACTGCGGCAGATCGACGGCTTGCCCGATCCCCTCAATCTGGCGTACAGTTGCGGACAAACAAAGTCATCAAATTTGATAACTTGAGAACCAGAATTTTTATCAAAATTCAGACTTCAGATTCAGATTCAGAGACCTCGAAACTGTTCAAAAAAGGTGTTCCCTTAATTTTCCCACGCGTTTTTGGTTTGGCCAAATTTTTGGGTGTTTTCAACGCACCCAAAAGTCTTCTGAGTCGGCCATCTTTGGATCAATTCTGTGCAATTTATAACCCTGGTGCAGTAGATGCGTGAAAAAATGAACCAGGGTTCATTTATATCTTTTTCCGGGGCACCTTGACCGGAAAGGGTATGCCCACGTGACAGTTTTAGCAAAATTCCCACCATCAAAGACATCAATATTTCAGGGAGACTTTGATAAAATCAAAGAGAGGAAACAAAAAGGAGTTGATTGGCATATTTTTCGTATTTTTAGCTATTTTTTCAGGCACTGGCCAAATTTTTGGGGTATAAAACCCTTATATCATCATTTCTGGGAATTCTGCTCGTTGGAATTGATCAAGGACATCAATAGGAACCCATTTATACCATTATCTACCAATTCCGATGTTTTTCGGAGTCCCAAAAAATAGGTCAATAAATTTGTTGACTTTGTTTGTCCGCAACTGTACAGGGAAACGTGGTTAAATTGAATTTCAACGTTGTCCTCAAAATGCGATCGGCACCTCATTGTTACATAGGTCCGAGTCTGTCACACCCCTAGCCCTCCAAACTTCACACTTGACAACATGTCCTTCGCAGATTGGCATTCTGGAGTCTCCGTTGCCACAACCGCCAGCCAACATGGTTTCATCAATATGTCCACCGTGGACGACCTTTCTTACACCCCGTCTGAGGATGAGAAGTACCGCGATGCTGCCCAAATTGCTGCCACTGGGCGTCGAAGTTGGAAAACTCTTAGAGGAAAGGGCGAAGCGGTTTGGCCACCCAATTTGTCAGTATGATTCGTCAACGACCAACTAACCGAAGCTGACTCTGATTTTTTGTAGGGAGGCTGCTCTGATCGAAGGCAAGCCACGCTTCAAATTGGTTTCACGGAGACTCTGACTAACGCCGTTGCATTAGCCCTAGAAAAATATCGACAAGAGGGAACGTGGCCGAACAAACTTCTTGATCGCTTTCCGATGCGGAATCGCTTTATTTCGGATTATATCTTTGAGGTTACTGGAAAGTGCAGGACCACTAAGCAAGTAAGCAGTCGCCTTCAGCAGATGCGAGATACTTGTAAAGGCGGACCCAGTATGTCTATATCCCCTGGTTTCATCATTAAAGTTGGCTCACAGTCATGTCAGTCCTGGAGTTAATCTCCGGTCGATTCTCATCCGTAGAAGCCGAGACCATGACAGAATCTTCTGGAACCGTGTCGGAGGGCAGTTGTCACGCCTCTCAAATGCCTTACGAAAATTCCTCTTCCAGAGATCACCTTTGTGTGGAAATCTCCGTTCAACCGTCGATGTCTCCTGTTCCGATAATTCACTTCAATTTGAACGACATCGCAACCCCCCTCGTCATCTGTTTAGCTTCTTCGGCTGTCCCGGCCTATCAAGGACACAGTGTCTCTCGTAATTCCCGAGGCTCTGTGCTGCATACCTCATCAAATACTGTCGAATTTACATCGCCCTGGGCTCTTATCCTGAGCTCGGTTTTTTATGTTTACTGCGATGGTTCAGAGTTACTGGTCCACACAGAGGACGTTCCACTCAAGTGCCTTTCATCTCCGGTGCAAAGTTCTGGATGGCTTTATAGCACTGAAATTACCCCGGCCTTCTGGAAAACGCTCTGCGAGAAAAAAGGTAGATAATATCTTCCTCTCCTCGACTGATTTTTTTTTGACGAGTATTCACTTTATCAGAACTGACGCGGTACATGATCCTGCAGCGACTGACCCCAATTCAGTCGTACCAATCCCCGAATGTCGCGCGCCGCTCCTCTGCTCCTGCAGAATTGGCTCGATCATCTCAAGAAATTTTTGTAGTGTACCACTTCGATGTTGTCGACGAACTTGACGTTAAGGTTCTCGATACCACATTCAATTATCAGTCTACGAGCTCCCAGAGCAATGTGAGAATTTTCCTTCTCCTGGTTAGTTAATCGTTCTGATTATCTAAATCTAGTTTGTTGCCCCCTCCCAACAACATCCATCAATGGACTACCATCAATGGGATTCGAGTAGGGAGCATACAGCCAACTGGTTGTCTCACCAGACTCAACCCGTTGATCAGCATTATTCCAGTTCAATGACAACGGCTCCTCCATACACCCAAAACAACTATGCTTATGATCGCCATTATACTCATATCTCGACCGATTCCTCATTCAAATATGGGGGTTCTCAATATGAAACTGGTTATGGTGTCCCCGGAATCAGCTCTTGGCCTAACCAGCATGCAGAAGTGCCCTCTCTCCACTATGCCTATCTATAGTTGATTTATAGCTAATTTGGACTCGTATTCAATCTGCTTCCTTTCATTTTTTTTCTTCATGGGACTCATGGATTATGGATTGTTAGTTCCGCTATTGACAAGGTCATTATGTGAAACAGCTTCACCATATTGAAAAACACCTCGCTGACCTCCACCCCGTGACTGAACGTCTCTATTGGGGTATCGCTCGAAAGAGGAACCTCCGTCGCCTCTGAATTAGTGCGTTTGCGGCTCGCCTTGTATTGCTGTTCCTGAGCGATGAGCGCTGAGCTGGCGCATCGCGTGGTCTGCTTGGATTTGCTCATCGAGCTCTTGTGTGGCTCTGAGACTTGGTCTAGTTCCTTTCTGCTCCTTCTGCTTCCCTTTGCTTTCGCGCCTAAAAAGAGTTATGCCAGACTGAGGTGATAGTGAATTTCATTACATAGGGGGGTGTAGGAGGAGGCCAACGTCATTTCTAATGCGTCGTTTGTCTGCTTTAGGTTGGTTCAGAGGGATAGGAAGGAGAGAAAGGCCTGCATGGAGAGGGAATCCAAGGACTCATCACGGAACGGGGCGCGTCGTGGAATAGGTTTCGAGGTTGAAATCGATCGTAAATCGCCATCGGAAGAGGTAATAGCATGACTCGGAACTCACCTTAAACCCTTATTTCGCAGCCTGCTCACACAACTTCTCAATCTGCTCAAACGTCAGGAGGTTGCGGTAATGTCGGGCAGTGGTGCCAAGCGTTGCTCAGAGAGCTGAAGCACGATTTTGGCGTGTTCTAGGTTGGCTTGGACGGATTTGCCTATGCTCGTAGGCTGTCTGGCCATCTTTGATGTCGAGAGTGATGGAATACGGCGTGAGGAAGGAAGCCGGGCCGCTGATGCCGTTCGCTCTTCAACATTTTGACCAACTACCACCACCTGTCACAAGCAAAAATCTCATCACCCCCGGCATCGCAGAAATCAGAAATACGATCTGAATCAGTACCCATGTGCTACCCACAGACCAAAACACGCCAGCTACATCAGAAAGACGACGCGTTCAAGGAAAACGTGAGTTTTCTCTGACTTTCCATTCTTTCTGATAGTTAATCGGCCTCCGGGCGCCAGGAAGACTGCCAGACTCGTACGACGCGTGCCATAACGTAGTAAAGGAAGTATCTGACGTAGGTTTGCCTGTTTCTTATGCTCGATGATACCCTGAACAGCGACCACACTACAGACGCATATCCTTGTCAATCGACCTATTCACCATTATTCTGGCGGACTCGATCCAAAGGGAACTTTCAAGATTCTTTCGGAGGGCATCGAGTATGAGTAAGTTGTATGCCATCCTTGACTTTGCTAACTTCTAGCAACATTACTAGAATTCTGTCGTCAAACCAAGTCAAATCCAAACCCACCTACATCGCCATCGCGTCCCAAATGTTCTCGTGTCCTCGGCTTCCTCGAAGATTTCAAGGACAAAAAGCCCGCCGATGTATCGCCGGCCGCTAAATGCCCTGTCTACACGTGGGTCGAAAACGGGTGTCGAATGGTGTTGGTCGTGGTCCAGAACCTGCAAAAGGCAACAATGAAAAGGTTTCGTTCAGTCCTTTAAGACCCCTTTATAGATGCAGCTATGTTCAGCTTTGTCGTCAGTGCGAGTTCAGCCTAGTTCACCTGGTTTTGTGGAATCATCACAGACCAGTTATCGACGACGATCAACGCGTCGGTCTGAGAGAAAATTGAGAACGTTGAGGGCGGTTGGTACGTCCCCACTTTTTGTATAGGTTTCTTGAAGAAGCCCATTGCCCTTTAGTACTCGGCGTCACTGGGTTTATTCTATCCAAATGTGCGTCTAACTATTACATTTGTGTTGATCGAAGGTTGATGAGTGTCTTTCTAGTCATTACAACACTACGCTGACGACGCCCCTAGTTCCCCTCGTTTTGACGATCATCCCTGGAATCACTGCCTGCCCGTCCTTATCTTTGTGAAGAATATCTTTACCTCGTGGTGCTGTTTAAGACCGAGAGCAAGGGAATGGAGGCCTTCATGCGGTTGCCTATCGCGATGTTAATCAAGCCCCAAAAACATTTCGAAGTTACTCACTTGACCGGACCGAAGGCGTCGTGTTTTACGTTCTTGATGATGCTGTCCTTAGCATGCATCTTCATGCAGTCTTATTCGCTACCCACGTAATCATAATAAATGCGCTGCCGGTGGGTTGGTTTGATTACTTCAAACAACTTTAAAAACATTGACTAACGTCATATCAACAGGCAATCTAATGTTCCCCTTTTTGTATACTATATCTGGTCAGGATATGCGGATATTTGACTTTTTCGTTGATGTAGCTTCAAGATCATATTGTTCAGCCTTCAAATTTTACAATACGCTAGCTAATCCAATTTAACATGCTGCCCAAAATTTTGAGAATTTTTGGAAGATGCGTTGTAGCCTCGGAGTGTTGCCGTCGTGAGGAGGCAAGTGAACAAGATATGCAAAGGCATGTCACAGTAATGTCACAGAGGGATTTTGCACAATGTGACAGTCTCCCAAGCAGGGCAATTGTCACGTATTTCTTTCTCAAAATCGATTTTGACGACTTCCACTCGTCCTGCCTTCCTGAAAATTTGAGGATGTGCTTAATATTGGTATTAGATAGTGTCTATGGAAAAATATTGGGAGTAAGCCTCACACAGAATGTGTTCCTGGCAGCCAAAGCTTCATACACCTATCTAAAATCTCACCCTTTGGCTTCTCACACTTCGTACAGTTCATGAATCCTGTCAAAAATTTGCAAGCAGTATTTAATACACTAGTTCAACATGAGTGAATTTTCTTGAAAGAGCAGGAGTAAGGGAAGGACACGAAAAGTGAAATCCGCATCTCTTGATACCACGCATATCCTGACCATATATAGTAAGAACCGAAGAATGCTGATGAGAACCAAGTGTGGAACGATGCATACATTCCGCCACCGCGTTGACGAGCAGAGATATGTCCAGCTGATTTTCCCAGAGGACGATGGGACAGTGGTAACCAAAACCAGATACGTCTCGTGAAGGTTCGTGGCTTGGATGATACGAGGTTTGACCAATCAATGTAGAAGTGTTTTTATGATGCCGTATCTATGGGACGAATGTGCATTGCAATCGTATCTGATGATTATATGTTCACATAGACTCGTTCTGACAGCTTTGTCACAGACACTCGCCGGTTGTGGACATTGTGGACGACGGTTCCTGCCTGAGTTTGGTATCAAGCGGACAAGCAGATAAAAATAGAACAAACCAGATCAATCTTCCATAAGAAGCATACAACGTCATCAATCCAGATTGGGATCTCCTGCCTACACGTCGCTCGCAACTTGAACTTGCCATTTCCTCCCTTCCCCTCCCCTTCTCAACTTTCTTGCGGCCCACCAGCGGTATGCTGGGAGTTTGTCACCGTAGGAAACGGCCAGGACGGCAACCACGACTTTCTTACCTACCGCCAGCTGAGGAGACCGGCCGTCTACCTTCCCTTGTCTTTTCTCTGTCTTTTTTCTTTCAAAAAGTAGTCCAGAGCGTCTAGCAGCGGCCCTCGCTGCCCGCCACGATGAACAGGCACTCTACTACCGCCATGAACGCCCACCAACGCCTAGAGGCTGCCACCGACCTCGCAGGCCTCTCTCCGATTTCAGACGACATCATCGTCGCCTGTCTTCGCGAGAGATTTATGACAGACACCATCTACACCAACATCGGCTCCTCTGGCGTCGTCGCCCTCAACCCCCACAGATATATGTCGCCTCAAATTCGGATTCCATGCTCTACAAGTATGCTGCAGACTATCGGGATTCTTCAGAACACAAGGAGAAACTCCCCCCACACGTTTTTCAGATCGCCAACAACACTTACTACCACGTGAGACGGACAACGCAGGACCAGTGCATTTTGTTCAGGTGCGTCGTGGCAACTGCCCCACAGCCTCTTTTGATGCTCATCTATCCATCAACAGCGGTGAAACGGGGAGCGTCACCATCAAGTCCTTGTTGGAGCTCACCGTCAGCAACCCTGGCAAAAAGGGCTCTAAGCTCGCTACCCAGCTTCCGGCTGCAGAGTTCGTGCTTGAGACGTTCGGAAACGCTCGCACCCTCTTCAATCCCAACGCATCCCGCTTCAGAAAGTACACTGAGTTGCAGGTACCGACGACGGCTCAGCGGTGTGAAGACACTCGACTATTACCTTGAGCGGAACCGTGTGGCTGCAGTGCCTTCAGGCGAGCGCAACTTCCACATTTTCTACTATCTCGTCGCGAGTTTTGCGAGCGCTATTCGGAAGGCTTGGAGGGTGGAGGAATTTCGGAGGGAGATGCTCGTGAGAGGGTTGATCAGGCTAGGACAACGTTTGGGTTGGGTGATCGAGATTTGGTGTTGGGTCAACACAAGGTGAGATTTCCTTCGTTTGATTGAGGTTGATGCGTTATCTCATTATATGGACATTCTTAGGTGTTCCTCTCTCAAGTCACTTTCCACAAATTCGAGGATCAGCTACGGTCTCATGACGTTGAAGAACAAAAGCGAAATCGTATTCGCGACCAAGAAGCTGAGGCTGGTTTGGACCCTCGTGGTTTGCACGACCCGTATGCTCCTTATCGGATACCAAACGACGACCTTGAGCCTTCACCATGGGGCAACGGTTATCAAGAAGCTTTCAACAACTCCCCCTCGTCTCCAACGCGTCTCCATTCCAAAGATCCGGCTTCCCAGCAAACGAAATCTACGACGATCACGAGGAGAACAAGTCTGTTCGGAGCGAGGACTTTGATGGTCGCAGCAGGTTCACGAGTAACCGCGATGAATCCGTGTCAAACTTTGGGTCCGAGTCGTATGCCCCCTCTCGGAACATGTTCCAGAAAACTGACAAGAGGGGGCTCGTGGAGAAGGAGGCGCTTGCTGGTGAGATTCAAGAGGGAGAGACGTCAGAGGTGTTGAAGGAGAGTTCGGCTCGTCGACGATGGGTCGCCTTGTGCTGGATGTTGACGTTCTGGGTCCCAACTCCCCTCCTCACCTATGTTGGGTGTATGAAGCATATGGACGTGCGACAGGCTTGGAGAGAGAAGCTTGCCCTCAATCTCCTTATCTGGTTCATTTGCTCCTGTGCCGTCTTTGTCATTGCCGTCTTGGGGGTGGTTATCTGCCCAACTGAACATGTCTTTAGCACGTCCGAACTCGCCTCTCACTCTTCCATTCTCAATCCAAAGAACGTTTATACCTCCGTTCGTGGAGAGGTTTTTGACCTAATTACTGTTGCTGCTACACATCAACGAGTCGTTGGTGTTGTTCCTACCAAGGCTATTTTGAAATATGGTGGACAATCTGCAGACAACAACTTCCCAGTTCAGGTACGTTTTCCGTTTGATTTTCTCATTCTTGTCCTTACTCTTGTTGACATAGGTCAGCACTTTGTGCGATGGCACATCAGGTTCTGTCAGCCCTTACGTCACCCTGGATTCCTCGAATAACACAGACCCCAACTCCGTGTACCACGATTTCCGCGCCTTTACCAACGATTTCCGGCCTGATTGGTACTTCGAGAGCATGGTCGTGATGCGATACATGGCTCGTGTTGGGTTCCTTGGGTATACTCCCAAGGAAATCAGGAACATGGCCAGTGCTGGGAGATCAGCTGCCATCTACGATGGTCTGGTTTACGATGTCACGAATTACTTCACGAGTCCCCCCGCTGTTCGATCACCAGCTGGTACACAGGCTCCCGCCACGGATACCAATTTCATGTCTGGAGACGTTTTGAATCTTTTCCAGGTTCACGCGGGCATGGATATCACAAAGCGATTGATATCGCTGAACATCGATAGTGACGTCTTTGCGAGGCAGAAGGTTTGCTTGCGCAATCTGTTCACTATCGGAAAAGTGGGCAATCACCAATCCCCGCAGTGCTTGTTCGCGACCTACATCCTCCTTGCACTTTCCATCATGCTGTCCATCATCGGCTTCAAATTCCTCGCCTCCATCAACTTTGGCTCTGGACGCGCTCCGGAGGACCATGACAAATTCGTCATAAGTCAGGTGCCATGTTATACTGAAGGTGATACTTCCCTGCGCAAGACCATCGACTCCCTCGCTCAGATGAAGTACGACGACAAACGCAAGTTGCTCCTCGTCATTTGCGATGAAATGATTGTTGGTTCCGGCAACGATCGTCCAACCCCGCGCATTGTCCTCGATATTCTGGGGGCTGATCCGAATTTGGATCCTGAGCCTATCAGTTCCATGTCCCTTGGTGAAGGAGCCAAGCAGCACAACACGGGCAAGATCTACTCTGGCTTGTATGAGTGTGCAGGTCATGTTGTGTCATACTTGGTCGTTGCAAAGGTTGGCAAGCCGACTGAACGCAGCCGGCCTGGCAATCGTGGTAAACGAGGCTCTCAGATGCTTCTTATGCATTTCTTGAACAAGGTTCGTAATTTCTTTCACGCTGTTAGCTTCTTTCACTTACGCAGATTGAACAGGTCCATTTCAACTCTCTGATGAATCCGCTCGAGCTCGAAATGTACCACCAGATCAAGAACATCATTGGCGTCAAACCGTCTTTCTACGAGTACTTATTCATGGTGGATGCTGATACGACTGTGGATCCGCTCTCTGTTAACCGCCTCATTTCTGCGTACGTCCGTTTTCTTTGTCGATATTTTCGTCGGCTTAAGTTACCATACTAGGATGATTCATGACAAGAAGCTGCTCGGCGTTTGCGGCGAAACTGAGCTGGCCAACGCGAAGCAATCTCTCATCACGATGATGCAGGTAAGTTTGAAGTTTCTAGTTGGTCATCTAGCGTTCTTACGAACTCTTTGAAGGTGTACGAGTATTTCATCTCCCATCACATGGCAAAGGCGTTCGAGAGCCTTTTTGGATCCGTCACCTTGCCGGGTTGCTTCACCCTTTACCGCATCAGAACGCCTGATGCCCATAAGCCGCTACTCGTCTCCAACCAACTTATCCACGACTTCTCGGAGAATCGTGTCAACACACTGCATATGAAGAACCTCCTGCATCTTGGCGAAGATCGATACCTTACTACGTTGCTCCTCAAGCACTTCCCACTCTTCAGAACCCAGTTCATCTGCGACGCTCATGCGTACACCGTGGCTCCTGATGACTGGAAGGTTTTGCTGTCTCAACGTCGCCGCTGGATCAACTCGACAGTCCACAATCTCGGGGAGCTCATCTTTTTGGAGCAGCTTTGCGGTTTCTGATGTTTCTCGATGCGTTTCATTGTAATGATTGATTTGGTTTCGACACTTACACAGCCCGTCACTGTTGCATACGTAAGTTTTACCTTTTTATTGGATCAGGTATCTGATAACTTCTCAAGATCGTGTATTTGATCTACCTGGTGGCTTGTGAAGGCAAATCCATCCCCACATCATCGCTTATCATGATCGCAGCAATCTACGGTATTCAAGCCCTGGTTTTCATCATGCGACGGAAGTGGGACATGATCGGATAGATGTTATTCTACATCCTTGCCATTCCCGCCTTCTCCTTCTTCTTCTTGCCTCTATACTCGTTCTGGAAGATGGACGATTTCTCTTGGGGTCAAACACGTGTCGTGCTTGGTGAATCTGGCAAGAAGATGATTGTTCATGTAAGTTTTCATCTCTCTTTTTGAGACTACATGACGCTAACTCCTCATCAACCAGGACGAAGGGAAGTTCGATCCTCGGTCTATTCCTCTCAAGTCATGGAATGACTACGTGAGCTTTGCCTGTTCTCTTCTTTGTTTGTTCGCTAACACCCTTCATCAGGAGAACGAGCTCGGGGACAAGGAATCGAATCACAGCATCGGATCCTGGGTCCCTCAAACCAAAGCAAAGGAAGCTTACGCAGATTCGCGCACTGCTTCGTTATATGGCCGAGAAACCTTCTATGAACCTCAAGGACGCAGCTTCTCACCAGCCCCATCTCAGCTTGGCATGTACCCACCTCCAGGATACCAATCAGGTCGTAATACCCCACAGCCCCAGTTCCGACCAATGAGCGACGTAGGGCACTTCCACCAGCCTGCCCGTCACGCCCTCTAGATATGCCAATACCCACGACGCACAGCCCAGATACCTTCGATCTGTTACCCAACCTGGGTGGTGGTGGTGCGCCTGCTGCCAGTGGCGCACCAAGTGACTTCGAGCTCGAGCGGTCCGTACAAGAAATCATGCGATCTGCAGACCTCAACTCCGTGACGAAGCGCGAGATTCGGCGCCAGCTCGAGGAACAGTTCGACATGGACCTGACCTCTCGCAAGGCGACTATCAATGCCGCGATCGATAGAATTCTGCTCAGTCAGGCGTGATTGAGCGGATTTACGTTGGAAGTCAACCTCTGGACGGTCTACCCTCTATTTCGTCATGCTTGGTACCCCTTTTATGCCTTTTCCTCGACTGACTCTCCTCATTGGTATTTTGAGCCCTTGCGAACCATTTCTTTATTATTAGCTTACCCTCCATCGAACTTGACAATTAGTATCATCTCACGTAGTAGGATCTCACTCCCCACCCTCTCCATCATCCAGTCATTTGCATAACTTTGCACACTCTTTTCCCTTATATCTCTCGTCCCTCTGACATCAAAACGTCGTGATAAATAGTTCATGTTAAGACTATAATTATAGAAGCAAGCATGTGTCCGTTATTGTCTATCACATCATGATCCTTTTAACCCCATCGTCGACTAATCAAATGGCACGGGCCTCACACCCGGCACTTCCGCCTCGCCCAACTTGAACCCATGCTTCTTCTCCGCCTCCGCCCTAGCCGCAGCAAACACAGACGGCACGGGAATCCCGCAGCAGTCACCCCAACCAACGTCCTTCTGGCCAGCCCCTCCAAGGTCGTCATGTGCGTGCACGTGGTCCCCATGCACTGTCGGTGATATCACAGTTTTCGAGGACGTGGAAAGTGCGGATGGAAGAGATGTAGCAGGCGGACGCGGAGGCGGTAGAGGCCCGTCGTAAGGGAGGAAGGAGCCGAAGAGGAAGTGTTGCATTACTGGGAGCTTATTGAGAACTTCGGCGAGGTACATTTTGAGCATGCCTGAGTTGACTTTGTCCCATGTTTTTACCTGCGAAACAAAGAGGAAATGACCTCGAAGAAAAGAAGTGAAAATAGAGGAGGCTTACGGCTGATATGTCGTTGAGCATGGGGGAGTGCCATTGAAGGGAGGCTGTTTTTATCTGTGTGAGAGTGCGTCAAACGTCAACAGCGCTCAATGACAAGGGGGGAAAGACGCGCCGAGTTGATGAAAGCGATACAAGCGAAATACATGTAGTCTTTTGAGTATTCTTCCACTATCTCGGGGTCGTGTATCGCCTTGGGACGGATGTACTTATGCCCTGGTACGCCACGGATCAGCTCTGGGGTTCGGAAAAGTGTGATGACGTTGCCCACCTCGTAGTTGAGCGGAACCGAAGAGAAACGGGAGAAAGTGGTAGTCGTCCAGCCCCCAGACGCCATGCGAGCCAGCGGGTTCTAGCCAATAGGTCGATTGGAGTATCCGCATGATGTTTATGTATCTGCCAACGGGTCAGTCTTGTTCGGACTGATTTATGGAGAGAGGTGACGCACCTCCAGAACAGACGAATAACAATCGCTTTATGGTCCGTTTCTTGCAATACCAGTAGCCGTTCTAGACATAGGCTAAGTATACGACACGTTGAACAATCAAAAAGAGGGAAGAAATCCAAACTTACAGCCAGCAGAGGAAATTGAGCTCCATCCCACTCCCGAAATCGATGCGCGTGCGATTGCCCCATGCCTCGCTGAAATAGACCGACAGTTCCTCGATAGCATCACTTGGCAAATCAGGGAGCGATGTGTGTAACTCCGGTGAAACCTATGAACGATGGTTAGCGAAGACTTCAATCCAAGTCCAGGCTAATCAAACGCACCTCGGAGACACGGTCATAAAATGTTCTAAAAGCCGAATTCCCAAACCTCGACGCGGAGTTCTCCACAGGAGGCGTATCCCTCGCCACTCGCTCAACACTGTCCAAAAGGACGAGAACGGCAGCTGCACCAGTAGACAATGAACATTCGTCGGTGAGCCTGACGCCGACGACTGCGTCGTTGAGGACCTCGATATATGAGACGAGTTCTTGGTGAGTCTTCGAGGTTTGAAAGAATTCGAGTTGTTCCTTCGTTAGGATCGCTTTGCGTGGGACTTGGAATGACATTTATCAGAAGTTCGAGTTGATGCTGAGAATTCTCAATGCTCAAAACCCTAACCCTAACTTCCGAGCTTCGTCAAAATCTCCTTCATCAGCCTTCATCCCTAACTCCACACAAACAGTTTGATTTGAACATACGAATGGGAGATGAGGGAATATAAAAGTATTCTACGTTTGTTGTTTCCCCAGATTGCCAATTGACGCTATAGGACAAAGATAGTTGACCCTCCCACGGTTGGACGCGAATCCGAGTTCGGACAAGTCTCTGGCATGGCTCTCCAACGCAACCAGGAATCTTCCTCGGAGACTAGAATTCGAACTTGCGGTTGGATCGTAATAATTGAGCTCCATTGGCCTGTCGCTCCATGTAAGTATCTTTTTCCTATCGTCTTTTTAAATCTGCGTTGTTCACGCGGTCTGTCCACAACTTGCACTATTAGATATTCTCATACGAAACAATCTCTCTAAACTTCAAAAGGATTTTCTCTATTACGTACAGAGTTCAAGCGGTCCAGCGGACTCGAGAATACGACAACCACACAAGGAGCACATGGTTTCTTTGCATTCCGCCTTGATCAAGTCCGAAATTTGACGAAGGCCTCTTGCCCAATCCCTCGAGTAGACTAGCGTACTTAGGCGCTTACTAGCCTGTCAGTTCATTCTGCTATCACTCAGAAAACACGTACCAAATGCCTCCGACAACGAAGCGATGACCTGGGAAATTGCAGTAGGGTAGCCTGAGTCGCGCGGGTTGCATTAGGACGCGGAGATGAATTTTCGGAGGGCAACAACGGGACTGAGAAGGCAGAAAGATGCGTGTTCGGGACTAGTGTAAGTCATTTACAACAGTTTCGATTCATTTATTGATATGGCATATTCTACATCCCAAGTAGTATTTCGACGAAAAACTAAGGAGCCCTTCCATGTCCTCCGTGAAGGAAAGGAAAACGCGTCCCGACTGGTGAACGGTGAGAGGTAACGCGGTGCCGCTTTCCTGTAACGTCCGCCTTACCATTGATGTCCCTTTCAGATTGCGTTTACATTTCCGCAGACTGCAGAGAATCACGCGGCGAAATTTTGGAGGACGTTGAAATACGGTAAGTGACACTTCTGCCTTGCATTTCATAGACCACCCATTTTGCTCCAGTCCTCACGAATCAGTCTTTGATTCCACATCATCACGATCAGTTGAACAGCCACTGGGCGGGATGGTGATGCTTGTGCGGCTTAGGCCGCGGGCAGCTGAAGGCTTTGGCATGGATAAATGACCACGGGTTTGACGCGTCACGTAAATTTTTCTTTCTTTTCATTTGCTTCATACTAACCGGAGGACAGAGGGGCACCTACCTACACGAACTCTCAGACGTCGCTTCCTCTACCGATGGAAGGTGGCTACCTACCAGTCACTTCCCTTTTCAAAACGTTTGAACGTTGAAGCTAGTATTAGTAGTGGGCTGCAGGTTTGCGGCATCATTAAGGTGTGCCCTTCATGTAACGTGCAGCACAATTTCTAATCAACAACAACAGTTCTCATTGACACTTCTCGGTTTGAGGTAAGGCCTTAACTCAATCCCCACCTCTTTTCAACGTCCAAAAGCGCATATTTATACCACCATACACAGGCCAATCAATGTCCTCAGAGCGCCTGACATATCACCTAACTACCAACTGCAAATCTACAGCCAAATAGAGCGGGCTATGGCCAATTGAATACGAGGTGCGTAAGACCTTCGTTTCTTTTGGTAACGCGTCGATGCCGGAGGGTGGGTTACTAAGATCGACTGGATACAGTTGAGAGCATCGTTAGCAACGGGCAGGGAGCGCAGTCCGTGCTTTAAAATTCACAAAGCGCCTACTCTACGTTACAGGTCCGTATCATTCAACAATTCAATTGCAATGGCTATGACTCACCGTAATGGGCAGGCCGGTGATTGCAATGGTTGTCTATGAGCAAGCCTCAGCATTGGTTATACCGGCTATGTCCTTAATTTTCTCCTCCACAACGACTCATTACTGCGCGATGAAGTCTTAGAAATAAGAATAATGTACTAGCGAATTTATGCATCACATTTGCATCATCAAAACAACATTATTCAACCGCTGCACTCCTAGATGATATCGGCTCTCCACATCAACGTAGCCAGATTCGTTGTCAAGTTCCACAGTTCTTCCTAAAATCTATAATCGTGAGTAGGCCGTTTGTTACGAAAAGTGGTGTTAGTGTAGGAAGACATAAAGACTTCACTACGGTGTCCATTCCCAATCACCCCCGACAACTAGCGATCGTCTCCGCCCTAACCGTCTGCGCAAACCTCACCAACTCATTCACCTGCACCCACCGCTCGTCCTCATGTCCCTCATACGAACGCACGCACTTCAAACCGGGAAACAAACCATCCAAGTACCGTCCGATACGAAAAGCGTCCCGCGTATCCCAATCGTCTACCACCGATGCGATTGTGAGCGTCTTCAGTTCATGTTTGAGCTCTGAATATAATAGTTTCCTCGATGATAAAAAGGGTTGCACTGCTTGTATGTCGCTTGTATCCAGGGGTATCCGCAGTTCCATAAGCTTGGGACAACGTTCCGCGAGGACTCGAAGAGACTTCATCCTTGGCTGTATACGAGTGGGAGGGAGGAACGGGAGAAGGAGGTCGTTCAAGTTTGGCCAGGTCTTCGCCCACTCTTCTATCAGGTCATCGCTGATATCCATAAGGTATCCACGTAGACTGAGCGTGCGGAGGTTGTGTAAAGGGAATAAAGGCTTTAACGTGTCGAGAGGTAACTCTTCCGCCTCCGTGTCCTCCGGTGTTAGTCTGAGCCCGAAACATCGTAAGGAGCTAGACCAGCGCGAAACGACGTCCTCAACTAAAGGTTTCATGTCGAACCCTGGTTAGACAAAGGTGTCTAGTTGGTCCGTGGATATGTTGGCAACGAACGATTGGATGAATGGAAGCGATGCGGAGATGGTAAGATTCCTTAGCTGTCTGAAGCCTATGGTTTTCACCAAGGGGGGTATTGGTGAGTCTATGAAATCCAATTCGAGGTCTGTAAGCGCCGACAGTGCCCCAACGCGTTCCAACCACGGCAACCTCAAAGATTTGCCCATACATCCAAGTTCCAACACCCTCAGCTTCTCAAAACGAGGTATTAGCGACATCGTCTCGTTCCCCAGCCCCTCTCCCCTCAGTATAATCTTCGTCAACTCCGCACCGTCATTTAACAGCGTATACAAAAAAGTGCCACACAATTTATCTTCCACACTTGTAATCTCCCCGATCTCCACTGCTACCAAAGACGGGGAGAGAAAGAGACATATTCCGGAGATCAGAAAATCGTTTGAGCTGAAGGATGGACAGTGGATGTGTTGGAGGGAGGGGAAGAGTATGGGTGAGGTTCGAAGTTGGGCAATGCCACAGAAGTAGACATGCAGAGCGATGTCGAGGTGGTCTGGGTCACGGGTGTAGCTGAAGTTTTTAACACGTTTGGCGTAGAAGTCGAAGCGTGACCAGTCAGTTGGTCCTCGAAGGACCTGATGCGAGTTTGCGAGAGGTCAAATTGAGATGCGCGGAGTAACTCACGCCGTATGTTCCTTCACACCGTATAAATGATGGGAGGAGTTTGAGCAGTGGGAAGAGAGTATCGAGGGTACACCAGAGGCGATCTAGGGCGGATTCCAGAAAGGTTTTGCATGTCACTGCTGCCTGCGCTAGGGCATGCTTGCACGCTATTGCGTTGTCCGAGTTTAGCTCGCCATCGTCATCCCACAAATAAAACCTAACCCTAACGACGCCGTCTGTGATTCCATTCGTCTTCTTTGGTGAATGGACTTGTAAGTAGATAGATGTCAGTGGCTGAGATGAGTCAGATGACGATCAGCTGTCTGACAGCTGATGTAATCTCAGATCGTTTCTTCCTGCCTTCACCATGACGTCCTTCGCTGACTTTCCTCCAGAGATCGTCAAGGAGATCATCGACGTTCTTCAGCACGACCTACCCTCATTGAAAACGTGCTCGCAGACATGCCAATCGCTACTGCCACATTCTGCCGTCAACACATCTTTCAGACCATCAGTCTCACTCGCCATCACGCTCGTGGCCATCGCTCACGCATGCTCAAATCATTGAGGCTTCTTCTTGAAACCAATGCAGATATTTCACAATATGTTCGAAATCTTGTCTACGAGATCGCCCATAACGACGAGCGGGATGACAACGTTCGCGTATTGGAAAAACTTCATCCAATTCAAACCTTGGAGCTTGATGGTTCTGGTGCCCACTGGAACACATTGTGCTCACCGATGCAAGAAGCGTTACTTCGTCTCATTTATTTACACTCATCGACCCGTCTTCGGGTTTCCTTATTTTGGAACTTTCCAGTCACAGCATTCATTCCCTGCATCACTCTCACCCAACTTGCAATAAATTCACTTGGTCTTACTGCCGCCACAGAATGTGATAACGACCAGGAGTATACTACCTTGGATCCCGTCCCTCATATACAGTCTTTCACTTTCGGTTGTGCCGATGACCCTTTTGTCACAAAAGTTTTCCTCGCCAAACGTTCCACCGGTGTTCCAATGCTCGATTTCAGTAACCTCAAGGAGTTGGATATTCATGCGCGCTTCAAGGATTACTTTGAAGGAAGGAAAACATTGCTACAAGCCTCGGAAAAACTTGAAATTCTACATTATCGAGGTATGCTCTGCCGAGATTCGTTTTCATCAGGGATTGATGTTGATGTTTTTAGTGACACATTTGGAAGACGGATGCAAAGATCTGGTTGCTTGGATGAACAAATGCTGTTTGTCGACGTTGAAGAGACTTCACGTCGTGTTGGGAGTCAAACCAAAATTCAAAGACCCTCTTTGCGGTCTTTGCGAGGAGCTCACTCAATTTGCGGGACACAACGTTATTGAAGAAATCACCCTCAACATCTTCACCTGGACTGACCAGAAATGCACCACTGACCGTACAAAATGGGGCAGGCTTGATACCGTACTCGCCGACGGATTTCCTATGCTTCGTCGGGTTTCGCTTCACATTGATATCAAAATTTCCTCATGTCGGTATGTGAGCGAGGATGATTTAGCGTTCCGTAAAAAGTTGCAGATGATTTCTGAACACTTTCTGTGGCTATCCCAAAGTACCACTATTGGTTTCAAGTTTTCCACGGAAATAGTTGATAGTGATGATGATTGTGCTGTAATGTACTATGATTAACTTTTTCGCCCGGATATTTCCCGGGAGCCCCAATACTTTGCTCTAAAATTGCCCGACGCCAGTCTCCTCGAAAATTCGTTTCCCCGGTCAAATATTATTGAGGTCCTTGACGATAGCGAATGTCAGAAAGTGGTCATCCGAAACATCGTATGATATGCGTGAATTTGTTTGAGTAGATCTGCCAGCGATGGCTCACATTTGTCATCTTGGAATCCCCAAACTTTCGTCGGATCCGAGTGTAGTACTTGAGATCGCAGCTAGAAAAATAGAATACCTCTGAACTCGGTGGGCTCGAATATTTCATGCCGTACGTGACCCATCAGCAGGTACTGACTTGACACTATGCGTCTCAAATGAGAGGGATAGAAAATGACGATACTACCCCCGGGCCAGTGAATTCAATGTGGGACTCTTTCCGCAAAGTTGGTGTTTTCGCAAGGCCAACAACGCGCTGGAACCATTGCCCGTGATCATTTCGAGTCTTTGATCTGGGTTCCAAATTGAATCTGTCTATATCACAGAAAACCGAAAGACAACTGGGGGCATGACGACAAAGGTCATGAAATTTGATATCGCTCTTCGAAGCCAAATTGATGAAGATGGGGGACACCCATTCAATTAATATCAAGTCCGATTGGTTTTTCTTAGATCGCATTGGTGACCATGTGCCGTGTAAGGCTTACAAGGAATTCGCCACATGGTTATAATCAAAAGGACAGCGGTTGAAGAATGTTGTTTTGATTATGCACATGTTCTTTATAAATTATGAATCCGCTACAAATATTATTCTTACCTCCAACAGACAGTGACTTTCACTAAAATTGAAGAGAACATAAGATCCCGGGGCCATAGCCGGTATGTCGGGTTATTGGGATATTTTCGGGCGATGTGCGTAACAGATACTGAGGCTTCCTCATAGACGAACACTCACCGGCCTACTCACTCCAGTGAGCCATAACCATTCCAATTAAATCGTTGCACGGTACGAGGTCGACGAAGACACGATGGTGGTAGCTGGATGACGCAAATGTCTGACCTCGGTTCCTACGATTCAGATGCCTGAGACTTGCCTGCCCCAAGCAAGCAATTCGGATACGCCCTTCGTATGACCCCGAGCAACGGCGTGACACTATTGCGGACTTCCTTGCTGATGCGACTCAGGAACGGGAAGGTCCTTCTGCCCGATGATGTCCGCCAGACTCCAGTTCATTCACCGTCGAGGTGAGGGATGTTGTGAGGTCGGTATACGTGAGGTTGAATGACGTAGAGCTGTGAGGCAGAATATTGGAGAGCGGTTTGGAAAAATCGAAGGAAATGAGGCGGTTGACGACCTCAGTTTCTGCAGTTCAGAAACGCAATGAATATGGGACTGAGCGGATGAGAGGCGTTAGTGATGCTCAGCTGTGCGATGCCAGTTTATCGATAACTGACTGTGCTTGAAGTTGCTCCGCAGAGTACTAGGTGTGAATTCGACAGCGCCAACGGCCTGGTTGTCAAGTTCGACGTCTGCACGAACGATGAGAGGCGCAAGGCGAAACTTCGATCGGTATACTTATATGCGTTGATAGAAAAGATCATTTAAGGAGTGCGCGTGTAAGAACCGTTGTCAGGGCTCCGTGAATGGTGTACAGTGAGCTAAGGCTGCGCTAGAGACGACTCAGACGAGTGGAAGAGAGCGAAAGCGTGTAAAGATGCCAGTGATTTCTGATGCATCATTCTGAATCACCGTGGCCGGTTGTGGACATTGTGGACGGCGGTGAGCTCCTGCCTGAGTTCGGTATGAGCTCAGCCCAAGATCAGCGTTCGTTCAGCGTTTGTTCAGCGTCGCAGCAGTTGCTCAGCGGAAGTCCTGGACAAGCAGATAAAAATAGATAAACCAGATCGATCAAGCATGCAAACGTCATCAATCCAGATTGCGTCGTAATTTCAACGTCGCAACTTGTGCCGTTTCCTCCCGTTCCCTTCAATTCTATTTATCTCACTTCTAATTCAACTCGATACTCATCTTTCTTGCGGTCCACTGGCGGTATGCTCAACTAAACCTGCCGTCCTCGCATCCCCCAGGCAATTGGGTGAATTTGACGCTTGGGAGTTTAGGCCTTGGGGCTCAGCTGCGAGTTACAATGGCAGTATCGAAGGTGTGCGGTGTTATTTGGATGTCGGAAGTGTGGTGGGTTCTCTACGCTGCCAGCGGAGGTACATTACGGTACGTGACTTTGTTGTGGAACCACTCCAGTGTTGAACTTTATACAGGTAGACAGCAGGTTTTTTCCTCCATTTGGGGCGTGACCCGCTCTTGCAGGCTGATCAGCTCGTAGTGGGGAAGATCGACTCTAAGAGATAGATGCTTTTGACCTCCCCCGATTGGCGCCTTCAGCTTTCCTGCGTTGATAGACGAGTACATCATTCACATCCCCCAAACAACATCGTCATCCTCTTATCCCTCCACCAACATCGGCTACTCATTCATCTGCCCTCCCACCCAGCCTTCGGCCTACCTTCCATCTCCGACTAGCCTCCGAAGTCAATGGAGCACATGATTACAATCCAAATACGGAACACACATGCGCATTCTACATTCCTCACGACAATCGTCCGCCGATAATTGTCGTTAATCCTGTGTCCGTCTGGCTCTAACGCCCCACTCGCACTCACTCCCTTTTCATCTCATTCCGCCTCTGTCTCTCGTCCCACGTCACACAGCGCCCGACATCCACCATTCAAGCGGTTTACGCCCTCTTCCATCTCTGCCTCTCTCCCGCGTTTTTCCACCACGAATGGTCCATTTTCAGCAACTAACGGACACTCCCTCCGTTTTGGCCCTCAACCACCCAGTGCCTAGTTCGTATATGCCATTATGAGGGAGAGTCGGGGTCAATAGACGACTGCGGCTGATTACGCGCGCCTCGCATGCCTCTGTGAATTGCCTGACCTTTGAGAGCTCTGTGCTCCGCCCAATGTTGTGTCGTTCTATCTATACATTCACATAGAAACGACGCAGATGACGGAGGAACACCAACACACGTGCCACCTCAAGGCCTCACCCCACAACTGACGTACCACCCAACACACATCACGACATTCACACTCGCAAAACGAGCGACGCACCTCGACCCATTTGTACCGCTCTCTAAGCAGCTCCTCTCTTGGTGGGGACGCGACCGCATTCAACTCTTTACACGTCGTGGAAAACTGCGGAGTTAAACCATCGTTTGACGCGTTTTAAGGACTGGGGCAAGGGTAGGGAAAGACGCAGGAGGAGGAGGCAGAGGCGGAGAAGCCAAGTTGGGGATATCTATGACGAAGAAAAAGTTTGGAGAACTCGAGCGCTACAGCGGAAGGTGGAGATTTCAGAGATGAATTTGGTTGTTCATCCCGTTATTCAACGGGCTGTTGAGTTGGTGCGTTTTCCCTTTCTCTGATGATGACGTGTCACTGACTTGAATAAAGGCCCAATCGCAAGTCCAACGACCCAACATCCCGCACATCCCGTCAAAGCTCCTCACTGACAGCACGTTCCTTGAGTCTCCACTCGCACGTCAACGCATAGATCTAAGCCATCCAAGGGGTCAACAACTTCTGGCCGAGCTTCGAGAGGGTATTGGAGGGGATAGAGGCGCAGATGAGGAGCAAGGAGGTGGGGGTGATTAAAGATGCAACGAGGAATTTCTTGCCACCGTTCTGAGTCTTATTGCTCATGCCGGGTTGAATGCTGTTACGGATCTTGGTGGGTCTCTCCTTCTATGATCTGTTATTGTGTTCAAGACTAACGATGGGAACAGTATACAAGTAATGAAAGCTATTTCGCTCAACGACCTCCCCTCCTACACCGACCTTAACAAAATACACGAATCAGTCACATTCGCCTTTTCCCACCTAAACCGAAAACTCAAACTATGCCCTACGCAATACGTCGAGCTCTCCCGTCCGTCGAGGCAATCTCACGAAATTTTACCAACATCCTTCTCCCGATCTTAACATCCCGCCGGCTGACATACTATACGCCTTACCCCACCTTTGAACGTCTTCTCGCACAAACGGGACATGGGATGATTTCATCAAGGAATTCACGAATGTCGCGAGGGAGGTGATGGGGAAGAGGGGCCAGAAGAATATTCTGATAAACGTTGTCTCGGCGCATGGAAAAGCTTGTAGAACGGGTGAGCTATGTGAGGGATTGGAGAGCAGTTGGCTGTTATGACGGGTCCGATGTGGGTTGGGGGAGAGGGAGCGGTGGGAGAAATGGATATGGAGGAGGTTAAAGAGTGTTGGTTAGTCCCTTCTTTCCCGTCTCTTTCTTTTTTTGTGGGTAAAAGCTGATGTGGCTATCATACACAGAGGGCACCGAGATATGGGTAATAGTTGAAAATGTGTGAAACGAGCGCACATGCAGACGAAAACACACAAGCTCAAGAGCCAAAAGTAATACTTACACGCAAGCACAACTGCGGTTGATCACGTAGAATGACCAGGGTCAATTATAAAGTAAAACCTTTCATGCGGTTTTGCTACTTTTTCATTCCACTCCATGTAACAAACGATTCCTTTTCTTTTCTTTTTTCTCTAGAGTCGAGATTTTGAGTCGACTCTTCTCCTTTCTACTTTCTGCTCTGCCGCCGGTACACGCTTGGGCACCCTTGGCCCTACGTTAATTAGATATTAACTGGGTGGGCAACTTAGGACCTATAAAAGTAGGGGTCGAGGTGAGGACAGCATAAACGTGGTCCCAAGGGAAAAGCCAGGCATCAATGAACACTAGTGTTATGCTTCCTTTGCAGGATGTTTTAGTTTCATTTGTAATGTAATTTTCTCAACATATCTTTGAGGCTGTGCTATATCATCATGTGTAGTATCATATAGAACCCTGTATTCATCTTGACCGAATGTTACGGGTGACCTGAATACATTACAGACTAGAAAGGACAACCATGAAGCTTTTCACCTGTGCAATCACAGCACGCAATTTTAAACTGCTCCCAGTCCCACTTCAGTTACACCGATAACAGCGGTCCAAACTGCCCAGTTCCATTCCTCCGCCCAGAAACCAGGTTTCATACAAACCACTTCGATGTTTCGTCCTTCTGGATCAGTGATGAATACGGCGTAGTAAGTCATGAAGTACTGAGGGCGCAATCCCGGAGGCCACGAATAGCAAAGTCTTCTACGTCCTTCTCCAATCTCTCCTCCAGCTCCTTGGTCTTGTTGCGCGTGCAAAGTTCGATGATGATACCCGTCATACCCTTGGTGACACGCTTCAGTTTGCCGGTTGACTCTTCACGGTATATGATCTCGGTACGCTTATCGACGGGGTTGAACGGCTTGAAGTCGAGCAGTTTGATTCCGGCACGAGCACAGGCTGTATCTCCGAGCGCTTGAACGACGGACGTGTCAATGGCGTCCTGATTCTCCACACGCGAGGCGTAAGCGGAAAGGAGTATAACGTCTTCCGTGGAGAAGGGGCTGTATGTCTGGATAGTGTTGCGGTTGATGGTGAGCTTGAGCCTTGTTGGTGGTCAAAGTTCCGGTCTTATCAGAGCACAGGATAGTAACGCCAGCCAACTCTTCAATGGCGGTGATGCGTGTATCCATGGCCTTGTACTTGGCTAATTGCTGAGCACCGACGGCAAGGGTGACTGAGAGGACGGTGGGCATGGCAATGGGGATACCACCGATGAGAAGAACGAGGATGTTGTCAAGACCATCGCGGTACCTGTACTACAGCCAGCGTACAAAACAAACATTTCCGCAATGACGAAGACATCCATGGTGACAAGACAGAAAGATCCGAATTGAGCCAAAATCTTCTGCAAGTGACCAGTGGTGTCGTCATCCTGGCCTCCGAGCGAGGCAGCACGATCAAAGAAGGTGTTGGGGCCAGTGGAGATAACCACTCCCTCAGCTTCAGCCTTCAGCCTGCTTGCACGTGGATCCCCTGAAAAAAAAAGACGTCAGACGCTGAACAATGTGCTCACGAAAACATTATAGACTCACGAAAAGCACTGGTCGCCCTTTTTCTTGGACTGAGGCAGTGACTCACCCGTCAAAGCGGTCTGATCAAGAGAAACATTGATGGCTTCTGTCAGACGACAATCAGCTGGGACGATATCACCGATTTTGAATGACACCATATCCCCAGGAACGAGAATGGACGACTCGATTTCTGACCATTGGCCATCGCGTCTAACCTTGGCTTTAGGTGCCAAGTAGTCCATAAGCGCCTTGAAGGCATTACCAGCGTTACGTTCTTTGTAGAAACCAATGGCAGAGTTGATGAATAGCAGGAGAACGATGCGGACAAAATCAGGCCAGTCAGGGGGTGTGCCCTGACCGTTTGAAGGTATGATAGTGACGAGCGCAGCGGCTTCCATCACCCATGACAGGGGGCTCCACATAAAACTCAATAACTGAGCAGAATTAATCAGAAACGTGCGCCTAGAGAAAGTAAAAGACTAACCTGAAGGAATATATTCTGTTCCTCAGATTCCAGTTTGTTGCGGCCAAATAGCTCGAGTCGTCGTTGAGCCTCTTCTTGGTTCAACCCCTCCGCAGTGCACTACAAGAGCTTGATGACATTGTCGATAACGATAGTCTCCGCTCCTTGTCGTACAAATCCTCTGCCTTTAGTTCGATCTGCAGGGACGCACGTTCGTATGAGCCAAGGAAGCTGAACACATCTGAGCACGTACCGTGGACATATCGACCTTGGCATCTATACACGCGTCAGAACCGCATAGAACAAGTTGAATAAAATCAACGAATCATGAGATGCTTTCTCGTCGTCATGGCCAGAATCCTTATACTGCCTCTTCTGGCTCTTCGATGGCGTCGGTAGCATCACCCTGAGGATCGTCTGCGACGGCGCTCATGGTGGCTAAGTCGCTTCCAGGAAGAAGAAGATTGCGACCAGGATAGAGATGTTTGACCTTAGTATGTAGTTCCTAACCTATCCATGAGAAATTTGCAGGGCCGCAGAGGAACCGACTCAGAGATTCCAATCTGTCACGAAAGCAACATGAAAGCAGAAATACTTACCAGATTTCATCGCTTTTCTGAGGAATATATGCGTTGCGTTTACCTCAGTGCCTCGCTCGTTCCGGGTTTCGACGACATCTCAAAATCTCAAGGGCAACCAAAACGCCATGAGGGAAAAACGCCAGTCACACCTGTTGGCGGAAAGCACGAACACATACACAATGGTGGATGATGATGACAAACAATGCGTATCTACTCCTGAAGCCTTTGCCAAACATGAACAAGCAGTGTGGATCTCTATGAATCGCAAATGAATCGACTTCTTTCGGCTGACACGCTCCACCGTTCCATCAAACAAAAATTCGAGGCGATCAAGGTCGTTGAGGGATACATATTCGCGTTCGTCTGTGCACGAGGAGATGATCTATAAATAAAACAACCCTTTCGTGGAAAATCGGCGCTAACTTTGAGTTGCCGATCACGACGGTCGACCTGAACGTTTCCAGCGTGAAGTTCTGAGTGTGTCGGAATACATAGGTACTAGACGAGGTAAAGTGAGCAGGTGAGAATGACTCGGAGTGGAGCCTGGAGGAAGACGTACACGTCATATAAGTACCTCATTACTCCCTACACGAGACGAACACATCGAGTCAACATTGAGTCCTCCATGATGCTGAAGCGAAGGCATTCTTTGCCTCGGCCGTCTGCCATGGTATTGCCAGAAGTCTAATGGTCTCGGATGTTCCAATATTGCATCCGCCCGAGTGTTAGAGTATGGCTGCTGTTGAGAGGTTAGTTGATGAACAACGGTAAATGGGGAAAAGGAATAGAAAGATGGGGGCCGATTCATCGATCTAAGTCTCGATAACGAAAAGGAATGGGCATCGAGTAGGCTGATCCAGAAAGGAACGGGCATCGAGTAGGCTTATCCAGAAAGGAACGGAACGAGTTACGAAAGGAGGAAAGAGATGGGTGTGCGCTGAACACAGGCCAACCACCTAGACAAAAGGGGTACAGTTGAAGTAGGGGGAAGGTCGAAAAAGTGTATGGGTGGAAAAAAAATGCGGTATCCACTTAGCGCTTGCAATGAAAATGTTTGAGCGTGTTTTGATTCACCACTAGGACGTCCGACGTAGCCGTATACACACCCCGCTCCTCGCCGTCGAATTTGCAGGAATAGTTTATGAGGGTGATAGGCATCGAGTCGAGGCGTGGGCACTACAACGTAGGTTAGATTCCGTTCTGAGTCTGACACACGATGGACTTGCCTGACATCAGAGGCATTCCCCATTGTCATCTTCGCATTTCCTGTCTCTTAACCTGTGGAAGGTGTTCAAATGTGTCCCCTCTCTTGAAAGCAGTCGTTGATGGTACATCATCTGACTTTTCGATGACGCGAGAGTTCGTCGACGACGTAGTGCTGCAACATCGGATAAGAGAGTCTAGACGCCTGTAAGTGAACAGGTCATTCCGTTAATGGGAGACACAACTTACTCAACATGATTAGGCATTGAGTCAAGGTAAAACTGAGCTGAAATTTTCCAGGTTGCACAAGCTACAATTCAAGGTCTAGTTACATATCTATCTAAATTGCACCCAAGTACTCTATGATTTTTGCACGCCGGCTGTCGACATTCATGGTATTGGGAAAAGGTTCCATCCCCAGAGCTGCTCCCATCTGAATACAAACAGGACCTAGAAATTAGGTCAGAAGCAGCAGGGATTGAAGTATTCTTGAGAGGTATTCACCTTTCATTTGATATAGTTCGGTTTTGTTTTGTGGGAAATACTGGGGATTGATTTCAGCAGGGTATCTGAGTAGGGCGTCATGTGGGCATTTTGAATTGTGAAGGCGGAGAGTCAGTAAGGCGGCCCTAGAGAAATCAAGTTCTAATCGTAAATGAAATGGTGGGAGATATACTGCTGGTTGATTTTAGTCATAATGCGCTCCTCGCTTGTGCGCAGCGCCTCAAGTATAACAGCTGATGAGTCTTGGAGAGCAGTCTGATAATAAAGGATCAGTTCAGGTCCAAAATGTAGAAGTCAGTAGAACCTGCCCGCAGATCCTCAGCGGTAATGGTGTTTGGCTCGGGGGCGGCGTGTGGGATTCTCGCCACATGAGTGGCAACCTCGGCCAATAGAACCGAGAGTCGGGCGAAATCAGGTTGATCAGGAAGGGGTTGGACGTCTGCCATCGAGGGAGTAACAAGCTAGTTGGACTGTGGTGGTGGAAGCAAAGGTGAAAGGATTGCACGATCATAATAATCCAAGTTGATCAACTAGCACGTGACCTCAGACTGCTGCTTGACCCTCTCATCCATCTCACGGACGGAAACCTGTGAGTGCTACTCGTTCCTCCACAGATCGTCCAAGTGCCGAATTGTCGCTCAAACGAAATCGAATGTCGTATTCAGGAAGCGGAAGCGCGTCAATTATATAATCATCACTAACAGCAGAGATACTCCTCGCCATGTCGACTTTCAAACCATTCATGGCAAGCCGAGAAAGAGCATGACTACGTTCAACGCACACGACTTGTGCAAGTTCCTCTACACTGCCCACCCCCCGGATCTGAGCGATATCTCCAAGCGGGACAACAACCACTGTGATTCAACTGAGTCGGTCCTCCTAGACAATCGGCCTTCGCGTCCATTTGTACATAGTCACGCGCACGTTCCACCTGGAAGTGCCTCACTGTATTCGTGAACACCATCAACTACCATCGTGGATTGAAGCGCCCAGCTTTCAACTTCGCAACTTCAGCACACTGCCTGCATCACCTACCGACAAGATATCAGCGATTTGTCAGGATGTTGTGGAGGGACCCTCAAACTGCTACCCACTGCCAGGCTGCTGCCCTACTCCAACGTCCGCCAACATCGGCGCTCCTTCCGGGTCCAAAGGCACGCTCGAAAGCTCAAGACTCCTAGATTTTTCGGGCGTGGGCACTTGGCAAGTTGCTCTACCACGACATTAGCTTGACAAGCGTACCCCTCAACGTCAACACTCTGCGTTATCCAGCAATGAATATCATTATGAACATGAATGGAGACCTCGGTCACGGACAGATCAATTTAGAAGAGATGTTGAGGGGGGAAACTCTTCGACGTCAGTGTGAAAAACTGATCAAACAACGCTGTCGATGCCACAAGTCCTGAAACTTGAACCGGGTGATGGGCAGTTAAGATAGGTACCGGGTTTACTGCTGTTTCGTTTTGCATTCCCTGCTAATTTTTTCTTTTTTGAAGTGGTTTTTCTTTTCAGTATGTGAGTATCTTTCGCTGGGATTTATTCGGGGCGTGTCTTGACGACATTCAACAGCGTCGTAGTTCACTTTTCCTGAGACCAGGAGGCCTAGGTCGAGGCCCGAACTTACATAGCTTCCCACTGTTCGAAGTTTTGACAGCGAGGATTTACCAAGGGTTCCACGGCCAATACAGACCGAACCTCGACTTCTAAGCCTTAACGGAGGGAACGAGCAACACAAGAATCCCCACGTCCCTCTTTGTACGTCTTGAGGGGAGCCACACCCAATCAGAAGTGAACGACGTCCGATTTTTCGAAGGTACTCGAGTCTGTTATATTTTGGAAACCAACAACTTGCCCTCTGAAACAATCTCACAGCAGCCAGCAAGGGGCGATCATCTCCCTGCTATCATACTCTCGGTTCAAATTAGCCACCTCAAACCCTCGTTTACGACTTGAAATCGCTCATCCTTACAGCACCCACCCATAAAAACCCCACTTTCTTCCCAAACCCATCAACATGACGTTGATCGCCGTCCTCGTGGAAGCCCTTCGGGAACTCACGAAATACGTGGCTTCGGCGAGAGTCACAGTGACGGCATGCGTAGCATTATCCAAGTCTAGGCTTGCTCGTTGATGATGCATGTAGTGTTTCGATGGTCAGTCGTTGCTGAAGCGTTGGTTGTGGAGTCCCTATCTGAACATTCACGACATTCCATATAGTTCTGGGCGTCACAATCTTCGTTTATAATCACATCTTAACGTTGAGAATGGAGGTCGCGTTCGTCTGGTTATCAAAATGAGGCTTCATGAAGGTGCTTTATCTCCTCCAACGATACTTGCTGTTCTTAGACTCTGTCCGTTTGTGTCTGATGCGTAAGTGCATGACGAATCCCCCTCTGTATTCCGTCATTCAACTAATAGGCTTTGATTACCGTTAGATCAGTTGTCAGCAGACATCGATACGAGGGTCTGTCTTTTTGTTGAAAACGCGCGGGTTGAGGGTTAACGTTTGTGGCGTTACTCAAGGTAACGCGGGTCACTTGCATCCGGAATATATCTATCTATCTATCTAGGCTCCGCACTTTTGAGACCTTTTTTCCAATGTCTCCACCGCCCAAATTCTAGTAGGATAGTCCAGGCTCGTTTTTTTGACGAAAAGGCGTTGGCTGTTTGGCTGATCAGATCTATCACTTCCTGCTGTCCTTCTCACTTTGGGCGCGGACGGTACCTGCCGTCTAAGTACACTTCTTGACTCGCGCCCCGCAGAAACCTACCTATGTAAACCCGCAAGGCCACGCAAATTTCTGGCTGTCCAGACGGTGATGGTTTATAATTGTAAGTCACACATCATCTTATAACAGTTCGGAATTAAGTCATGTATGTTAACCAAGCTTAATTGATACATAGTTACATGACCAACGAGCGAAGGAATAAGTAGATCTTCCGAGTCCACCATACATAAGTAATATTTTATGAGGAAAGAACTCGAAAGGGAGGTAATATATAGAGAATCGGGAAGGATTAATCATTGTTTAGACCGATTCGGAAGCCTTACTGAATAATTAGGGCTGGACATTTCGAGGCTCTCTTTCGTTTCAGTGCGGATGTCGAGGATGACACGGCACGTTAGGATAGAGTACATCGCTCGTTCGAACCTGTGAGAATAGAGGTGAGATAAGCTGATGACAAGATGGAGATGGAGAAGAGATTACGTTGAGAGAAGGTTGTGGTAGGCATACTAAGTGAGATGAGTTTGGTATAGACAGGAGGTTGGAGGTGGGGGGGAACATACTGGATATATGAGAACGACGTTAATGGCCGACATGACTGGAGGACAAGAAAAGGGTTCAACGCTCTTGACCATGTAAACGAAGGGTAGAGGGACGAACCGAAGAGGTAGAAATAGTAAATCAGTCCGTTCAGGAACACCGCATTTGCGAGTCTCCGATGTGAGGATGTGGTCATTCTCACTACAAAACAAAAACCTCAGTTCCAATTGCGCGCATGAAGATCGACAGGATACGCACGCGCCGGAAGTCCCTTGATCGCAATCAATATCAGCAGAACTGCACACGATGGGTAGAAGTAAGCGTCCATGTAAGTAATCAAGTGTTTCTCACCTAGATCATAAGCCATAACAAACACCCAACAAGCGAATAACATCGGGCTGCCGCCGATGTTGAAGCATCCCGCTGATTGATATCCGGCTCATCGAGGGGGTGGGATAACTGTGTATGGAAAAAGTAAGCAATGAATAAATGGTACAACGCAAAAAAAAAAAAAACACCCACACGTCACGGATTTGAGAAAAACCCCCATGAAAGTGAACACCCCACCAAAGCATAGCGCTCAAAGAATCGGGAGGATGATGGTAAGCCTGGAATCTTTACCCCAGATCGCCCACGTTCTCATCGTTAGGAGGACTTTACACAAGGAGTGGTTAATTTGGTGATTGGGGGATGTGGCGGAGGTTGTCTTACTTTCAGTGACTAAAATTCCGATTGCGAACATCCCTAGTTTTCGGGATTAGCGAAAAAAAAGGGGGGAGGAGTGAAGATGAAGAAACGTACAGCCGTTGACTTGGAATGTCGTACGGCAAGCTTCTTCTGAGGAGCCGTCGAGAAGGATATCTGACGATAAGATGGTGAGAAATATGTAAGGGGTAATGATGACGAAGCTTACAATACAGAACGGAGATTATGTTGAGGAAGGGCATGTATCGCGTTAATAAATAGAGAACCTTGATCGTGTTCCAGCGGGAACTCCATATATGCTCGACCTCGAGATCTAGGTTCAATAGGTATTCGTATAACTAATTGAGGGTTTTAGTGAGTATACGTCGTTGATGGAAAGGGGGGTGCGCACGAAGAGGCAGACGGCGGCGACTGGGTTGATTTTTGGCTAATACAGCTATCCGAAATTCGACGAGATTGATCGGAACGAACTGGTTGTGCGCTACCAAGAGGTTTTTTTTTTCATGAGATAGATGCTGTTAGGAAAGGGCGGAAGAAAGACGTACGTGACTCATATTTGCATGATAAAGTAGCGAGATCAAACTGGCGAGACTGAACGCGGTCATGGAATGGTGACCACCGAGGAGGAAACGCGAGGGAGGGGTGAGCGAAGCATTGTTAATATGTTCCTAGTACTTTTGAGCAGGACTATCCACCATCATTTAAAAATGAGATAAATTAAGAGAGCCGTTGCGAATCTGGAATCTAGGCTTACCGAGTGTGTTATGTATTACCATGTGAAATAGGCTTGGGCTCGTACTCTCTTGTACTGTAAAGATCGCTAAAAGCTGCTGAGTAGGTGGGAGGCGGCGATCAGCTGCCAAGACGACCGCCGGAGCTCCTGTGGGTCGTAAGAACGACCCCTTTCTGTAACGAAATATATATCTGATAGAGCAGAGGAGGCGCCGCGCACGGAGGCAGATCACAACATACCTTCAAAGAGCGACCTAAAAATCTAAGTTTCCAAGATTCATCCAAGTATTGAGTGGGTAAAGGGAGACGAAGGGGCGGTGGTTTGACTACAGTAACCTGGGAATTGGCCTGAATTGGCGTGTCGGAGAGGACTTTTGGACGTGCAGTTGTTGAGATGTTCCAGATCAAGATAGAAAGCGACTAATTGTGATAGGGGCACTAAACCTCGCAACTTGATAAGTTTGAAATCTGTAGACTGGTTACTGAGCGGTCTTCAGAAGGACTTGGAAGGCGCGACGTCATTTGATAAACCTACCTCAGTTGACGCTCTGCGGTTTGAAAACCAATCATAAATGTACCCATTGAGCGGGGGGGAGAAAGGGGGAGGCATATTGGTGGCATACATTGCGTTCACGACGGAGGCGAGGCTTGAAAGTTTGTGAAAGCTTGGGCGAGAGCTTGAAGGGCGATGGGCCGCCCTCTTCCTTTGCAATATTTTTTGCCATGGCAAGCTGGGTGTTTTAGGAGAACAGTGATCAATTACAAGAGCGCTCTTACTAAAAACTCTTGTCCTACGTAGTGTATTTGAAATGGGGGATGATGCCAAACATTAGCTGATTTCGATACTCCAAGACGACGGCGACAACATCACGACGACAGCAAACGTTTCACGCTAGCAACTACAGCCTAGCAACAACGGCTGTCTTCCTCTTTCTCACTTCTCGCCCATCGTCGCTCGCAAGTCCAGCCTTGTGCTCTGCGGAATTGAAAAGGCAAGTGCTGCGCTCATCGATCCTAAGCACGATGATGACTTGTCTAAAAGTATTTTTGGCCACCCTCTCCAACAGCCGAACGGCGCCGTTTGTTGGTGTAAAAATATCACGCTGCAACCATCGATACGCCCACACATCTTCTTCATCTTGCTTGGTGAGCACTTCTTTCCTTTGATATGACCCCCTGTGTTTTAACTTTTTGGGTATCTGACGACGGGAAGGATAGAGAGCCTCTCTACTTGGACCACCCTTCATTCAATATGAAGAAACGGGCGCCCACGAACTCCGATCTGTATCATCGCCCCCCGTCGACCATTCATCTCCGTTGACGGCGCTCATCACCCGTTTCACTTCGTCTCTGCGATAAGTACGTGGCATCACTCGGGGCACTCTTTTCATACACCACCAATACCACATGGACTCCACAACCCCACCACCACTACCACCACCCCGCCCCACAAAAGGGCTCAACTTAGGTTCAAATCCCTTCCCGTCCCGAAAGGCCTAGGTTTCAAAAGTGGATCGGGGCGCAACAATTTCTCGCCTGCCCCCGGAGAACTCCCCATCGTCATATGCAAGATCCAAATTATCGGATGTACCCAGCTTTTGGCAAAGGACCGGAATGGCGCTAGCGATCCGTGCGTCTCTCTCTTATCCCCTTTCTCGTAACAAGCTCATCCATCTTGGTATAGATTCGTCGTCGTTTCGGTACTATTGATGCGTCACCAAACCCCCGTTGCCAAACGGACTTTGAATCCCGTGTATAACCCCAAAGACGCGACCTTCGAGTTCCCGCTCTACCTCTCCCTAGCTGACAAGCTCGTTGGAGTGGAGTTGGTGGTATGAGATAAGGACATGTTATCGAAGGAGTATCTAGGCGAGGTGGCTTTGTCACTGGAATCGTGGTTTAGAGGCGAGGGCGAGGAAAATGTTTTGGGGTTTGATGAGCCTGGAAATAAGGTTCGTCATGGATTTCTCATGCGTTTTGACTTGGCTTACGGGGATGATAGCCTTTTTCTGTCGACCTCTTATCGACGCGACCCAATACAGCTGCTACGGGTAGCATTCAGCTCAAGATTGGATTCGTCCCTCCCCATGGAACACATGACCTTTTAGAGTACGATGAGATTTACGGAGAGTTCGTTAAGCGCTCTAGGCCTTCTTTGGTCTCGGCTCCTGCTGTACGATTTTGTCCCTGTCCTTTCTCTTTCTTCCCATCTAATGTACTTGACACTTCAGACAGAAGGCGTCGGCACCATCCGCTCACATCACGCCAACGGGAACCAATACGCTTTCCAAGACGACGGAGGGCTCTCTTCAGACGACGAAGATGAAGACAAGGAAGGCGAAGACGAATTCGTCGATGCCCACGAAGATAAAGCCACAACCACCAACAACATCCCTCTCACAGAGCTATACACACCATCAACACCAACCGAAGTGGACAAGGCTTTACCACCGCTCGTCACCGCTGCTACCACGGGTATCAGGCCTCCCCCACCCGAACTCATCATTCAGCCAAGTTCTCCCTGTGGTAGCACGACGCCTACACACAGCGCAGCCCTCAAAACAGCCACACCGCTCACGCAGCCGACGCCAAAAGCGACGAGTGGTGGGTTCATGCCCAAGATGAAGTTTACGAGGAAGATATCGGGGCTTACTGGGATTGGCGGTCGCGGTGGTGGTCGTGAGGGGGGAACGAAGGCTCAATCCCGCTCGAGGAGTTCATCGCCTGTTCCTCGTCCCCCTGCTTCCCCCATACCTTCTTCGCCTATTTACATTATTCTAACACAGGATGGGCCAGTGACGGAACAATGTAAACAGGTAATCAAACCCCAAATGGCAGGTTCAACGAGCTCGAACTCGACTGACCCCCCTTTGCCTTTTTCCCACTCCTCCTTCCCTCCTCTCCGTCGCCCTCGCTCTCCGCCGCCCTCCTCTTCCTCTTCCTACCCCCCGCGGCACTTGCGCTCTCTCCTCTCGCCGTTCCAAACGTTCCATGTACTCACTCCTCTCCATATCCGTCTCCACTCCCGCGATCATCACGCTCCCCAATTGTTTCTGAATTTCGCTAAGCCGTCGTTGAACACGACTTCGGCCCATTTCGCTCGAGTTTGTCTCCAGGTCGGAGAGGAGCTTGAGGAGTAGGACTTGAACACCGTGTGTCAAGATTGTTGCCTGAATCTTGACAATTTCAGCACTATTACCACATCAGTCATCGTCGTCAAAACAAAGAAAGAAAGAAGAAACTGACCATCCATCTCATCTTTCAGCTCGTTCAACTCCCTTTCCCCATCCTCATCCAACGCAGGCGTATACCGTCCCATATCCAGCCTCCCAACACCCTTCTCCCTCTCCCTCCTCTCCCTTTCCTTCTCCCGCGTCTCCTTCTCCCTCTCTTGGAATTCACGTTCCTTGTCCCTCATATCCCTCCCGCGCTCTTTAACCCCCCTCTGGTGCTCCTTAACCCCCTTCCTCCGGTTGCGTACTTCAAGCTCACACTGCACACATTCTTGCTCCCTGGAATCGATATCCTTCTCGCGTTCGTCGAGCTCTTCCTGTGGTTGTTGCAGTGAATCATCAACCTGAATCCCAACCTCACTCATCGACGTCCCCTCCCCCCGTTTTCTCACCATCCCCACCAACTCAATGCCGCTAGACCCCAGATTCCACCCATGCCAACACCGAAGAGGGATTGGAGCGCGAGGAATTGCTTGAAGTTTTGCACGAATCCAGCGCCGAGGTCGAGGACGGCGACAAGCGAGGTTACAAACGAGGGGCCACTTCCTGCGATAGCGATCTGAGACAATGCCGAATGATTGATGAGAAAAAGAGGTAAGAGCTGGAGTGAGCAAGGGAAGCGAGATAAACGTACCGCTCCCAGCGGTCGGAAGCACAATATCATGAGTAAACTTATTGAATTGATCTTGAAGGTGCGTAACGCTGAGGGATACAGAGAAGAAGTCGATAGCAGATACGTCCAAGCCAGCCATCTAAAAGAAAAGTCAGATCGATGGACACGCAACTTCAAGCTTCAAGCGCTGGTCGAGGTTAGGTATGACGTACCTGCAGAAGAACTGCATCCATTGGAGCCAAGTCACAATGCTGATGACAGTGAGCAGAGGCATTGAATGCTGGCGCTCTTCTCTGCAGGGGATGAGGTTTCGCAAGAAGTAGGGCGGTTACGCCGATGATGGAATGAAAAGAAGTGAGGAGCCTAAAATTCGATGGCCGAGGAAGAGCGGTTTTAAGAGCTGCTCCATCCCGATCGTCTAGTTGTGATTCGAAGGGGTTATTCTGAAGTAGCTTGTGCCCACGAGGGGAAGTTAGACAGTGCGGTGATTTAGGAACCTTGTAACACACCGAGGATGTCTTGGCTGATGTTTGGGTGGCATAAGGGCGCAGAGGTTCTTCCTAGGTCGCAAAGCTTCCTCAGGATGTTTGCGCACTTGGTCGTATACCCTTGACAGTATCTGCAAGGTTTGTTTCCCTTTATGACATAAGATCGTGATGCGATGGTCCGAAAACCGCAATCCCCCGACTGTAACTTTTCACGGTTGTTCATGCCTAGATAAGGTGTTAAGATTGTCGTTTGGCATTGTGACTGGAACCTCCTCATCAACCTTGCTGTATTGAAGTCACCCTGCACGGAGTGCTGCGCAGAAGCTTTGTGTAAGTCGTGTAGGAAACAGCATCGACTGACATGGGTTCGTTAACAGTTTAAAATTTCGATGCTATGCTATAGTGCACACGGCAAGTGGCTCGCGATGCCTGCAGGGCAGGAGTTTAAGAGGCTAGGTGTTAGTTATAAGGCGCTGCAAAAGTAGGGGTCTTGACGAATCTGGTGAGTGAGTACAAGTTGCAATAAACTGTTTGTTATCTCAACGTAAGTTGGATACAAAAACGGACAGGTCAAATTAGAGGTGCTAGGACGATTGACTTAATTCAACCCTGAAACGGAATACAGCGACTGAACGTAAGTTTGTGACACTAGTGAAAGATGGACGAATACCTACTTTTATTAAGTCCTAAGTTGGCCACCCAGTTATTGCAATTTTTAATAATGATGTCACTTTGGAAAAAAAAAAAATTGAAATCACCAACACTCGAAATAATAACAAACTCTTGAACTTTCCCCGACTCAACCCCACTGGTCGACCGTCGTCGTTTAAGGAGCTAGATGAAATATGCAATCCATCCTCTTCACCACCCCAACTTGCACCCATTTCGTTGTGAGTACACTACATCCCCATACTTTCTCCCCTGCATTTATTTTTCTTCTTCAACTTTTTATCTCCACGCCTCTTTTTATACATCCCCCGACGTTCTTCAGCCGTCCTCTGAGGCCGAGATGGGGCGATTTTTGTACGCGCAGTGCTTGAACCTTCCGAATGCCCACTGCAGTCCCTGCACGACATTTCTCGATATCTTCAAAGTAGTCTTTGCCGTAGTCTACAAAAACTTCGTCGTGGAATTTGATGAGTTTGTTGGTTTGCACCACAAATGCCAATGCCGACCGGATTGCAACAAACTGTGTGGTGTCATAAGTGGATGCCAGCTGGTCGAAAAATTTGATTCACCTCGGCGTTGAAAGAATGGCAAGTGTGGTTGATGAATCGTAGTGGTCCAACAAGAACCCGTGGATCCATTCTGCCTTTTTCCAACTTGACTTGACTCGGGTGGGGGTGGATCTCTGACAGGCGAGAATGTTCCGCCCTTGAATCGGACGCCATTAGACCCATGAGAGGGTATAGTATCTCCCCCTCGACCAAATCCCTAGTTGCAAAAATTGCAAAACCTCCGCTGCCATCGCCAAAACACCTTTTCTTCAGCCTTACCCACCTTTGCGGATAAATTTCAGCCCGAAATGGAGTCTGTTAGATTGAAAAACTCACCACCAGATCGCATTCGCGTGCTCGTGACTCTCTACCAAACCTGGATGATCTCTTTTGATCGCCTTTTCCATATCTTTACCAAAGCTGATTGCATTCGATTGGCTGCACTTTTCTAGCATGTTTTTCAGGCCCTCAAAAATTGTCCAAATAGCTTCAGCCATGTCCAAGTCCAACTTGAAGTCGGGGTCCGGATGGACATGTTCAATGCGATGAACCTTGCTTGGCTTCTTTTCCCGGTATTGTTGGCATATCGACTGAACCAGCCAAACGTCTACGTCTATAATAACTTTTGATGTTATCCTTGAACTGGAGAGGTATTTTGATATTTGGTACACTGCTGTGTCCGTCTCGCCCCAAGTTGTATGTGTCATGGTGGTATGTGTCGTCGGAGTCTAAAATCATGATTCACCACTGCACTCTAACCAGACGCTCTATCTTCCACCAAAAATCTGTTTTTGATTCCTCTCCCCTTCCTTCTCCAAATTCACGTCGAGTCTAACCATCAGTCATCACCAAGTCATCCATAATTTGGATATCCCGGCAAATTCTTGTGCCAAGCTACATTTTACAAGTAGCCATCATACCCGTTGCCGCGGGATAAGTGGGGCCGTGATATAGTCATGGCAAAAACAAAATGCATAATCCAATAACCAGCTGACGTTGCATGAAAAAGGATGCACTCCAAGCGAGACGGCCAACACCGAACTCAGCAAAGGTGTCCCTCAACACAACATATTTCTCAGTTCACCTCTGTCAAGTGACATTCCCACCAAGACGGCTCAGCGCCGATTTTGGCAAAATATGCCCTTTAGAGAATGTACTCGAAACAGGCACCATAGGGTGTTCAATGAAAATGTTTTTTTTGAAAGGATGCACACCAAGCGAGACGGCTGACGCCGAACTCAGCAAAGGTGTCCCTCAATGCAACATATTTTTCAGTTCACCTCCGTCAAGTGACATTCCCACCAAGACGGCTCAGCGCCGATTTTGGCAAAATATGCCCTTTAGAGAATGTACTCGAAACAGGCACCATAGGGTGTTCAATGAAAATGTTTTTTTGAAAGGATGCACTCCAAGCGAGACGGCTGACGCCGAACTCAGCAAAGGTGTCCCTCAACGCGACATTTCACCTGCCATCTGCAAAACTCCAAGTCAGATCAATCAACAATGAGAAAAACCGTTGTACTATACAGGGAATTGATGCTCGACACAGTAAATGAGGGCACTCGCGTAATGCGGCCCCGCAAAAAGGCCCTAAGATAGCAAACCAAAACAAAAGTCAGCTCACGGTAAAGGACTCCCCTCCGTCGTCGGCATCACTTTGCCAGTTGAAGGGGCTTATACACGGTTGGAGGGCCTTTGGTCAGTTCGGCGTTTTCTGTGATGATGGCACTCGTATGATTTGGCTTTTGGCACGGTACTTCCCCTACAGCACTTGTACGCATCTGGTTGAAAAGGACGTGGAGACGGGCTATATGCTCCTCCGCGACGTCGGAGTATACGTCCTACCCCATATGTTACTGCTTCTCGGCGTCAGGTTACTACTATGGACGCTAGACGCATAAAGTATACCTCTCTTTGTGTTTGCCGTCACCCGACGACAGATATAAGCACGCTGGCCAGAGTTCACAGTTCAAGGATAGGGTGTAGCATCACTTGGCCAGCCCGCACAAGAACCGACGTGAACCCAGCCAGGTATAGCGACAAGTAAGAGCATTCACGAACATGATATCACAAACACGAATAGAAAAAATCAACCATCACGTGACGTAATCTGTTGACAGCCTGAGATTATCGGGCGGGTGCCAACACCGTCCATCTTGTCTTGGCTTATTTGTTGACAGAATCCTGACGCAAATACATACATGGTTGAGGGATCTCTATGAACGCAGTGACATCGTCAAGGCTACGTCCAGCCCCCACCCATCCGTCCTCCTTTATGAAAGGGAGAAATTTTTAACCCCGTGTACTTAATTCTACAAGATGGCTCATTGAATCTTTCACAGGGTTATTTGACCCCGACCAAACGACGGCTCTCGCAGAGCAGGATAACGATCAGCATGACATAAGAGACCGTATTGCGGACATGAAGGGATGGGCAAAAACTTGACATGTAGCATGTATTGTAGTGCTATTAAAACATAGATTCCGAGCTTCTAATAATGGACCGATAGTTTCCTTCCACAACCTTCATTCTATGGTCCCCCGTCATGAGGGACACCTTCCAAATCCTCGGACCCACGGAATGACCGGAATACGTGCACCGAAGAAAGACTGCAGTCCCGTCCCCTTTTTTCTTGTAATATGATGCCGGTTGATCACACGTTGGGCACTTCTCATCCATTCCGTTCGGACAGCGCCCTAGGGGTGCACCTTCCAGCGTCAATGTGACGCCCTTGGTCCAAACCTGAACGGATGTCGTCGAAAGGAGGTCGCTCACCGCACATCGCTCTAGAGCCTTCGCAACGGCATCATTACCTATGATGTGCGAATCGATAAACTTGTAGAACAACGTTCTCGCAATGGTGAGGGGATCCACCGTTTTTCCTCTCAAACATAGGAGCGTCTGAAAGCCAAATATTTTCCTGTTGCATACAATCAATGAGATGAAAATGCGCTGTCGTTTTTTAATCGACGCACCCTGATTCCTCTAGAGCAAGAGGCTGGTGCTCGATGAAATATCCACAGGCGTTTAGCAAGAAGAGCGTGTTGCAGCACTGTCCAATGTCAATCTTGCCGATGAGGTGGCCAAGCAGCTGATGCGAAGCAATGTCACCATACAAGCATAGACGATCGCTTTCCTTCCACGCACTTCAACCAATGACACCGAGCTATTTTCAGCATACAACAGTCCACCATCGGTTGGACTCGCGTGCGTTTGTAATTGAAGAATAAAACGCGCATTTGGGTGTTTGCTACTCGGGCAAAATTAGCAGGCCCGAGGCATGACGAAAAGCGTTCACCAACTTCAAGAATGTCGATATCATGTCACGGTTTTTTGATGACGATGCAACATCCTCTTTACCACCGAGATTTCGATAGGGAAAAACCGGGTTTAAAAGATAGCTTTCCTTGAGGAAATTAAGACCAGATTTTCAAAATAAAACGTTGTCCATACCTTTCCGCGATAGTAACCGTCAATTAGACCCCCTACCAGCGTGCCAGCTGCTTGGAAATGCGCTCTTTCATTGAGAAATACTAGTGCTTGGAAGTTAGGTTAATTAACTGGAAAATAACCGAGACCAGACCGGACCTAACTGCAAAAAAACCGGACCGCGGTTAGTGGTTAGTCAATTCTGGAAATGAAATAACCGGTTATTTTGCGGTTAACTAACCGTTAAAAACCGGTTATGACCGGTTACAACCGACCCTATTATACCCCTTCAAAACGCATCTAAAAGCATGAGAAACGCTAAAAATCTGACAGAGTTATGGTCAAATCTCTAAATTATTGGCTAAAATAGTAGGCTTTCAAGAATATTATTATAAAATTGTCAATTCTTCACTGAATTTAGCGTTCTTGGGCTTGTTTTAAAGCTACGATGCATGGCAATAATATTTACTGCAAGGAATATGAGAAATATACGCCGTTTTAATCGATTTTCTATTTTTTCGGTCCTAACCGGTTAGTAACTGCAACTAACCGGTTTTCATCGGTTATCTTCGGTCCAGTTAGGTTATTTTGGGTCTGGGAACGAACCCTAACCGGTCTCGGTCTCAGTTAGAGCCCCTGGGCACCCAATAACCTAACCTAACCGGACTTTCAAACACTAAGAAATACAGAGTAGTAGATCAAGGGCTCTGTGTTGAAGCCAGTTTTGCTGCATGCCAGAATGCGTGAAGGCAAGGGATACTAGCATAAAAATAGTTAATGGCAGTCATCCAATGACATTTCCATGTACCGGGACAGGCAGAGAGTCCAACTTGCAGCAGTTGGGGCATACAAACGTTGGAGCGTTCAGCACCCACTCTGGAAGGCAACCGTGAAGTCCCTCATAGCAAAAGCAGGCAGTGAACTCTGAGCATTTGTCGCATGTTCTGACAAATCCACCTGATTTGCAGAGAAAGCACAACTACAATAATAAAGTGACAAAGGAGTTGTAAAACATGGTGTGATGACATACATTGTGTTTTATGACCTTGTCCGTTGTCTCGTTGGTTATGGATGAAGACCCCACTGTTTTTTTTTTAGCGCACCATGCAAGCGATGTCGTTTGAATCTTCCTTACATTTCGACTGCTGTTTAGGTTTTTTACCAACCGCCCGGCTTGTGTTGATTCTACCCTGATCCCGCAACCTAGGTGAGGACCGTGGCACCAAATTATGGCCCTGATTTGAAGCCCGCCCACTCGAGTCTGATGCCAAACTGGGTGACCTCATAGACCTGGGTGAATAGACGGGTGATGGTGGCATGGAAGATGAACATATGCGTCACGTGCTCACTCTCGTAGTTACAAATGTTACAATAAGACACCTGCCTACGTCTACTAAGAGACTAAGGTAAACTAAAAAGGATACCTCGACAGATCAGTGAATGAAGGTAGCAAATGCGTAGCTAAGCTAAGGGAGGACGGCCTACAGCAGACTGGGTTGGCATGATGAAAGATAGAGTGGTCGTGCTAAGAAGAATTATGTAAAGTCTCCGTATTCCGGTGTTCAAACATTTTGACTGTCAAGAACAAGGTGACAGCATCAAGTAAGATCCCTGGGTTGACCAGGCCATTGTAAGGGAGGCGGAAGTGGAGTGTGCGAGTTTGAGGGAGGGTACAGGGTCAGATACAGATGGATGCGAGTTGAGTAAGTTGGATGACGACGTGATGTTGAATGGATTTGGGTGAAGAGTTTGTTGGGCGCGAGTGCGTGTGTGATGAACGCGGTTTCATTCTCGAACTGAGTCTGGGAGGTGAATCCGGGAAGACTTTTGGCGGCTGAGGCGAAAGCGAGCACAAGCTGCGCTGGAGGTGGGTGGGGGAAGACGGCGGCAATAAGGGAAAATGAAGAGAAGTCGGTTCGGGGCGCGATTACTAGAGGTGCGAAGGGGAGCGCGAGGTTGAAAGGGAGGAAGATTGGAGGCGAGAGGAAACGCGGTCATGGGCCAAGAAAGGTGTGGTGGAGATGGCCCGTAAAAAAAGTTGTGTTTGAGTTGCGTTTGAGTGCCGAAACCTCACCCGAGATTCAGGGTGGTACTGAGCAATTGACTATCGACGAGAGACGAGTGCCCGAGCTTGAAGTCTCCGCCGGAACCGCAACACTGAACCCCTACCACAGGTCGGTGGTGGTCGTGGTTGTTGTTGTTGTTGTTAGTTATCCAGAGAGAGGACCTTGTTGTTGCTGGGTGTTGCCGATGCCTTGTGAACCAAACAAATAAATATGTGCAAGCTCAAATAACTTCGTTGGTCAATTAACTCTCATCTCGCCACAGATATTCAAAGACCACCAAGATGTGCCAAAGACCAAAAGGGACATCGTAAATACTTAAGCAGTTATAGGAACAATAGGTACTTCAAGTTGTTCACCGAAAGTCACAACGCCCTTGCAACGCCCAGAATCGTCGCAATGCATACTTACTAGATCAATAGATTCAATCCTAGATCCCAGAAGTTAGTCCCCGGCTGCTTTCCCTCTATTTTCATCCGTTGAACCTGTTATGCTGCAGAGACAGCCCCTTTAACTCCAGACAGCCAAGCAATTAAAAATGGGTTCGACCATCTGGGTACAGCACATGATCCCAGAACGAAACGTTCCTCCTCTCCCTTTGACCCATTCCCCCTCAGCCGTTGTACAACGCGAGGTGCTAGAGCACTTTATAGCCGGACTCTGATATCGCATCCCTGCCCCAAGTTTCCATCGCAGTAAATTCCCAGCCAATCTAAAAGATACGTAACCCTAAGTTGAGAGAGATGATGGAGCAACGTACCCCACGATAGTGCCCCTCCAAACTCATAGCTCCCGAACATGGCGTAACGGGCATACAATGTTTAGTTGCAATTTTAACGATCTGGACGACATCTTGAGTTGAAGAGGGGTAGACCATGACGCTTTGTGCGTCTACATCCAATCTACATCCATCAAACGTAAGGATCACCTCAATCCGTTCAAAAAAGAATCATACCTGGATGATGATCGTTCTCCCAGCCTTGCCCGGGGAATCGCGGTTGGATGGGTCGTAATTGTCGTATGCTAGGCCTCTGGAGTGCTTGTAGGTGTTTCCGCTATAATCTGGCGACATCCGCCTCGTGTTATAAGGAAAACGGAGTAGGAGTTGCCTGAGACTATTTTCAGCGAATGAACGAATCAAAAAGAAACAAGGACGGACCTGCAAAGAATGGTAACTACTGAATTGAGACCTGACAAAGACTCGGATCGAGTATTGTATGGTTCTGGCCCTCGACGTTGTTGTAAACGAGATGTAAACTTGCGAGATTAAATTTCGCAATCATGTGATCACGACACGGCGTCGAGATAATGGTATTCATGGAGTACTACTTACATGAACTGGAAGAATTGACACTTCTATGTATTTTGGCGTTCTATATGAACGGCGTACCGTCTGGCCCCCAGAGATCTTGGCGTCGATGCATCATAAACACGGATACAAAATCCTACATGATACAATTCAGCCAATAAAATTCAGAGGTGATTCCTGAAAAGCGCACTTGGTACCAGCAGGAATATAAAAAGGTTTCTCGTTGGGGTCGGTTGATGGCCAGGTAGTTGCGTCGATGCTTTCTCTGACATTGAATGGTCTACAACAAGAGAGAAAACGTTAGTGATACTTTTCCGTACATCTAGGTAACGTACACGATAGGGAAGAGCCGCAGAGTTTCTTTTGGCGCCCAAAGATATAAATTTAGATGGGTGCAGAGACATAATGGCAGCCCACACATACCATTGATAACGGCACGGAGGTACTTCATCTCCCTAATATCATCATAATCGGGCGGACGAGACACTCCGACTTTGGCCAGGACCTCCGAGCACAACCGTGCCAGGACTGTAGGGTGTTCCGATATGTAGTAGAAGATGAAAGTGAGGGTGGCTGCGGTTGTATCTCTGCCTGCAATTATGATGTTTAATCTGTCCGGAAAAATTCACCTAACGTGGAACAGCTTTGAAAGAGTAACGTGCGTTTCATCCTTCAATACCACGGGATCATCGATCATCGATCAGATGTCAAGCTGACCAAATGATCAAGCAGTGTCTCCCCCTCCTCGTCCTCCGGTTTCGCATCCCCATCTCCTGTAGCGAGACTGTTCTGCCGTTTCTCAATAGCTTCTCTGACGATCGGCTCAATAAACGCGTTGATAATCTTCATTAGCGCCTTGGACTTATCTTGCCAAATCTCAAAGAGGGGCCAGATCCAACCAAGGCGCTCCCGGGTAGAAATGACTACTGGATCTACCGGACGGATGAAGCGTACTTACTTGAAAATCAACGGCGTTGCCTTCACGCTGTTTTATCTTGAATATGGCTTATTCAACGTGCTTGTCAAAGAGGACAAAGTGGCTGATCTTGTCGCGGGTGGAGATGGGGCGGGTCATGGCGGGATACGCCATCCCACTCTGCGTCTCCTTCAAGCGCCTTCCGAGTCGACTCACGGAGTCGATCCATCATGCTGGTTTTCGTATCCCCGGCCGGACCTTCTTTCCCCCCAGAACCCATCCTTCAACTCCTCAAACCTTAGTAATGCGATGGGACACCGGGTTTCGCGTCGCGTTTAATCGTGAACATGTAGTTTGTAGTTGTCGAGATTATACTCTTTCGCGAATCGACGCGACGGCCCTCGTAAACTTGAGTTTGACGTGGGGATGCCGAGGGATGTAAGTGTTGGTATTACTGCTTTCGATGTTCAAGAAGCCCCAATGGGGCTTTGAGGTTGTCGGGGAACGCGTGGACGTTTTCGAGTAGTGCGTAGACGCCTACATGGAAAGGGGCCTTGGGTAAGGGTAATGGAGGATAAAGGGAGAGCTAGGGAAATGTACATGAAGCTCAGGACAAAAATTAAGGAGGATAGACGTACCTTTCAGTTCCACACCTCCCCACTCAATGTAGCGTTCAACTGATGGTGCACAATCACGGTAAGTATTCACGGAACATCGCAACCCACTTGGCATTGACAACGACTTACCACCCTACGTCCTAGACCTCTGGAGCAGACGTCACGTCCATCGTCGTCCTGGGTGTTAGAAGCGCCGACGCTGACGGCGTCGTGTAGAGGAATCCCAGTCGATTGGGTGATGACGTTGGCGGCTATCGAGGTCGTCGTCAGTACTCCAGTCACAATCGTTACACGTTACTGTTTGCTTACCATTTCCCACAACGTCCATCGCACAACTTCAAGCATCAACTTTCAAGAGGTCAGTTGGTTTCTATCGGGATTCGTGTACCATTACTTACGTTTTGTAGCTCATCACCGATGTCGACGCTATAGTAAGTGAGTAATTTAAATGCGGAATGATGCTAACGAACCTTTTAGAGTCTCATCCACGGCCCAGGGCGACCGTTACGCGGGAGACACGACGAACGAGCTTCGATCAGGTAAGTAAATATCGTGTACCCGAAGGAAAGTGAACGACACCGACCTTTTGCAGAACCAATTTCATATTCACGACCACCTTCAGCACAATGCCTAGTGCCGTCACAATCAGCTGCAGGAAAGCAAATGTAAGTGAACATTGTCCAAGATGAAATCGACGTTGATGTACCCCGTTACCGTCTAGCGTTGAAACATCCTAAAAAGTCGATTAAGCAACGTAAAAATTAGCGACGACTCGGACAAATGACGAGTGGATGGCTTACCGGAGAAAAACAACAACGAACAAGATGCCGACGACGAGAGGGGAGTGGAGGTCGACAAGGAGAGGAGGAGAGGGGGAGGGAGGGTATGTAAGTAGGTTGCTGAGTTTCAGGCGCAGATGTCGGTACATTCGAAAAGAAAGCAATCTTCTGACCAGATTGTACGCATTTTCGAACCACCTTATCCTTACGCTGCTGACCCCAGCTCATTGGTCAAGTTTCCGGGACAAGATGCTTCGGAGACGCTTACCTTCCTCCGCCAGGAGGTGAATCTGCCAACTGTCTCTTGGACTTGAGGCAGGTCGTTTTGTAGCTGGTAAAGCCATGTTGGACCCACTGGTATTAAAATGACTGCGTAAGAAAGGGAGCGGCACCAAAGAAAAATAGCGTCTCTGACAGGATCTTCCAATAAGCGTCAACACGTCGAATGCATTTGGGACGTCGTTTACGTTTTGTGAATCCGTCGCATGTTGCAGCTTAAGATACTATACGTGAGTTTTCTTTGGATTTGAGGCTGAGTGACCACTTACTTCTTTCAAGGCTTTTAGCACACGTTACCTCCTTGTGAACGCCTGTCCGCCTTTGACCCGTCACGCCTTGACTACACCCTAATTTCCTTCCAGACCAACTGCACCAACTGCACTCTAGAAACCTTGAACGCAAGACCGTCGTCAAGTGTTCCACGATACCCTCCCCGAAGATGACGTATCTCCGGATGACATTTGTAGTGGCTGAAAACTTGGAGAAGACAGATGAAAAGTATGTTCAGTCTTTCTAGAGACGCTAGGCAAGATTACATACTTTTTTGAAGGTTCGTTTACGTCCGTTCCCCGCTTTCGGCCTTTACAACGTCACCAACTACGCCCTACACGCCTTCAAAGAGAGTCCTTTGTCGAGTTATTGTTGATCTTTGAAATAAGTCTTTAGTTTTCGTCTTGATGCGAGTATGCATTGACTTACCTTTGATTGAGTTCAGCAGCTTCACCACGTTAACGCCTTCAATCTGCCTTGCCATGATCCAACGGACGGATCGACGTCGACCAAGCGTGGTGTAAACGTTGTTGATCTTCTTGGTTGCTTTCAGATACGCGTGAGTTTAGGTGCATTTGAATTCTGAGTGTTCAGTTACCTCTTTCAAGGTCATAAACACGCGTTACCGGAAGTGTATACCGATGGGTATAGAGGCGAGTGATGTGGCAAACACGGGGAAGTGTTCGCAAGGCTGACCGGTGGGTTTAGTTTACATAGTAGCCTAGGAAAATGATCATCATATGAAGTTCAGGAAAAACAGTAGGGGGGATACACGCACCATTCACTTCCACACCTCCCTGCTCCCTCTCCACACGACCTGCTCAACTATCCACCCGTGTTTCCTCAATAACCGAGTGATTTGAAACGTATAGCGTTGTCAACATCCACCTGATGGTGCATAAACACGCTGAGTATTAACGGAACGTCTCAATCTATTGTCAACAACTTACCACCCTACGTCCTAGTCCTCTATATCATATCGTCATACTGCGTGTTGGAAGCGGCGGCGATAACGGCTTCGTGTAGACCAACCCCAGTCGGATGGGCGACAAAGTCGGCGGCTATTGTGGTGGTGAAAGATAAGAAGTCACAGTCGTTACACGTTATTGTTTGCTCACCGTTTCCCATAGCCACAATGTCCAGCCACAACAGTTCAGGCCTCTGTCAAGATTCGGACTTATGTTTTGACGCTGACCAACCTTTTAGAGCCTATCGACGTCCCAGGGGAATCATTACGCGGGAGACGCCACGAACGAGCTTGAATACAGGCATCCAGGTGAGTACTAGATATTGTGTACTCGAGGTGAAGTGAACGACATTGACATACCTTTCGCAGAACCAACTTGTATATTCACGACCACCCTGGCAACGCCTATCCCGCTCATCCTAGCCGGTGCCATCACGGTCAGCCTGTAGGAAAGGAAAGCATAGGTAAATGAACATTGTCCATGACGAAATGGACGTTGACGTACCTGGTTACAATGCATTGCGTTACGTCTGGCGTTGAGGAAGGTCCTAAAAATTCGATAAGCGACGTTGAAATCAGCGACAATGGATGATGAACAGACAGCTTCATCCCCATCCAACAACGCCCTTTTGTCTGACTCGAAAATATTCAAGGAGGCGTTGTAAATGGTATCAACAATATCGCGCACGTCATGCAAGCTCTTCCACGGAAGGAGATCGACGATGAAGCGGCGCATTTTGGGGGTTACAGCGTTCGCTAACTGATACAAGTAGGAATGGATGAATGCGAATTGCAGCATAAGAGGACTACCCACTGGGAAGGATTTGGCGAGGAAGCTCACCCTAGCCGTTTATTGCCGCGCCGTATGAACCATGGGCCACGTCTTCCGCGAGAGTGTCGAAGGAGTGGCCAAATCCACTCTGACCTATCAACTCAAGCGCCGTTCGAGCCATCCACGGTACAACGTCGATCTAAGTAGAACTAGTCAGGAATCCGACTAAACTTTGGTAACGCCGTTTACCTCCTGAGGAGCATTACCAACCTTCTTCGAAATAGAATCTCGAAGCTGAAGAAGAAAATGAGCTCACATCTATATATCAAAAGTTGAAGGCGTGATACGGACTCTGTGAGTCACCCCATAGAAGATGGGCACTGACGAGGCATTCACCAACATGAACTATGCCATGAATGTCCATCGGGTTGATGACAGAGTGGTGAGTACGCTGAGATGATGGCTATGGTACGTTGATACAACCCTTGCCACGAACACGGAACGTGGACATATTAGCTCCTCGTTCGATTCTTCTTGCTACACGCATGAAATGGAACCCTGAACATGCGGGAAGTCAATCCGCCTGAGTATATAAGTTCGTGAAGTGTAGATGTGAGACCAACCAAGTTTCCAACGATAGTAGCAATCGTCGCATGACGGGCTGTGAAGCCCTTTGTTATCTCAACGTAAGTTGGATACAAGTCCGACTGTGTCAACGGACAGGTCAAATTAGATGTGCTAGGACAATGGGAACACGCACTTGACTTAATTCAACCCTGAAACGGAATACAGCGACTGAACGTAAGTTTGTGACACTAGTGAAAGATGGAGGAATACCCGTCATCAGTATATATATAATGACCACATACAAAAGATTCCCACCTCTCCTCGTCAAAAACAGATAAACATAATTCAGACGCCACTCCAGCACATTCCTCGGCGGCAGCGCATCAGAATCATGCCCTCTAGCTATCCCCAGATCTCCATGCATAGGATGCGCATGACATCTACGACATCCCACCCATTGGTGAGCATGAACGAAAATGGATAGAGAATATACAGACCTGGATTATCATCCGATTCATCCTGCTGTCCATGCTCGGACATATCCCATGGTCACCACAGCTTCAACGTGCGTATGGGTGGCCAAAGTTTGTTCCATACACGACAGGGTTGGGCTCTGTTGGAATAGTACACTCCGGCATTTACCAGTACATTCTTGCACTTGATTAATTAGTAATATCGGACTATTAACTTAGTAATCCCGAGTATGTAGATAACACTAGAACATGGTAGATACATAGTAATTAGGTATATAAGGACTGTAGAAACTTGTACATAATAGTAGTTCATCCTCTATTTCCAACAGGTTATGGGCCCCGGCCCCCCAGTAAAGAGACTCACCGCTTTTACTGCACTTGCGCACTTGCTGCCCTATCTTATCTCGCGGCTATTTATAGCATCATGTCAAGTGATCGAATAATTGCGACCATCACGAAGCTTAATAGCGAGAATTATCATGACTGGAAATTTGCAGTCAGTATAGTGCTTCGGCAGAAGGGATGTTGGAAGGTGACTTCAGGGGAAGAAGAAAAACCATCCACAAAGGAGGCAGAGAAATCATGGGAGACTAAAGCCGAGGAAGGATTCACGTTGATTGCGCTTACCGTCGAGCCGAGCCAATACACATACATACGCGACGCTAAAAATGGACCAGAAGCGTGGAAAGCGCTGAAGGATATTTACGAGAAGAACAGTCGATCCATGCGCATTAACCTTAAACGGCAATTCTATGGATTTGAGCATGACACGAGCGCATCAATTTCCGCTTATGTCAACGGCATCACAGATCTGGCGAGAAAACTCAATGCCATCGGAGTATCACTCTCAGATCAAGACATTACAGATGTCCTTATATTTAATTTGGACAATGAATACTCAAGCATAGCTACATCACTTATCGCATCAAAGGAAGAATTAAAAACCACTGATGTTAAAAGTGCATTGCTCGAGGAGGAACGACGAAAAGGAGGGCCAGGCACAGAGATTGCCCTATATAGTAATGGCATCAATAATGATGGAAAGGGACCAGGTGGGCGCAGAGGCCCAAATCGGGATCGCCGTGAAGGATTAATTGATAATCGCACATGCTATCGCTGTGGACGCACCGGACATATCTCACGACATTGCAAAGCTGTCAAAACAGCTGATGGAAAAGATATCAATGATTCACCGACAAAGGAAACATCACAATTTGCAATTACATCGTTGGGTGATGCATGTTATTGAAGGAATTATGGAATTTCCCAGGCTATCAGCAAGTAAGCAGTTGAGGAGGAGCTCCTGCCGAAATGGGGGAAAATATATTTTGGGATGCCTATCAGGCAAAAGACTGCAGATCTAAGGAATGATCTACAGATATTCTGGTGCTGATGCTACGTGACCAGCACAGACATGAAGGAACTATTTTTAGGATTTATTTTGAAAGCTCTTCGGAAATGCCGAATTGAGGAGGAGTGTTGGAATAGTACACTCCGGCATTTACCAGTACATTCTTGCACTTGATTAATTAGTAATATCGGACTATTAACTTAGTAATCCCGAGTATGTAGATAACACTAGAACATGGTAGATACATAGTAATTAGGTATATAAGGACTGTAGAAACTTGTACATAATAGTAGTTCATCCTCTATTTCCAACAGGCTCGCGGGAAGGGCGTGCAACGTGAGCACGCTGAGGCGGCAGGTAAAAGTTTGTCTAAAGTTGCTGTGCATTCGCCAGTTCGAATACAACGGATTAAGAAGTAGGATGATGACGTACCCATCGTAATATATTCACAAGTTGTTCTGTCAAAAGAAGGGGTGGCCCGCGAACAAACATCACGAGATGATACTCTCAACCAATATTTCAACGAGCTGAAGCGCTGAAGTCTCTAAACAGCTTGAAACAACAAGTGGAAGACCTCACGTACTTGCACGCGCCTTTACCACTATAAAGCAACGTACACGAACTTGAAACTCACATGTTGATGAAAACTATTGAATAAATTTGATGTTCAATGGGTGAAGGCCAAAACAAGGGGGCCCCGGGAATTTATAAATTACCCGGGGTCGGTTTTTTTTTTTAAGAGTTTGAGTACCTCCCCCCCCCATCTTCAAATATGTTATTCCAAGAAAAACATAGCAAATTTTGCTCATTTCTACATGTGAATCGACAATTCTGTAATAGTAAGACTCTGAGACATATTCTACGCCATGCGCGCACGTTTTCGCGTGCGGGCGTGATTCTCGCAGCGCCACCCCATCGGTGCAACCTCAAAATTCCTTTAGGCCCCGTCTCTGGTGATTGGGTCTGATTGGAGGAGTTGCTTAAGCCTTTCGATGCCGCTGCCAGTGATGATGTGGGGATTTTCTTCACTCCAACCTGGAACGATGTCTGTGTCCTTCCTTTCTCTTTCTTTGCTTTGCGTCCTTTCATGCAGGGCTTTTTTTCTTGGTCCTGGTCCCGCTGTTCCGACGTGCACATCTTCATCACACTCGGGGCATTTCACGGTTGCTGACGCATCATAGTTGATCTTCTCCTACTTCTATTTATTCTAGGTAGAATGATCAACTGTATTTGAGACTATAGAGGACTTAAACATCATACTACTGACCTTTCCTTTTGCCATTGTTGCTGTTCATGAGCCGTATGAAAAAAATCAGAAGAGATGAACCAGAAACCAAAAAAATATCCATTGTTCACCTAAATAGTGCTTCGAATATCCTGTCTGAGACGTCTGAAGCTTGTGGATGTGATGCGCCGTTGCTAGGTGCCGTTAAAAACATATTTTAAGAGGACTACTGCTAAATTTTTTTAAGCACTCTGAGAGAGCCCCCCCCCCTCTACCTCGGGTCACGGCTTCAATTCCCGGTACCCCCTTGGGCCAAAAGCGCGTTTAAATTGACTACTAGTATAGAGGGTGGGGATGTTGGTTGAACGTTGAACGTTGAGCGTTGTACGTTGGAGAGGTGACCAAAGAGCTTTATATGTCTGGAGCCTGTAGTTACCTGAGTCTTCGGACCATGAGTTTGAGGGTTGGCTAGACCCTGTTGTTTTGCTGCAGATGTGAGGAATTGCCCGATGCCTTGAGAATCAAACAACTACAAAATATGTGCAAACCCAAATAAACTTTTGTTCAATTGGTCAGCTACATTAACTCTCATCTCGCCGCAGATACTAGTATTCAAACACCATCAAGATACGCCAAAGGCCAAAAAGAAAATCAGAAAGACTAAACAGCTACAGGAACCTCACCGAGAGCTCATTGAGAAATGCGCGCATCCGCAGTCTGGATTACAAAGGTACGTGCCACATTCGTCAATCCTCGTTAGATGTTGAAATGGGTTAGTACCATGAGCGCTCGTTGAAGGGATGTCTGGCTAGGGAGGCTGGGCACATGAGCCGCATCTGCTGAGGGTACGTATTTGCTTCTTTTGGGGATATGTGGTGAGGTTGATACTTACTGATTGTGGATTGGTAGAATGCGTTCAAGTTCCGTACGAGTTTGATGGAGAAGGTACGATGAAGATCTCTGACTGGGATTGAGCTTGAGCTTGAGTGGTGATGTTATTTACCAGCTATTACCATACTTACTACTCAACTATCTGTTCAGCATCTTTTTGCGATAGTGTAGTTGCCATCGTTGAGTCCCGCGAGCCCTAAGATTCACAAGTTCAAAGGGCATCGAGACGATAATGGTACTCGTTGAGTATGTAGCTACATACATGAACTGGAAGAAATCGACATGTATCTACGAGAGACATCGTCCCTCCCAATTAACGTCCTTTGTCAAGCTCAGTATACGCCATCCCACTTTGCGTCTCCTTCAAGTGCCTTCCGAGTAGACTCACGGAGTCGATCCATCACGCTGGTTTTCGTATCCCCGGCTGGACCTTCTTTTTCCCAAACCCATCCTTCAACTCCTCAAACCTTAGTAATGGGATGGGACACCGGGTTTCGCGTTGCGTTCAATTGTGAATATGTAGTTTGTCGTTGGAACTTGTCGTGATTATACTCTTTTGCCAATTGACACGACGGCTCTCGTAAACTTGAGTTTGATGTGGGGATGCCAAGGGATATAAGCGTTGGTAATACTGCAATCGATGTCCAACAAGCCCCAGGTGTGGGTTTGAGGTTGTCGAGGAACGCGTGAACGTCTACAGGGCAAGGGGCCTTGGGTCAGGGTAAGGGCGGATAAAGGGAGAGCGCTAGGGAAACGTACGTGAAGTTTGAGATAAATAGTAAGGAGGATAGACGTACTATCCACTTCCACACCTTCTCGCTCCCTCTCTACACCGCCTGCTCTACTATCCACCCGTGTTCCCTCAACGATGGAGTCTTTTCCGACGTCTGGTGTTGCTAATGATGCGCAATCACGTTAAGTATTCACGGAACGTCTCATTCCGTTGTAAACAACTTACCACCCTACATCCTACACCTCCGAAGTAGACGTCACGTCTATCGTCGTCCTGCGTGTTGGAAAGCGCCGACGCTGGGCTTTGTGTAGAGCTCAAGTATAAGTCACGATCGTTACACATGTTACTGTTTGCTCACCGTTTCCCACGACGTCGATCAGCCACAACCTCAAGCTCAACTTTCAACTTTCAAGAAGTCAGTTGGTTCCTATCGGGATTCGTGTACGATTACTTACGTTTTGTAGCTCATCATGGCATTCTAGCCGATGTGGACACATTAGTGAGTGAGTGAGTGATTCAAACGCGGGAAGGACGCTAACGAACCTCCTACAGTCTCATCGACGGCCCAAGGCGATCATTGCGTGGGAGACACGAAGAAAGAGCTTGGATCAGGTGAATTAATGCTGTGTACTCAAGGGTGAACGACTGACATACTTTTTGCAGAACCAACTTTTTATTCACGACCCTTGCAACGCCTATCCCGCTCATTTTAGCCAATCACCCTGCAGGAAAGGAATAGAAGCAAAGGTAAGCGAACGTTGTCCACGACGAAATCGGCGTTGACATACCCGGTCATCGTCTAGCGTTGGAAAGTCTTGAAAAGTCGATAAGCAACGTCAAAATCAACAACTACAAACCACGACGACTACAGATCACGACGAGCGGACGGCTTACTGGAGAATAACGACGTTGATGACCATTGTAAAATCATATCGCGCGCTCCTCAATTGACGATAGATGAATCGATGGCGAGCTGTCTACAAGCTGATCGTAAATACAGCGATAGAGTGCGATAAGAGATCGCTGGAGTAGACTGTCGGTCAACAAAGTCAAACACGGAGATGACTAACATGACGATGGTTGCATCCATTTCGTTCTTGTTCCAAGTATGTCCTTCATATCAACCACCACAATCAACCACCTTTCTGTTAACTAACATGGTATCATCACCAGAATCCCTCTCTCGCAAGTCTTCGTCCTCTTCATTCCACATGCCACCGCTAATGAGCAATGCAGCCACTCTTCGTGCCCACTCTCCTCCAGCCGTCGATTTACGCCATATGACATCCAGCCTCGGCTCACCTACAAAACACCCCCAACGCAGCCTACGCTCAAACGAACCCCGACTCGGATCACGCTCACCCAACTCAATCTCTTCATCGCCCACCTTGGTGTACGTGTCTTTTTCTTTCACTCACATGTACCCCGATCTGACACGATAACCACAGCCGCTCGTCTTCATCGGCGAACTTCGAACGGGTCATTGAACCTCCCGTTATCCCCCCTCCGCCCACGTTCCCCCATCACCCGCCCAACCCCCAGAGTATCACGCGCAAAGTCGACTGAAGAAATCGAGCAGTCTGTTCCCTCCGTTCTCGACTCTGCCGCGTCCATCGACGACTCGCATGCAGAGGAACAAGTATCTGTAGAGCCCCCCCGCCTCTCGGAGCAGTGGCCGTTGAGTTTCAGGAGCAGGAGTCCCAGTCCCTTGGGTTCAAGGAACATAACTGCTGCCGGTGTACCCGTCCATAACCTCCTTCTGAGCCCACATGCACCGCCTACCACCTTCCCCGTCGTCGGCCGCATTCACCCACCCAGCTTCCAGCGATCAGGCCTACGATCCAGACGCAGACGGATACGGTGACGGTGACGGTGGCTTCGACGCCGTCCCTCATCACACTCACTTGGGCCTATTTCTTGACTACGTCGATGGGTATCTCTTCATCTTCGTCTTCTCCTGCTACGACCACGGCGCAAGAACACCCGCTTGCTTCGCTTCCAGAGCCTGACGATGGTGATGTCTGCGCGGGGGACGAAATGGAGGATTCAGCAAAAGGCAGGGATTTAGGGAATCGGAAAGCACAGACAAAGGGGAAGGAAGAGTCGAGGTGCGAGAAAATTTGCGAACTTGCTTGTGGAGGGAAAGAAGGGCGCGGATTTGGAGAAAGCTGTGAGTGGGAGGGAATGATGATGGGCCAGAAAGGAAAATCCGAGCTCTCGCCTTCATCCTCCTCCACCAGACCCTGCCACTCTCGAAAGACGACGATCTCCGCTGTCGATTCTATCCCTCGGGCCACCACCCACATCGAGACAACCCCAATGCAAGATGTTTTGCAGCCAGGCTCTACCTCCATTCAAATTCAATCCGACGACCCTTCCCCCCTTCGCGTAGGCCTCTCCGCAGTCCCATTAACCCACATGTTCAAACATTCTCTCTCCCTTCTGTCAAGCAACCGGCGCTCAACACTCCCGGAATCTACAATCACTCTTCCATCTGACGCCGCGTCGCCAGGAGACGGGGAAGCCAGCAGGATGGGTACACCAGGCACACCACCATTGCGTCGTCATCCCCACTCTCAAACTACGACCACGGAGATACTGCTGCCTCATTCCCGCTCCTCTGCACTCCTTTTACATCCTCGGCATCTCCAGTGGGAGGATGAAGAAGCACGTCGAAGGAGTGAGTTATCCCAAGAGGGCGAGCATTGGTGGCCGTCGTCGGGTTTGGAAGGCCAGATCGCTGACTCGGGCTGTGAGCGGCCGATGATCGTCACGTCTTATGGAATGGGATATGAAGATTCTGTCGGACAGTTCGATCATCAGTACAACGAGGTGCGCCGCTGCGCCTTGCTTCTTGTCTTTTTGACAGCTGACCTTGAATTATGTTCACTCAGCAATACGGTGCGTCTCTCGAACCCTTGAACGAAGGCAGCGAGCTTGTCATTTGGTCAACAAACCCCAATCGTCAAGGCCTCGTCGCCATCATACAAGATCCTCATATGCATTCCGAGATCGACGTCCCTCTCTCGACCCTATCCCACCACCTGTGTCGACAAACCCCTCAAACTACTTCTACACCTCCCCATCCGCACCGCTCCCCGCTTCGTCATTTTCCACCTTGTCTGGTTGGGCTGGCGATTATAAGTATGACGAAACTTCGCATCAACAAACTTGATCAGCCGCTAACGCGACGGTGTCAGCACCAATCCCAGCATGGTACGAAGCCCCTGGTTGGGAGGCACATCAACATCAGTTCAACCATCCTAATCTCTACTTTAGCCCGGACGATTGGGATCGGATAGAGGTGAACAAGATCGCCACATTTGAAGACGATCGCGATATCTGCCGTCGTCCTGGGTGAATATCTGTTTCTCTCTCTGCCGTTTTTGTCTTACTCTTCGACTTCGTCTCTCTTCGAACACATCTTGGCAAATCATTGTAGCTATTATTGTTTCCTCTTTCTTGTTTCATCGGCATCACAACATGTAGATATGTATTAAGTTATGTTGTTCATCTTCACTGTACCTCCCATCCATTCATATTGTACATAATTACTATAGAATCATTTGAAAAGTTAACACGCGAGGGGCAAACTTGGGTGGAAAGCAAAATCGTAACAAATTCGAGAAGTGATCCGATAACGCCGATTGTAACTATGTACGGGTTTCTCCGGCGTGTTGGTGATTTTGCTTCTCTCTGGTTTCTCTTCACGAACGAATATATGAAACTACCTAACAGTCTACTTGGATTCCGGTAACGCAAATTTAACCTTTTATGGCATATCTTCTTCAAGAACTCTGAAGATCTCGAAGAACAACTATTCCAGGAGAATCCAGTTGTAGGCGGCAGCGATTAATCAAAAGTATGCTGCGCACCCATTTTGAACAAACAGTGTCACCGAGTGGGTTCCTGACCGAGGAACTCCAACCACGCTGTCTCTAGCTTGAGCCCGTCAACTTAGGTCCATTCCCTTTGACTGAAAAGTTTGTGGCACCTGATCGAATTGGGCCATCAGGTACCCCCCGGTAAACTTTCTAGATGATGAGCAGGTGAGCTACCAGCATCGATATTAAAGTTTTCTGTGTTGTTCATTCTTCTCCCTCATTGAACCTGTGTTCCTACGTTGAAGTTCTCAAGCCGCCATCCCACCGATGGCAAGTTCGACATAAAGGAGATTTATCACACTCTACGTACCAGTATCATTAACGGGGACACTCTGGTAGACGACATGTTCTTAAGCGATGGATTGCGGTTCGTAAACATCAACTACAGCCCTCACGTAACTTTAACGCCTCGCCGTACTTCTCAAAGGTTGACCTATAGATTTGCATCAGGGACGCAAATCCGGATGGATAGTGGAATGTAACCAGCATCGCAAAAATAATGGTTGGTGGGTTGATCAGCCATCATTCACCAATGATGTCATTGCCGCTGAGGGGGGTCGCCATATGGTATTGCACATGGTGCTATCCGCATGACGACCCTGTGTATATGCAACGCCTTTTCAACGCGCCAAAAAACAGCCCAACGAAAATATAAAAGCATCAGGTGTGGGCTTCCTTTCTATCAATCGCATCATGCAAACTTTCCCTATGATCCTTGTTGCTCTTGCCTTAGCTGGCTTCGCAGCTTCTCAGCAAATTTGGGATATTGTGAGTGTCGCTCCTCAATTTTCCTTCGCTGCACATACACGCTTCTGATCTGATAGTGGCAAACAACATGGGATCGTTCAAAGCTTTTCAGGTCTTTGTCTCCCACTTCCCCCATCAACTTTGTCGCACCAGGTCCGATTGGCAACGCGGATATCATCGTCAACGATGCGATTAAATTTCAGACTATTGCTGGTTTTGGAGGCCCTCTCAGTAAGTCGATCAACCGTTGTGCTGTGGTTGTTACATCGACTACTTTATCCATTTCACAGCCGACTCATCTGCTCTTGTTTTGAACAACTTGAAGGTCGACGGAACCACATACCTATTCGATCCCTCTCATAGCTCCCTTTAGTCAACCAGCTCTCAAAATTACTGGACGTTGCGGAATCATATGTTCTCCCCAACGTATGCCGCTAACGCCGCTGGTCTCAATTATATTCGTGTTAAAGTCGGAGCTTCTGATTTTTCTGCGAACCGTGAGTCAATCGAAGCCTCAAGCTTCCTCTGACGCTGATCTCAGAATTTTAGTTTATAGTCTAGATGACAGCAGCAGTGATACATCTTTCAGCAACTTCAATATCAACAAGGTCCCATCCTATTTTTTTTCCGTTCTCAAGGATATTCGGGGGATCAATTCTAATCTCAAAGTCGACATTATCCCATGGTCCCCGGTAAGTGCACCAGCTCCCCCCTCGACGTCCACTCACTTCTTTCTAGCCAGGTTGGACGAAAGATAGTGGGAGTATGAATGGCGGATCCTTACAGTCAAAATACGTCCCTGCTTGTAAGAACTTATCATCTGCTACCGCATTCTATTTCTTGATTTACAGATCCTATGGACCTTCTCAAAGCTGTACAAGGTTTTGAAAGTCAAGGCATCGCCTTTTATGCAATATCTATTCAGGTAAGCTGATCGATATTCATCGTCAAATGCAAGTTGGCCTGAGTCTTTCAGAATGAACCCCAGAATAACAATCCTACATACCCCACCTGCACAATGTCGCCCACTGTTGAAGCTCTGATTGGCGCCGCACTGCGTACGCTCCTCAATATCAACGGTCTTTCAACTGCAAGAGTCATTGGTTATGAGGTATGTACCTCATTCCTTATGATTTCCAAACACTCTAACAACAAGATTTACAGCATAACTGGGATGACGCTGGGGAATACCCAGTGGCTCTGGTACGTACAACCGCAGTTCTGTGAACTTAACTTCAATTCCGTTCTCAGATGCAGGACGCTGGAAAATCCTTCGCCGGCGTGGCGTTTCATTGCTATGCTGGAGCCGTTTCTAACCAAGATTCCCTCCACAACTCCTTCCCAGCCAAGGTACGTTTTGGCGTTTGAGCTAGATTCACTATCAATTCAGCTTTCAGGAAATCTACTTCTCAGAGTGCGCCGGAACAATAGGGTCTGATTGGTGGAGTGATATCAAGGCGCGCTCATCAGTTTCTCTTGCCGTTGTGTCCGAACGTGTTCTTTCAAGTGGTACATGGATAATCTGTCAGAATTTTCATTCCTTATTTTTTCCTCTACCGACGCCTTAATATTCTAGTTGGATTGGGAGTCTCGAACATAACGCGAAATCTGTCCGTTCCCCATCCTTTGCACTCTAAAAAACGAGCTAGCAACGTTGAACAGGGTTTGATGTGGAATATCGCTACCGATGCCAACGGAAATCCGAAGCTGCCTGGTACAAATAGTTGCGGCAGTGTGGGGTGCCGCCCTCTCGTCACAGTGAACGGCGACGGAAGCTACACCTTGAATCAGGAGTGTAATATTGTCTCTCCTTTTTTTGATCCCAAACGATGTCAAATTTTTATCTCGCAGTCTATTACATGGCTCAAGCGTCGAAGGCAATTATTCCCATCGATCCCGCAGGCTCTTTCGGACAACGAATTGGCGTTTCCGTTGGAGGGCCTCTCAGTTGGGCCCTCACAGTTGGTGTATACGTTATTACAAGAGTATCTTCGAGTGATTGGTCGCAGGTCTCCATCGTCGTGATGAATTGTAAGTTTTTCAGATGAGAATCTCTGGGTAATAATGTTTTTGTTAAGGGGCCGACGGAGGAAATACTACGCCAGTCAATGCTACAATCGAATTCCGAGGGATGCAGGCGAGTTATGTCCCATGTATGCGACCCCTACTGATTCGTGCATACAGGCGAAGTACACGTTTCCGGTCGGTGTAACGACCCTCTGGTGGTTTGCGTCCGCGGCGAGTCGCCAAGCTAGCATGACGACGACTAATCCTCATCACCTGCCTCCTTTTTTCCCTCCTTCCCCAACAACTTCGTCAACAGCGTCTCCTTGTCCTGTCTAGCCGACAATGTCAAATTGTCAATTCACGTCCCCGAAACGTCAAAGCGGTGGCCGGCGGGAATGGACGCAATTGACATGTCCCCGGGATTCCGTCAAGTCGACCAATCGAAGACTCTTCTTGAAGAAAGCCTCCTCACCGTGTTCGGTAAGAAGATTCCGCCGAATACATACCGCGATCAATGGCGACACTGGATGGCGCTGACTCAAGTGCAGCGAGATCATATTAAGAATGCTGGCCGTACACCGGCGGGCTTGTGGTCAGCGGTTCCAAAGCGAAGCAAGGGCCCTCTTAACTAGCATTCGTTGCCATTTTATCGGTTTGCACACCACTCATTGCATGTTTCCGTACCACTCATTTGCATGTTTCCATACCACGATTATTTGTTTTGTACTAGTAGCATACCCTCATACCACTCTGCATGTTTCCGTACCACGATCATTTGTTTTGTAGCAGTATATCCTCGGCCTTTTGTATCACTATTTAAACTCTACTTGTTTAATGACCGTGGATTATGTCCTTGTTCTTCAAGTTCAATTGAAGTTCAAATGCTCCACGTGATTGTGCGTGACCATGTTTGGAGACTCACGTGATATAGGCATTTAGCGGCGGTGTAATGGCGTCGATCACTGGCGGTGTTTCCAACTCACGGATGCCCTCCGTTTTGCGAGGTGCGGTGGGCTGGATTGGCAATTTTCCATTTGGATGATGATATATCGATGATATCTGACCATCCTTTTCACAGCCGGAAACAAGTGCGATTCAAGCTTCGCAGTATGTTCTTCAAAATGGCGTTGAATTTGATGATATGGCTTCAGCTTCCGCCTCAATAAACCCACCTGCCCAGCATGATCATTTCGAAACAGAATAGGCGCGTTATCTACGAGAACCTATTCAAGGGTGTGTCTTGACTTTTCAATGCTTTCCGCCTTCTAAAACCTCCTGTGAATATAGAGGGTGTCCTAGTTGCGAAAAAAGACCTAAACATTTAACACGCCGAAGCACGAAGAGCTCGATGTTCCCAATCTCCAGGTCATCAAGGCTCTGCGAGTTTGACCTCCCGGGAAGTCAAGACCCAATTCTCGTGGCAGTAGTACTACTACGTTCTCACCCCTGAGTGGAGTATCTCCGCGAATGGTGCGTTTTCTCTTTGCAATGACTTGTGCCCTTCTAACGCCAATGACTCCAGGCTCCACCTCTCCGCCGAAATTGTGCCCGCTACTCACAAAAAAGGCTGCACGTCCCCCACGCCCCGCCACTGTTCGCCCTGGAAATGCCTACCGTGCTCCCCGTGCCGCGATGACTATCGTAAGGAGGGTGGTGCCCCTGATAACTTCAGGCCCCAATTCGCTGGTGTTGGAAGAGACGGACCCAGGGATTAAAGGGCGTCGTGATGAGTCTTATTATGACGAAAAATTTGGAGTCTGGCCATGCATCTTTGATCGTATGCCTCCCATCTTTATATCAGCTTTTTTACAACCTTTATCTCTCTTCACGTTCCAGGACAACGTATGGACATGTGAATGCACGCTGGGAGAGTTTTCAGCTCCTGGGTGAATCCGTGACTCTCCGCCGTTTTCCCCGTTCAACCTTGAGCAACGCAAGCCTTGGTCGTGATGCCAAGCAGCCATGACGAAAGACACATCCGGCTGCCGGTTATGGCCTCCCAGCGGAACAAAAACTCTGGAGGTTGTGAATGCTATCTATTCACATGCGTAGTTGCAAGAAGGGCAGTATTCGTCGCCCTTCAAGTGCACTCCCGCTACCTCTTTGATAATGATGCGTGCTACGCTATTCCTTCCACGACCTGTTGGTTGTCAGGTTTGTTGGAGTCTGTCGCAGGATGTTCTGCTATGTGGTCTGCACTACGAAACGTCCATTGCATTCACAATCCGTAAGTCACGATTGTCCGTCTTTACGAATTACTCCTCTGTTTAGCGGAGAATGTCCAGGTGGTTAATTCTGCTTTGCGTTCAGTCAATGGGCCGAAGCGGGCTGTACGTTATGGTCAGAAAGAGGCAACGAAGTAGGTAGAACGAAGGGATAGGAAGGTGTGGATCTCAGCGGGAAATTCGCGCATGAATATCCGGGGAGGAATAAAAAGACGGGACAAGAAATGCTCGTGAGGAGTAGCAGGCAACAACGCAACGTGGGGCAGGAGCATAGGGTAGAGAAGGGGGAAATAAATAGGGGTGGAGACGGGAGGCGAACGAGGAGAACTTGAAAAGATCACGAAACCTCCCCGAAGCATCCCCCACCTACGTCCTCATATAAATTTACCATTCGTCTTGTGCTGTTCATTTAATCGTGAAAATTCCCGTTAAGGTTCTGCTCATCTCTCGAACAAAATCGTTGTGTTGTTTTACAATATGAGCCTTCGAAAGCTCGCAAATCGTATGGACCTGAGCTTCCCCGCCTAAAACCACGTTCACTTCTTCTCCGTTCTCTTCACTCATCCCATTGTTCATTTCGTACTCTATTTCCAGAGTCCACAAGCTAGTCCTGAACCATTCAAATATTCTCCAGCTCTCATTCGCGCTGCTGTCGACATGCTCCAAGACCCCTTCGGTCTCTCCGCCCTTGTCTCGTAGTTACCTGAATTACGTTCGGTGGCTGTATTTTTCGGTTTTTTTTTTCAGCAATTGGTATCAATCCCTCCATTTATGGGAATTATTATGCTCGTCGAAGGAAGGAAAACTATACAGGGGCTGTCCCACCAATCCTACTCGGATTCCTCGCGAGCGTCTGGCCAACTCTCTGGGCTTGAATAGAGCTGAATCGGTGCAGCTCTTCAAGCTTCGTTGAGATCTTTCCGCCAAAGCCCACTTTATGTGCCGCACGCTTGATGAACGACACACGATTTGAGCAGAACGATTCATGGATGGACGCGGCGCGCGATTGGGTGCGGGTGAGTGGGACGCCGGTAGCAGCCACTTCTTTTGGGCAATGCGCTCACGACGATTGCGGATAGCATTGATAACAATGGCTTTCATTCCAAATTTAACCCAGTCCAGAGGGATGAACCAGATGATGTTCTATATATATACGATATGTCAGAGTAAGGTTAACGCGTGGCCGTGACCAAATGTTAAATGTTGAATCCCAGTGAAAACCGGCTCTGCAAGCCTCCACGAGAATGTGCGAATATCGGCTGAAAAGGGCAAAATCGGCGATGATCCGCTGCGGGCCGCAACGTTTCTGCTGCTTCGTTTGGACGACATCAATCTGGACTCGCCTCAAACTCTTTCCCCAGATTCTACTACCTGCGCGCGACTATATATCTCAGAGCGCTATCGAATTGACTTTATTCCTTCCTTCTTTCCGCCCCCCCACCATCTCCCCCAATCCGTCTCCTCGCACTTCCCACCATTCCGCCCATTCCTCTCGTTAACATACGTGAACATATTCTTCATACAGAATCGTCAACCTATAGGCTCTGCATGACATCTCGCCCATGAGTACCATTATTGGAGCTTGAGTGACTGTTCTTACTGGGTACAAGGAAGCGTGTCCGTTTCTGATACCTCGGTAAGTGACTTCCTGTCCTTGTACATGTCGTCTAAGTGACCATTTTCGGTGCATATATGCGCCTTCTGCAGTGTATTCTATGTCGAGGACGAGTTGTGAGTGCGTTTTGGTGTGGTGTCGCGTGTCTGATGGACGAAATATACAGCGCCTCAAAATTCCCTTTACTCCCCCCATCTACAATGCCGACCCCCGACATCGATATATCTGTCTCTCAGACGTGTGCACAAGCGGATGGGTGGGAATGGGTGTGAAACGGCGATTGGTTAAGGTTCCGTTCCAGGGATAAATGTCGTGTCGCAGGGGTCTTGAGTATATAGCAACCAGAAATTTGCAGATATTCGCAGGAAATGGTGTATTATATGAAGGAATTACAAAAAAATTCTACCTACAAGTGAGGACAGAGAAATGCAGATGGGAGCAGAATAGAAGGGGTAGCCGCCGAAATTTCCGCAATCAACGCCGTAGTTCGTCGAAAAGGGGCAGACAGTTGCGGAAAAAAATCCGCAAAAGGGACGAAATCCCATTCTACCTGCACCTTTCTGCTCTGCCGACGATCTCCGATATCTGCCGGGAATTCGCAGATACTTGCGGCTGGTAACAGAGCCGGTTTTCACTGGGGTTGAATACTTACCAAAGGGATGAGATGAGAAAAATGAAGTCGATATCCGTTAATCAAGATATGCAAGTGTTTATAGTACAAGAGGAAAGCTAGGCAAGTATTACAATCAACAATCTAGATGCAACTCAAGAGACAGAAGTGAATAGATGCAGTGGATGGCCTATACGATCCCAGAATCCTTCAAGGCGTTTTGCAAAATTGTTTTTTGGACCGTGGCAAAGACCAGCCGGATGTTGGTAGTATCCGTGGCTTGGGTGATGCTGAAAAGGGCAAGCGATGATTAGCGGTCAGTGCTGCAAGAATAAAAAATAGCAAAAGATCACAAGAAGCTGGAACAGGGAACAGTTGCCCGTAAAGGGTGCGGTTCGCGACAAGAGAAACATAGTCGCAAGTGGGGTACATGACAGAGATGCAAAGTAGTAGCGCAGCAGGTGAGCAACATGGCATTGGCATAACAGGAAGAATCAAGGAAAGCGAAAAAGTCAAACTGACAAAAGGAGACACAAGACGAGAGAGATACATACTGTGGATGCACACGCAACTGTGCCCTATTTGCCTGCATGAATCTTGCTAGTATGTACTTGGCCGCCTTGTTGACATCAGAGCCGCCCGTGTATTCTGGAAAGTACCACTCCAGTGGAACCTACATGGGAGAAGTGCCAGCATAAGCAAGGGGGCGAGAAAATGGGCATCAGCGCAGTGAGGAGAGGGTGAGAATGAAACTGACAGACGACAGCGGCAATAAAGGGGGGAGGCAGGATGTCGGGAGAAAGACCGAGAAATCACACAGTGGACAGAACATACCTTTGCCAACTTATGCTTGAACACGTCAATCTTGTTGAATATTAGGATGATTGACGTGTGGAGGAACCACCTCGAATTCACAACCGACTCAAACAGGACTAGTGACTCTGCCATCCGGTTCTACAGCGGACTGGGTTAGTATCCCAATGTATGAAGGAGAGAGGAAGGGAGTGGGACCTGTGATTTGTCTTCCAACAAGACTTGGTCATACTCGCTCAGGGCTGTGCAGAAGATGATGGACGTCACCGACTCGAAACAGCTAATCCAGTTCTTCCGTTCCGATCGTTGGCCTCCTACATCGAACATGTGTATTCTGCAAATAGATGTTCATCAGCACCTTATCCGCGTAAGCGCCAGGACATAACAGGTAACATGGCAAGAAGCATGGTAGAAGACCCTGAAAAGACAACAAAAAGACATACAAGAGTTGGCCCATATTGAACCGTGTCCCCGTGATCCCGACACTTCTCTGTCGTGCTCTCAGAATATCACTAATGTTGGGGAGATATCCGGGTGTTCCTATCCGCAGCACTTCTCCTAAGAAGCTGTTAGGCACGTCAGCGGGGACATGGTGCAAGGGAGGGAGATAAACACAGACTACTGAGCTGAATCCATCAGGTAGAACTCGCTCGACTGTTCATTGATGAGCTGGTGTAACTTCGGGTCCTTGACGAGTTGATGTATAGCCTCTGCAATCTCCGGCACGAATGACGCTTCAAAATTGTATTTTTCAATCTTGTAGTCCATCACTGTGTTGATGAAACCCTAGGAGTGATTCATTAGCAAGGAGGGTGTGCGAAGGGAGGATAAAGGGATACCGGACTCAAATGTTGAGATTTTATCCCAATCTTCTGCATGTGCCGGATAACATGCTGCGTGGACTGAAGAACAGTCTCGTACACCACTGGGCGGAACTCTGCAAGCTCAGCGTCGGAGAAACCACCTTGGTGGATAATCTTCATTTGTTTCACGATGGTGCTCTTTCCTGAATCACAAGAGCCTAGACATCGTTAGTGAGTTCACTTACAAAGGACACGTGAAGCACTCACCCAGTAACAACATCTTACACTCCCTCTTGAACCACCTGCCCTCCGGTCCCAAATGCTCTTTCCCCAATGGATCGCCTGGCAGGCGATCCATCGTCGATACGCATCCACCCATACTTGGTCTTGCACACCGTTGTTTCCAGGGTCAGCCGTTTTGGGGTTGCGGTATCACTCACACGTTAATATCTACGTTGGCAGAGGTCAGCATCGTGGAGGGTAGGAAAGGAGTAGTCGATGCTCACGAATTCCAACGGAGACGTATCCAGAATAAACTATTGATGCTTGTTTTCCATCAGGGCCTGTTCCCTTTCAGGTCTGCCAATCCTACGACCCTATCCACCATTGCACCAAAGGCGCCGACTTTTGACAATTCCGAGGACGTTCTAAGGAGGTTTGCCAAACTACGCCTGCGGTCCATCTTGCAATTGGTGAGACCAAGAGAGGTGATACTAGTGGCGGGAACATCATTTACCAAGTAATCTTGGTGATGTTGACGGCGAGAGTTGAGTTCAGCGCTACACCCGCTGCGGGTGGGTAAATGAAGAAACGGACGTATACGGCCTTTGTGCGATGCCTGCACGACAGATGTATAAAATTAACGCAATGTGGCGAAGCAATAGGTGGTGATTATGTTCATTGACATTGAGAGATATCTATGACGAAGGGCGAACGGTCGGAGTGTATCTTGGTTGTTCATCAACGCCTGAAGGATCTTATCAATCCATGGTATTGTCAGCGTATCACACAACAGATGTAGAACGGTGTGGCTTTTACACCCCTATAATGTACTCTAATTTGAGGATCGCCTTACTAGAAAACAGTGGAAGCAGGGTATCCTTCTGCTTTTCGTAGGTCAACGCCAGCAAAAGACGACTCTGACATAAGGGAAGCATCATAGAACCAGGCCTTCGCTGTGAATTTCGATCGTACATTTCGTCGAACACCTGTGGGTTGTTGAAACTTTATAGAATCCTCAAGATTAGGATATTCGGGATTCATGTCAATTACGCTCCACAATTCACCATCTCCCAATCGTCACCCTTCAGTTACCGAAGGACATAGTAATTAAGAGCGTCATATATTTAAGCCAAGGTAGGAGCTAAAATCGAACCATATCTTTCACGGAAAACTTCCAATTATTTGACCATCCCTCCGAGCATACAAGATCGTAGTTTGGGGTCAGGAACCTCCGCCAAAGGATGTAAATAATGCCCTTTGCGTCCTTCCCAATGCTGAGGTCCTCGACTTTGCGGTCTTGGTTGGAGAAGTCGGTGCTGGAGAAGAGGTGGCTGGAGGTGAGCCGTCGACGCAATAGATGAGGTTGAAGTGGGTCATGTTTGGAGTCTTTGCGGCTGTGCGGGAATTGACAACGAGAGGTTTTGGAGAGCAGCGGGGGCTGGCGTAATATATCTAGAATGCTGTGTTAGTTTATGAGTCAGAGAAAGTGAGAATGATGTGTACCTCCTCGTGGCAAATTGCGCCCCACCCTTGGCAGTTGCATGCGGTTCCTGATAAAGTATGGATCCCCATTTCTTGGGATCCGAATGGAACAACAGCCGGCTGGTGATAGTACTAAAACTTGAAAAGATCGTCACGTCTTTCCCCGGTCTTCGGTGTAGAAGTGAACAGTCCCATTGGTGAGCGCGATTGCCTGGAAAGCATAAAAATTTCGGCCGAGGTCATTCTAAACGTTCTCAACAAACTCACGTAGCGGTTGTCGAATGGTCCCTCGGAGTCGATTACCATAACCACCTTTCGTCCTCTGCCATATTCCAAGGTTTTCCCTCATCCTACGACACATAGAGCTTCCCATCGAGTGGATCATGACTTGTAGCGGCCATGATGTCGCGGACCTCATTGTACGAACGTTTGAAGCAGGGATATAGCTCCGAAGACGTATCGGCCCGCATTTCTGCAGCGCTTTGCATGTGAACGCCAGTCCCCTGGTATTAATATATAATCAGCCATGTGCATTAATCCATATTGAAGGATATAAGGTTGAAATAAAGGGAATGTCGTAACTAATCCAGCAATGTTAACCGACAGACCAAATGAAAGAGTAAAGCTACCCAATTCAACGTGATAAGGACCTCCCAAATGAGGCAAACAAGACGCGGGGTACCGTTTTTCTGCATCTGGGTTGTGGAGCATGCACATTCTTGACGTTCGTGTTCTACGAGGGATTCCAGCGTTCCTGACGCATCACTCGGAGCCGTTTCGAAGTCCTTAAATGAAAGAGAAGCGAGAAACAAGTAGATAGACCTGTTCAGTGTGGATGCACACAGGAAGCATGAATAAGGATGAAAAGACCCACTTGCATATTACCCCTGATATCTGCCTGCACGAATCCAGAACCTAACATATCCAAAGACGGGATTGTGCATACCAAGGAGGCGGGGTTCCTCTAAGTCTTCGGTTGTTCAGAGTACATGTAATAGAAAGTACGTACCAAACGGCTGAACAAGACCATATGAGGCTTCTAGGAACGATTGCGTCTCTACACTCTTGTCGGTGATAGGCACGTCCGAGTAGACTTGGGCAGAGTGTCCGCGATCACCCTAGAGTCATACAGTCGAGAATGTTGTAACTGACAGTAAAGAGAAAAGATAGCACGTACTTGGAGTGGGCTAATGAAAATGTTGACCTCTTCGCTGTTCCGAGGCATGTGATTGATCGCGGTTTGTTGCCAACAAGATTCGTTGTCTGTAAAAACAAGGTGGCTGAGAAGAATGTAAACGGATTGATGTTCCCCTTCCAGTCAGGAGTTGCATAAGACTGCCTGGCGCCTTGAACGCGTAAATTGAGTTGCTTGGCTGCTAGCAATCTGCATGTCGGTCCAGATGAAAAAAGAAATCAATGTGTACTAGTGATGCGCTCTACCAACTGAGCTAAGAAGGACGTTGATGACCGTTGTGTTTGGTAAACCATATCGCGCGCTCCTCAATTGACGATAGAATCGATGCTGATCGTAAATACATAGTGTTCCAGGACGATAAGAGATCGGAGTAGATTGTTGGTCAACAGAGTCAAACACGGAGATGACTAACGTGACGATGGTTTTGTCTTTCGGTCTTGTTCCAAGTTGAAGTAACACACAACACGTCCTTCATATCAACCACCACCTTTCTGTCAGCTACAGTGTCTTGCATAATGCTTTGCAGCATGAATTTTTTCAAATCATATTTGATTATATTTGTAGTGAACCTGATATGTCACAACTAAGGCCCAACGAAATGATCCCTGTCCGGAATAAGCCTGAATGTGACATCTCAGGACCAGTTTAAACACAGCCAAATACAATTTCAAAAAATTCATGCTGCAAAGCATTATGCAAGGCACTGTAACGTCTACCATCATGGCATCATCACTAGAAACCCTCTCTCGCAAGTCTTCGTCCTCTTCATTCCGCATGCCACCACTAATGCATAATGCATAATGAGCCATACAGCCACCCTTCGTGCCCACTCTCCTCCAGCCGTCGATTTACGCCATATGACATCCAGCCTCGGCTCACCTACAAAACGCCCCCAATGAGACCTACGCACAAACGAACCCCGACTCAGGTCACGCTCACTAAACTCAATTTCTTCATCGCCCACCTCGGTGTATGTGTCTTTTTCTTTCACTAACATGTACCCTGATCTGACACGATAACCACAGCCGCTCGTCTTCATCGGCGATTTTAGAATGGGTCATTGAACCTCCCGTTATCCCCCCTCCGCCCACGCTCCACCCAACCCCCAGAGTATCACGCGCAAAGTCGACTGAAGAAATCGAGCAGTCTGTTCCCTCCGTTCTCGACTCTGCCGCGTCCATCGACGACTCGCATGCAGAGGAACAAGTATCTGTAGAGCCCCCCCTGCCTCTTGGAGCAGTGCCCGTTGAGTTACAGGAGCAGGAGTCCCAGTCCCTTGGGTTCGAGGAACAAAACTGCTGCCGGCGTACTCGTCCGTAACCTCCTTCTGAGCCCACATGCACCGCCTACCACCATCCCCGTCATCGCCCCGCATTTACCCACCCAGCTTCCAGCGATCAGGCCTACGATCCAGACACAGACGGATACGGCAACGGTGACGGTGGCTTCGACGCCGTCCCTCATCATGCCCACTTCGGCGTATTTCTCGACTACTTCGATGGGTATCTCTTCACCTTCGTCTTCTCCTACTATGATCACAGCGCAAGAACGCCCGCTTGCTTCGCTTCCAGAGCCTGACGATGGTGATGTCTGCGCGGGGGACGAAACGGAGGATTCAGCAAATGGCAGGGATAAAGGGAAACGCAAAGCACAGACAAAGGGGAAGGAAGAGTCGAGGTGCGAGAAAATTTGCGAACTTGCTTGTGGAGGGAAAGAAGGGCGCGGATTTGGAGAAGGCTGTGAGTGGGAGGGAATGATGATGGGCCAGAAAGGAAAATCCGAGCTCTCGCCTTCATCCTCCTCCACCAGACCCCGCCGCTCTCAAAAGACGACGATCCCTGCTGTCGATTCTATCCCTCAGGTCGCCACTCACACCGAGACAACCCCAAAGCAAGATGTTTTGCAGCCAGGCTCTACCTCCATTCAAATTCAATCCGACGACCCTTCCCCCCTTCGCGTAGGCCTCTCCGCAGTCCCATTAACCCACATGTTCAAAGATTCTCTCTCCCTCAACACTCCCGGAATCTACAACCACTCTTCCATCTGACGCCGCGTCGCCAGGAGACGGGGAAGCCAGCAGGATGGGTACACCAGGCACACCATCATTGCGTCGTCCTCCCTACTTCATGGAGACCTCGGCCAAGACAGCGCAGAACGTAGAGCGCCTCTTCATGAACCTCATTCGTGTACTACGACAACCCCGGATAGACACCGGACACACAAAAGAGAAGAAGCTGAGCAAGTTTGTAGTCATGTAGTGTACTTTTCTCCGGGATTTCTGGGCTGTAGACTCCCTTACATTATTTTACCCTTTTCCATGATATCCACACTTTTCACTACCATCACCTACCCATCAGAATACACCGTAAACTCAGTACCCTTCTTTTACTAATAATTTTAATTCCTTCCCATCAGCTTCCTTATGACCCACCGACCTCCGTACCACCCAACAACGACAAAAAGAAACCCTCCTACAATCCCCACTCCGATAAATCCCGACCGGTTATTAGCCTTAGTTAAACTCAGCCCTCGCTCCTTCTCTCAACAAGTTTCATACAAATGTACATTTGCCCATCCCCTCCACCACCGACCTGCCAATCCATCTCCATGACCATCATCCGCCTCCGCAGCTGCGATACAAGGACCGCAGTTGTCCCCGATGAGACCCATAAGAACGATCAGCAAGATATTAAGAATCACTTCATTCAGCACGATGAGAATACTCATCAACATAAGGGTCATACTCAGCCTGGACGACATTCAACTTCACCCGCCCATTCTGCTCCATTCCTTCGTCAACGTTCAGGGCCAGTTTCCCCTCCTCGCCTTCTCGCAGTTCCCCCCGGATCCCCAATTTTTATCTTAGCCGAGTTCAAGTCCTCCCCCATAGCTTCCCTCACTTACACCACTTGCACTCTCCAAAGCAAGCAGATGCTCTGCCTTATCTTGCTAGATTCCCCCATTATCGCTTTCTCTGGGTCCTCCAATCCAGGCTGGGATTTTTTTCGCACCATTCTGGACGCAGCGTTCTCCCTTTTTTCAAAGACAAAAAACGAGCGCTCACGGACCCCACTGTACGAGTATAGCATTAAAACGGAGTGTGCAGAGTCTACCAGGGTCATCACAACTGTAAACAAGAACTGACGGGTTTCAAAATTGACGATTGTCCATGATCAGGATTTCACTGGAAGGATGACTACGTGAGAACTGGGTATAGAAAATCCGTCGCCCCTTTCGGGAGAGCGCTGAGACGGCGAGTAGCGCCATTGATGAGGCAGTGCCAATGTCAAATCCTTTTAAATAGTCAGCGTCAAACTTTCCCATAATAATGTGTAGTCTTAGCATATCCAAAAAGCACGCAGACGGGGTGCAACTAAACAGCAGTCCAGGCTGCGCCAAAACGAAATCGGAGAAAGAAAAGGACCTTCCAAGGTCGATCCACAAATGTTATAATGGATCCTATAATACGCATTATGAGCATATTGTCATCTTTAAGGTTGCGCTTGGGTTCTTCGACCGTCTCGCCGTTCAACCGTCGCTGCTCCCGGATCTTTTCCTGTGGGAGCTCACGTTGTTCTATGATATGCTCCTGATGACAGATGGCTTCCCTGACGGCCGCGCTTCAAATCCTCCACAGAATAATAGTATTCACGAGACCGATGATAAATAAAAACGAGCCTGAGACGGCGTCCCCTGCGGCGGTTTAAAAAAACCTATTGGGATGAATAGTGACGGTTAAATTATACGTCTCTTACCCACTATCCCTCCGACCTTTCCAATGTCCCCGATTCTGTTATAAACGCTTGAAGAAATGGCGATACACACATGATAACGATCATCCGTGCCCATCTAAAAAAACAACTCACCACGGCAATCACAATGGTGCTATGTCCAAGGGAGAAAAATAACCGCAAGTAAAGGATAGCTGATTGAGATTGATTAATCCTCTTGTAGCGTTGTCGATGGCGCTTGTGTAAGTAAGATCGATCAACCAAATTCTACACTTCTGGAATTTGAACGGGTTTAATCATATGAACCTGAGATAACCGAAACCGTACCACTGCCGAAACGAGGAAAGAGAATCCCCTAATGTGATCCGCGTCCATTGCTTTGAAAAGCCCTAGCTATGCCTTCAACTTCGCAGGCCAATAATGATCGCGACGTACCATGCCTAAGCCCCAGCGTCTACCGCGAAGAGAAGCAAAATATCAAAGCAATCAACAAAATCATCCAATCCCACATACCCAAGCCAACAGCGTCAGATCTAATATTCCGCGCGTATCATCGTGTCTCCCGAACAAGATCCCAGCAACAGTCCAACCAATCGCGTTCACAGCAAGTCTGCGCACGTTAGTCAATTGATATGTTGATACTTCACCGATTCAATACTTACTCAAAGACCATCAAAAGAACTGAACGACCGAGGAGGGTGAGCCTTGGGAGGGCCATGGCCGTATGTTTGAGAGAGGCGGCAGGGAGATAAGCTATCGATCGGTGTGTATCAAACTGCCATGGCAATTTCGGGAAGTGTATTTGTCGGTGATGCGTGAGCGATGCCCCCTGAGTACTGAGTCCCGAATTTGGCATTTCCAGTTAGCCAGTCCTTTTTTTTTGACATCACATCAGGTCGTCACTAACAATTTTCTGTCACCAAAAGTGTCAACGAAGTTCGAACCACCAGGACCCCTGAGGTGCAGGTACAAGACTCATGGCATTACCTCTTGCACTTATTCGCCGGTAAGTATTCCTTTGCTTTTAGAAGCTCGTACTTCTCGATTGCGGAGATGAGGGGAGTGGTCCAAGAGTGGTCCGGCTTATAAACGGACGTTTGTTTGGCAAAGGCGCCTAAAAGTAAATTTGTATGACGTCAAGCTGCGCACTGCCTTACATATGTTCAATACGCTATCACTGGAGGTCTCGCTTATGTCTCAGACTTCCAAGGTAACATTAAACGCTCCAGCAGCTCATATCGGATTCTTACCTTTCTTTCCAGGCGTTGGCGTTGGTCTCACAGATCCCCAAATCCTGACTGCACCGTAAGTCCAGCCGTTTTTTTCACAATACCCAATAACAGACATGTCTGGCAGGCAATTTGGTAATGACCTCTTTGGCGATGGAAATCTTGGGGAAGCGTTCAATCTGTTTCCCCTTCAGCACCAGTGTAACAAGTACTGTGAATGGTTCGAACTTCAAAATCCTTCGGAGATCGCGCAGATGGGAGACCAATTAGCCACAGGAAACAAGAAGTCATTGGGAAAGTCTAAAGGAAAGGTCTCAATTCTTGGAACTCAGTATAACTCTGATTAAGAATGAGGTATTTGTTTTCATCCTGGTTTCCCAATTTAAAATTCTCTATTGAATCTCAAGCATAAAAAATATCCTACCCATGTAGCTATTCCATTTTATACATATACAATTATACTTGACTTGATATTCTATTCATCTGAATCTGAAAAGAAGTACGGAACAAAAGAGAAAGATATAGTCATACCACAGGAGGACTGACCAGGCTGTAAGCTCAGTCATTAGAGATTTTAACTTGTAATACTCTGGTTGATGATTTTGATGGAGACATCACACCCTCTGGAATAGCTTTGAATTTTTTGGAGGCAACCAGAATTTAGAAACCTGGAAGAGTCTTATTTCTGTTTTGAGGTAAAAAGTGAGCACCTTCATGAGAACATGAGATGATGTGACATTCACAGAATACATCTCACCCTTCTGAACTTTCTCTTACAATACTCTGGTTTATAATTTGTATGGCAGCATTATGTTCCTCAGAATTGCTACATGCATCTTTTGGAAAGATGAGAGCAAGTGCAAGAGCTTAATTTCTGTTTGAAGTCAGAAGTGGGCAGCCTCGTGGGAACATGGGATGATGGGAGAATGCATCTCACCCACTTGGATTTTCCCTTGCAAAACTCTGGCTTATAATTTGTATGGTAGCCTTATGCCTCTCAGAATTACTTCATATCTCTTTTGAAAGGATAAGTGCAAGTGCAAGTGCTTAATTTCTGTTTGAAGTCAGAAGTGGGCAGCCTCATGGAAACATGGGATGATGGGAGAATGCATCTCACCCATACTCTGGCTTATAATTTGTATGGTAGCCTTATGCCTCTCAAAATTGCTTCATATCTCCTTTGAAAGAATAAGAGAAAGTGCAAGAGCTTAATTTCTGTTTAAAGTTGACTGTCTGCACCAGTGTGGGAACCCAGGACACAGGACACAGATCTCATTTAATATCTGTTCTGGTAATTCTCTGGTTGATAATTTGATGAAGGCAATATCCCTGAAATAATGATACTGTATGTTTCTTGGGGAGGAAGGTTTAGATAATTGCTCTCATACAGTAGAATACTAATCTACTGGCTACAGATGTATTGGTTAACATTTATGAGAGTGGGTCAATCTTTGAGGAGGGGATGGTGATGCAACAATAATAGGAAGCTCATTCTCCTTCTCTTGCTCTTCTGAGTGAATCATCAGTTTTCTCTTCTTCTGTAGCTTCATTTTTTCAAGAGTTTCTCTTGTCAGCGCTTTCCTCTTCTGCCCTGGGCCATTCCCTGTAACCTGAGAAGTGTAAACTGAATTGTGCTGATTGAAAAGGCATGAACAACACACCTTTGCTGGTCTTCCTGGCCGCAAGCAAACTTGTATGGCATGGTCTGGATCTACCATATTTTGCTTTGCTTCATGGAACTGCGCTGGCCTAATGGTGGTACTATACCCTGCTTCCTTGAAGTCAGAGAATGATTGCTGCCAATGATTACTATGAGAAAGAGAACAGCGATGATTATGAAGAACCTACAACTGGTCCATCCTTCCACCCATCTGGAACTCTTGCTGTTATGACGGTGAAGGCATCAAGGTAAGCATGGTAGTTCACCTCAATACGCTTGAACTGCTTGTCAGAGAGCGGTCCAGTGTACTGATATGGATCCCCTATGCAGAAAATTGTCAGGATAAAACAGAAAAGGAAGAATCAACCCACCTATCTTATGAGTTGGATTGAATAGTCCTTCTCGTAGGTACTGGTTATACAAGTCCTGTGGAATCTTGACAAATGCCTTCCTGAATACCCAGATAAATCCAGCAGTATAATTACGATCAGATGTTGTATTGAATGCGAAAGGATTGGAAGAGTTGGTTGACATGCCACATCGTTTCAGAAAGTCAGCAGACTGCCAAATCTGAGTATAGCTCACAATACGAGAGGTGAAGTGGGAGAAGCATGCATCATCAGAGCAAACCCAGGAGCAAGGAGCACCAGGGAAATTTGCAGCATAGTAAAGGAAGTCATTAGCAAGATGTCTTCCAAATCTGCCAAATACATGATTGCCATTTTCAGCAATAACATCGACAATGGGCTTCGAATGGCCTGGTGCTCCTGTGCACATATCATGTCTCCACTTCTCCAGGGCATTGAGAGCAACATCCTTCTCAAGGAACCAGTCCGCCCCATCAGGAAACGTGCTCCAGATAATAGGCCACTCCTAAAGTGATATAATGCTAAAGTGAAAGCATAATTCAATGGAACAATCATGACTTACTGGTGATCCAATGTCAAGATCTTGTTGAGTCCAGGGCCGGTTGATACTGGTGACATGCATGTGCATAAGTCATGCAAAGTCTGAGAATACAATCGCAAATGACTCAGAGACTATAGCTGCGAAGATGTTGATGGTCCGATTAGTGTTTGCAGATGACCCAGGTTTGATAAAGTCCGGGACAGTCGTTCGCAATGAGCTTTTCATAGTCCTCTTGAGACACAATGGTAACCTTAGCCTCTAGGCCAAGATGAAAGGTTGTCAAATGCTGAATATAATAGTCTTGTAAGCATGAGGTAAAGATGGGATGCATGTTTGACATATATGTCCTGCTCCAATAGCCAAACATTTGCCATGGCAGGCAACACAGACTGGGCCAGGTTTCAAGTTCTTCTTTACCAAATAAGCCCACGGTTTACCTGACGCTCAAGACATGTCAAATGCATTGGGAACATAGGAGTCATCATCAGAATCAAATGACTCTGTATATCGAGAGTTGTCGACAGATATACTGGAGTAAGGCTTAGCCTTGGTACCCAAGGTGAAGCACCATGAAAAAAGCCGTAAATAAGCTACATGAAGTCAGGTTAGCTTGTTTGATGATCAAGAGTTGAGACTTGGGTGAGCAAACTCACCCATTGGTGCTTTTCCCTCTTTCTTGGCCAGCTGGACAATCTTAGCCAAGATCTGGTGAATGATAACACTGATCTCAGGATCCTCTGGCATGGTGAGAAGTAGGACTTTAGGTAGGCAGGCTGTCACTCCTCAAGGGAGATGCTGACAAGGTGGTAAACGCAGGGTGACACATTGCAAGGCGTTGTTTGGATAGTCATGTGACCATGCCAAAAGCATCTCAAGCTGGCGCAATCTAGCTGAAATGATAGTTTTTGATTTATTCCTTGAGTTTAAATTGACCGCTGTGTTGGCGATCCACATAACTCATTTTTTTAAATTGTAGTACAGATGATCAGCAGCATGAGGTCTCCAGGGTCACTACTTTTCAAATTCACTTGGCAATCATGGCCTGCAGTGTTTGGCAAAGACTTTACTGTATTTTTGGAGCTTGGTGCTCCAGGTTTCCATACTATGTAGTCGGAACTTGCTTATGCAGTCAAACCTCGCATCAGGCTACAACCTGACTCTAGCCATCAGCTGAAAGCCATCCATCGCTTATGATCAGTCGGATTCAGTCCAAGGGGGTCCTAGGATTCAAAAAAAAGACCTGGGGTTGATTTTTTTTTTTAGCAGTAGCCAGCTTGACCTACCGACCTACATAATCAGGCACATGTCTATATATGGTAATATGACATCGTTCACGTGATCATTTTCTCCCTTCACAATTCACTCCAAAATGTTACAGGCAAAATGTAGGGATATTAACAGTCACCTTGAACAAGGGACGATCAGGCGGTTGAGTGGAGCCTTTGACAAATCCCCAGACAAATTAATCATTTTTTAACCTTTTGTGTGATTACGACAAACTGTTGGGGCAATTTTAATTTTGACAATTGGTCTGCCTATTGTTCAAAGAGGGCAAACAAATGTAAACCAATAGAGGTTGCTAATTTATTAAATGCATCATTAGATGTGTCCACAGGACAAAATGATGTCAAGAATCAAAATCTGCACAGTGGACAGATTTCAGGAACAATTTAATTGTTCACTTTGGCACTAGGCAAAATTTTTATTTTGAGCAATGTTTCACCTTGGGAATGCAGTTACAAACAAATTTATACAATAAGCAGAACAATTGTTTTTTATTCTGTCAGTGCCTTTGGACAATAGACAAACACGCTGTCAAAATTTAACTTGTCCAATAAATTTGTCCTAATTACATAAACAGTTAAAAATTATTAATTTGTCCAGGGATTTTTCAAAGGCTATGCTTAACTGCCTGATTGTCCCTTGTTTGAGGTGAGTGATAGTAAGTATGCACAATACCCTGGCCCTTGATGTCTGTGATCTGGCCTTTGTAACTTTTAACAAGGTGCCTTGAAATAGACATTATACTACCAATTCACATGATTTTGTCGCAAATTTGACAAAAGCTTTGAAGAGCAGAAAAATAGAGAAAAATATTTCCAAGGTCAGAAAAAATGGGTATGATGTGTGATAGCTGAATGGATCAAAATGGTACAACACAATGCTGACATATAGCTTAATACAGCTGATGCACAACTCTGGGAGCATTTTAGAGGCTGAAAATGACCTCCAGTGGCCATTCTAAGACCACTTTATAGAGGTTCCATTTTTTTTTCTCCCCCAGCGGCTGACCTAACTACCCAGCCCCCGGTCGGACTTTGGAATCCTAAGACCCCCTTGGCTTGGTTTATGGTTTAGAAAGACGGCTGAATATATTTTCAAACCCCGCCCATCAAATATTTAGAAGATAATCTAGGTTTCTAGACCTTATGGGAAGTCATCCAATAAGCGACTGGAAAGCAAGCAGATTTGAGTGGGGCCGCTGCAAATGCAATCATAAGGTTTACACTCTGACCCCGAGAGCATCACATCTTCAAACTTACCATCGGTTTGACACATTCCGCCACAACGATGAGACAGCAGTTCTTCATTGGATCCACTTCCCTCGGATCCAAGTTGACATGTGGCTGTCGTCCTCGCGTTTCTAAAAACTGGTGACCCCTCCACAAGACCTGACAATACATTTGAGGCTGTGATGTGCGACATCATCTTATCTTACAATTTACAAGATCGGGAACTCCCGGGCCAAAGACTTGATCATGTCCTTGTGGATTTGTCATGCATGAATGAACCTACGTAATGATTTAATCGATGACAACTTGATCAATTACTGGTCATGATCATTTAGAAATGGGCAACTTCATTATAATTCTACAAGTCCTGGCGCATAAATGGAGTTGAGCGGACTCATCCGCGATGTCGCCGAACCCTTGGGACACGTGAACGGATCAACTTGACGTTTGTTGACAAGCGCAAGGCAGGCCTTTTGCCCAGAAGTGACCAATGAAGGTTAAGCTCGATTGTACGTGAGGGTTCAAATGAATTGTACCTCACCCCGAGTTTTGTTTATCCTTTTTCACCTTGAAGGCGTCTTCAGGGCGTCTCATCCTGACTTTTCATTCACAACCACCACCGTTATCTCTTTCATTGTCCTCTCATCTTCGCCGTTCTTTCTCGCCTCTGACCATACGACGGATACCATCACATCATGTCCAACCTATACGGCTCCTCCTATCAGGACTCGTTTCAACCCACCTTCTCCCCAGCTGCCCGCGATGAGAACCGACGGCCCTTTCTCGATTTGAATCAACCACTCACAGCCATGGGTCGCAGGCAACCAAACCACATTCAGACACCTGCTCCGAATCTATACTTGCCTCAACCAACATTTTCACCTACCTATGACCCCGCAACTCAAAATTTTCATGTTGCATCGCACCAGGAGGTGGGTGGCCACTGAATTCCGATTTACACCGCAGAAGCTGACATACCGAAGTTTGACAGGTCCGAGGATATACACGTCCCGCATGATGAAGGTGATCGCTTTCGAAGCCAGCAGCCCTCCGGCGGCATTACGTTTCGGACACCTTTTGCGAGACGCCTTTGGCGCGTGGTGATTGGGACTTTTCGAGTCCCCCGGTCTCCGAACCCAGCACGTGTGGCTCATTCCCGGGCCAGTACCACAATTCCGCAGAAGGTTCTGTTGAATGGCAGGCCTATGAGATTCCATGCGAGGACCAGCTCGCATACGACGCGTTTGGCCAGCCTCATTACAGTGCCGTCAATCTACTCCCATATCACTCTCAACACACTCCCATTTCCCCTACTCAACATTCTTCATACTCCGAGCTCTCAGCCAATGTACTTTTTCTATCGGAGCTCAGTCGCGCTGAGTCCAAGATTTCAAAAGCTCCGATTACCCCCTCCGAGCCCAAAACTCAACAAACTTCTAAGGCGAAAAGGAAGGAAAGGCCTTCGTCTGATTCTGATTTGGATATGGATTTTAAACCACATTTTCCGTCCTCCAGTCGTCGTCGATCGTCTCCCGCGCCGGTCAAACAAAAGGTAGCGTCGGTGCCACCCCCACGTCAGTCGACCACACCTCCACCTAAACCACACATCCCGAAGAAAGACGGAGAGCAGAAGAGGTTGATTCTCGCATGTTTATTTTGCAGGGAGAGGAAAATTGCGTGTGGTCGCCCAAATGAGGATGAACCTGACCAAACTTGCGCGTACGCAATCGACTTTATTTTGATATTAGCTTTCTTACCACATTTTTTAGTCAATGTCTGCGTCGAGATCTTACATGTGAATACCCGAAGGAGTCGAGGCGGGGACAGCATAAACGTGGTCCCAAGGGAAAAGCTGGGCATCGATGAACATCAGCGTTGTACTTCCTTCCCAGGATGTTTTAGTAGTTTCATTTGTAAAGTAATTTTCTCAGTTTCTTGATGGATCTTAAACGCCGTGCTATATCATATAGACAAGAAGGGAATGAATCCCTTGGAGGCGCTGATGGTATGAACAGATCCCGGTCAAACTCTCTAGTCGAGCGAAGTCTCGTCAGGATAGATGAAAAGGGGATGCCAGCGTTTTGGCATATTATCATGTCCCTCCAACAAATCCCTGGCATGGCCTGAACAAGGCCTGAAGGAAGTTGTTGGAGCGATCAACGCAGACTCCAGAGAGGCACTGGCCCGCGCTCATAGGCCGCAAGGAGAGGTATTCCGTTATCATCACACCGACATAGCAGGAATATATTATTCAGAGGCTGTTGCAATCATACACAGAAGAAACAAGGTAGATGAGCACGAATAACGTATGCATTTCACTCCTCGTCCAAATCCTTCTCAACAAACACATCAATTCCCGATTCTTCAGCGTCGCAGAGGAAAGATAATATTGATCGTCGACCTTTTGAATGCTGACAGAATCTCCAGTGAGCCAAAAGCTGGTCGCCAGAATGTAAATCATCTGCCGGTCGTCATGCCCAAGAGGTACGTTCCGATTCACTTCAAAGTCCTGCCAAGCATGAAAGAACAGTGCCAAAAGACCGCCCGTAATGACCGTTCCCAAATTCGGAAATTCGTAGATGAACAACACCCGAGACGCCAAGAAAGTCATTGAGTATTGCATTCCGCACTCGGCAAAGTGTGCAAAGCGGTAAATGCCTTTGGATGGCTCGAGGTAGCAGTTTCAAAGATGACGAGCTCCAGATGGTGGGGAAAGAGGAAGAGTGTGGCTCCGGCTGCTACGCACCGGGGTAGGAAGAAAATTACACGGATGGCAGACATGGCGACGGCGTGGAAGACGAAATGGGGATATCTAGGTTCGTAGTCATCGGTCAGAACGGAGGAAGGGGTTACTTTGGGATCAATATTAGGCTCTAAGCCTGTGGGATATGTGTCGTCGACGGTGAGCTAACAGAGGTTGATAAGCGGCACATATAGTCGATGAAACTAATTAAACCTGATTTTGGGAATTGGTGGAGAGGCTCTCCACCAAAATAGGTCCGTTCGGCAGCGTATAGATGGTCTGAGAAGGATGCTTTGGTCAATATTACTCGAAAAGGACGTAAATTGCCGCTGGTTAGGTATCGATGTCGGGAGAAGAGAAGTATGGTGAACTGGTATCGTCCTGGCTGATGTACCCGGAAGGGAAGGCACGGGGTAAAAGATCACCAGACCACACCGACCTGTGAGCGCTAAAATGAGAACTGGGAACTCGACTTACATTGCTCAGCTGCGGGACAGTGGGGTTGCCTTCTAAACATAATGCGGGGGGTTCCACGCAGTCCTCCTTGTGAGACAAAGTCAGAGAAACCGCCTCCAAATTTTGATAATCCGAACCTCATTCAAATCCCCAACCATAGGACTCGGTTCTTGGTTTAGCGGGGAAAGAGATGGCCTGTCGCTTGTTGTGTCTTCTACAACCAATGATGACGACCTCTCCAAGGATAACGTCGTTTCTGGGGCTAACGTCGCCTGCAGGGCCAAAATCGCTTCCGGGACCAATGTCGCCACCAGTTCCAACACTGCGTCTGGGGCTATCTAATAAATGGCTGTAAAACGGTTCCGCAGTTGAAAGAAGCATAAAGCTAACCTCAACCTCAACCACCCTTCTTTCCTCTAACTGCTGCGATACCTGCGCGATATGCGCGCCTTTGCCTACAGCCTTTGAATCAAAGTACGAGTCTACCGCTGAGCCGTCCATATCTCTCGCAAGGGCCTTGTGTATCCCCTGAAAGACATTGATGGGCACATCTTGGTCCACAGGCGTCGTCAAAGCCGAGGTAAATGGCGAATCGTCAGTCATCTCTGAGTTGTTTCGCTCCATCTCCGTCAGCTCGACGAGACGGTCCTGCAGCACGATGGGGTGAGGGATCGCATAGCAGGGCGAGATGGCGCTTACCTCCTGTATCGCATCAACGTTGTTCGTCGTCGCTGTCATTGCTGGCGGAGATGATGATGATGGTAAGAGAAGAAGAGCTGTCACGCGTGACCAGGAGTACTAGCCATCGCGATGCTTCTGCTCACGAACGACTCTTGATTCCTCGTTCATCGGATTCGACCTTAGTGTCCGAGAAAATCAGTTTCCTCGTAAAGATTTGCGAGGGTATACCTCTCCGCTCAATGAAGCTTACAACCAGAAGGCGCTTGCGTCATGGCGGCGGGCGCCCGCCCGCCCAACGATAAACAACTTGGTGTTTGCTTGGTGGCTCCCACGTACACTTGTCGAAAATGAGCAGGTAAGTATTTTTCCTGTAATGTGTTCATTCTTTGGAAAGATAAACATCGATCCCAGATTTTTATCGCCCGACAGCCCCGGATAAGATCGGTATAAAACCCCCTTCAATCTTCTGCCGCGGTACTCTTCTCTAACATATACTATCCCTCAGTACGTCCCTTGACATCCCACCTTTGATTCTCCACTCATGGCCAGACTTAAACCAGTAAAACACAACACGAAACTCTTCTCAATCACTATCTGTCTCATCGCCACCCTTTACACCGCGGCTCCTGCAACAGCCATCAAGGAAGTCTGCAGCAATGCCTGCGACTCGCCAATCCCGTTCTGCATCCAGGGATACACTGCGACGCGTTTCAACGTTAATACTCCCGACCAATGATGCTGGCGATGCTGCCAGGCTATTCCGGATGGATTTAGGTGTTACGGGACATACTTCTTTTTATCGACAACCAAAACGCTAATTTGGCTGTACTTTTAATCAACAAATGTCTAGATCTGAGGGAATAGTCTTTCGTGTCCTTCTGTCCCCAATCGACGCTTTTTGAATCTACATCATGAATGAACGAACGTTCATCGAAAATTCACAAAAATATCAACTCCGACTGCTGTTGAATGTAGGCGCTCACTGATGGCCCGCCGGCGTCCATCAGGAAAACTACACGTCCACTTATGTCACTTAGGTCACTTTGACAAGTGGCCAAGTGACGAAAGTGAACTCAAGTGGCCAAAGGAAACTCACTTGGCTAAGTAGGTTGCTGCCTTGGCCAAGTGATTCCTCTTGATGCAAGTGAAGACTCAAGTGGGTAAGTTGTATGTCAAGTTGATCTCAAAAGTGACCAAGTGACGAAATAGCAGTCTCGAACTGTTCCCGATTTCACACAGAATGGTATATTTAGTAGGGTAAAAGAGTATATTAAATGGTACCAATGTCTACCTACAATGTAGCGGCTCAAGGAACCTCTGAAATGCGTAGAAAGCCAAACATCCCGCAACCCAACATCCCACCCTTCAGTCTCGCTCATGGAGAAACCAAAATGACCTGTTTCGCTCGTTCACAGTGCCAATGCCTATCCCCTCGATGCGCGAATTGTCTTCGTGACAATTTGTTGATAGAATCGATGTAGCCCACGGTGCTGGCACCCCAGTTGTCCTCCAAGAATTTTGCTTCTTCCTTACGATCCGGAATGCCGGCAGTAGAGACCCCCGTGATCCAGAACTTGAACGCGCGCTCAGCCTGCATGAAAATAAGATCACGTGGAAGGGAAGGGAAAAGGAGACATACCCAAATGTCGAATATGTAGGCACGGCGAAAACGGCGATGGGATTGCCGCCACCTCCATCTAATGCGAATGAGCTCGGAATCTGGGCACAGTGAAGACGGCAGTGGGAGTCTCCATATGAGCATGGCGGAAGATGGTGTAGATGTAGTCGAGGTACCTGGGTAGGGTAAAGTCATGAGGAGGGGACAGGCGGGGAAGAAGGGAACAAACCAGATTGTTTTTGGCTCGGTGGGGATCTCCATATGAGGGTGGCGGAAGGCGGTGTAGACGTAGTCGAGGAGGTGGTACCTGGGTAGGGTGAAGTTGTGAAAAGGGGACAGGCGGGGAGGGGAGAAGGGAACAGACCAGATGACCAAGGTTGTCGTATTCTCTGCTGTATCCCAACATCAACTTCCTCCCCTCTAGAAGTACAAGAAAACCATCCTGCACTAGCGAAGGTCGAGCGTGTGATGGCTAAGGTTCGTCATCGTGTTCTGTGAGACTGTTAATATGTTTTGCAATTGTCTGTAAGATAGGATATGCATGTTAGCTTGCCCTATCAAAATACAAAGCGAAGAGGAGATAAAGGGAGGAAAGACGTACCCAAAACGTCCTGCTGGACAGCAGACTCAGTCCTGCACCAGCAAATGTCAAGCGCGTGATGACTACGGTTCGTTTTCCATGTCGGCGAGCGAGCAGGCACAGACTGCAGTGGGATTTGGCGAGGGCAGGTTGGACACCGCTCAGTTATGATGAACGTTGAAAAGAAAAACCGATGGTGAAAATTTCAACATTGTCACATGTCGTCGGACTTCGAATGCACTTAGGAATAATTTCTAAGTAGTGTGTTTGAGCATCCCGATGGCTTTTGTGAGCGCGGGCACTTACGACTTACTGACGTGAGTGACTTGAATCCCCACTTGGACTCACTTCGAGTTTGAAAGGAAGTTGTGGCTGTAACATCAAGTGCCGAAGTGATTCAAGTGAGATCACAAGTGATGTAAGCCCAACAAGTGAAGTGTAGTTTTCCTGATGTCTTCACATCGCGCCTCAAGCTGTCCTTGCGTTGGTGTCTAAGTACCGGTACAATCCCCGTCTAAATTCTGAAAGACTGCATTCAATGACCCCGTCGCTTAGGATTTGAAAAACCAAATCCTCGCTGGCAGTCGTCACGACCATCGATGATAAAAACCGACGTCTTCAGATTCTTAATGAAGGCATTCATTACTGTTGAATCGCTCACAATTCTTAAAGCTGTCCTGAGCTTCTCTCGAACCTTCCGCCGATCATAAGTTGTCTCGTTTATTTGATGCTTGATCAACAATTATTTCTGCTGCACCAGTTGTCCGATCTACATGAAATGCACTGGGGGTCAAAAAGCAAGCATTCGTCGAGTATCATTACAACGAAACACGGCTTATCTATGTCTCAACAGGAATGACTCACTACTTTACCCTACCCAGGCACTCGAATACATCTGCACTGCCTTCACCGCGCTCGTACGAAGAATTCCACCAACGTCTTCGCCATGCCCATAATCCGAACCCATTCGCATCCAAACGGAGGTGGCGACTGCCGTTTTTGTTGTGCCTAGCTGGGGGGTTGGCGCCGTGCACTGCTGCTGTGAGTGTGGTCGTCATTGATTCTCAAACGTCATACTAACCCAGGATCAGATAAAACTTGCTTTTTCCTTTGCAGATTCAGGGGATCAAGGACGAGAGGGTAACAAAGACAGAACGTCCCTCGCTTCAACAAGAGCGACTGGGGTCGAAGACGCGCCGTTGCACTGGGTGCGTTTTTTCTCCCAAACCCAAGGGGGCCCCGGGAATTTATAAATTACCCGGGGTCGGTTTTTTTTTTTAAGAGTTTGAGTACCTCCCCCCCCCATCTTCAAATATGTTATTCCAAGAAAAACATAGCAAATTTTGCTCATTTCTACATGTGAATCAACAATTCTGTACTAGTAAGACTCTGAGACATATTCTACGCCATGCGCGCACGTTTTCGCGTGCGGGCGTGATTCTCGCAGCGCCACCCCATCGGTGCAACCTCAAAATTCCTTTAGGCCCCGTCTCTGGTGATTGGGTCTGATTGGAGGAGTTGCTTAAGCCTTTCGATGCCGCTGCCAGTGATGATGTGGGGATTTTCTTCACTCCAACCTGGAACGATGTCTGTGTCCTTCCTTTCTCTTTCTTTGCTTTGCGTCCTTTCATGCAGGGCTTTTTTTCTTGGTCCTGGTCCCGCTGTTCCGACGTGCACATCTTCATCACACTCGGGGCATTTCACGGTTGCTGACGCATCATAGTTGATCTTCTCCTACTTCTATTTATTCTAGGTAGAATGATCAACTGTATTTGAGACTATAGAGGACTTAAACATCATACTACTGACCTTTCCTTTTGCCATTGTTGCTGTTCATGAGCCGTATGAAAAAAATCAGAAGAGATGAACCAGAAACCAAAAAAATATCCATTGTTCACCTAAATAGTGCTTCGAATATCCTGTCTGAGACGTCTGAAGCTTGTGGATGTGATGCGCCGTTGCTAGGTGCCGTTAAAAACATATTTTAAGAGGACTACTGCTAAATTTTTTTAAGCACTCTGAGAGAGCCCCCCCCCCTCTACCTCGGGTCACGGCTTCAATTCCCGGTACCCCCTTGCCCAAACCCCCATATTGGTCTCATTATTTGGATCTGACTATGTCAAGAAAGGCCACTTCTGTAGATACTGTAGTCTACATGTATGTAGTAGCCAAACATAATAATAATTGAGCGAGCGCAGTTAAATCGGTGTCACTTGGGAGTGCTTGGGAGCAACTTGGCCGAATTTGCGCCAAATCATATCTGGCCTCTTTTTTCAGACGAGATGATGGAACATCATCAAAAAATACCGAGATCTCAAGCTTGAGAAGAGTCCAACAATGAAGTTGGGGCGCGTAAAAAATTGAAGGCGTTGAAGTAGCCGGAATGTGTGCGGATGACGTCAATCGTTCGAGAGGGATAGCCGGAATACATCCCAATGATGTCATTCTTCCCGAACGTGCACATTTGGACGTGTTTGCCTCAGATAGCCGGAAGACTCCCACAGGCCATCAGAGTTTCAACGTACTTGGTTCTGACTTCTAACTGCTCCACGCTGCCCAAGTGCTCGATCGTCCACGTCGACCCGGACAAGCGGTCATTGATCTTGGTGAAGAAGATGAATCTGC